AACCCTAAACCCTAAACCCTAAACCTTAAACCCTAAACGTCCAGGCCACCGGCGGGAAGCTTGGGGCTGATGTAAAGCAAGGTGCAGGCCCCAGAGCTTGGGGGTGGTGACTCAGATCTTCTCTCAGGCCGGAGAACAATGGTAAATGCTGCAACCTTTCCATGTAGGTGACAGGTATCCCCTTTCTGACAGGGTCATATCAGGTCCCTCCATGGTTCGGTTCCCTGCACTACTCTGCACTTCAGGATCATGGAAGGAAGCTAACAAAGACAGCTGGACATCGTGGGCAAGCTGCCCTTCCGGCACCGTTTCCTGTCTACCACCCGGTAGTGGCCATTTTGAAGAGCTTGCGCGGCTCCATGGGGGCACACCCAGCATTCCGTACAGTATGGTCGTCACTGGTCGTCCCTGCATAGCTAAAGGTCGTGCACTTGTTCGCAAAATGCCATGCGGCCGTACTGCTAGGCTGCTAAGATGCTATAGGGACTGCCAGCCCATGGCGACCGGGGGGCCGACCTGATATTTGCATTTGCTATGAGCTCAGATACTTCAGCCCATGATGCCCCAGGTCGCTGTCACACCAGGAAATTTGGAAGCTGGCGTCACTTTTGGCAGCTACGATTCACAATACACCCTCAAACTCATGGGAGATCGACGACGCCGTTTGGAATCGAACACCAGGGTTTGCCCTGATGGCCAGTTCATGAAGGTTATCAAGACGTGCGTTCCTCAGCTCAAATTCGAGATGCGCAGCTTTTGTCGGGAAAGGCTCCTTGAGGGAAGAACGAAAAAGCAGGCTGCACACAAATCAGTTGGGATGTTCCCCCTTCCCCCTTCTACTAACAGTCCTTAAATCGGGATTATAGTACCCCCAATTATAATCCCTATTAAGGAGCTGTTAGTATAAGGGGGAACATCCCAACAAACCAGTGTTGGGCCACTGGAGTCAAGAGTGTGAGCAGGATGTTTGCCTCAGCCTTGTGTGCAACAAACAGCGCGTCCAGGCTGCTGGAAAGTGGGACTCGATGGACTATGCTGATTGCACTAATGGCCATCGCCTGAATTCGGCCCTGAGAGACGGCTGTGAGTGTCTTGTCAGCGTTAAGCCGGCACGGTGTCCATACCCAGCAGTGAGCCAAAGCAGTTTCAACCAACGAGGGCAAATTACTCTAAAGAAAGATAACTATTGTCGGCATGAAGCCGCCCGCTGCTGAAATGGAGTTTCATCTGAACAACATAGAGCAAGTAGTAACAGCAACTTAGTTGCAAAGAACCCCACACCCCTAAGCAATCTCCTGAGCCGCACTCTCCGACATCGCCAGTCAGAGACGAAGACGACGGCGAGTCGAGGTGCCAGGATCCCAGAGGGTGCTAGGAGCGAGCTAGAGCCTAAACCCTAAACCCTAAACCCTAAACCCTAAACTTTAAACCCTAAACCCTAAGCCTAAACCCTAAACCCTAAACCCTAAACCCTAAACCCTAAACCCTAAACCCAATGGTTGCAGTTGGGCTTTGATTGGTGGAGTTGAGTGGCTGCGGGTCAGGGCGTCTCAGGGCTGTTGTTCAACTCTTAGTGTGAGGCATTCGCACGTGCAGTTCAACAACGTTGCGGGTGTGCGGAAGGTCACAGGAGCGACCGTCGATATTTTGCCGACGTTTAGTTTTCACAACGCCGCTCCGTGCGCTCCCTAGGACAGGAGAGAGGCAATGCAGACAAGGTTTGCTTTGAAGGTGGCACCTGCCGGGGCGACCCAGCTGCAAGTCCCAGGGAAGAGCAGAACGCAATCCAGCAATCATCGTGTCATGAATAATATTGTTGGTGTTATTACTATTGTAGCTATTATTAAGATTGTTATGATTGTTGTTATGATGTTTATTTTATTGTTATACTGATTATGATCATCATTCTTATGATTGCAAACAACATTGCAGTTCCTCATATCCCTCCCTGATTTCTACAGAATTCTTGCTCTTAAACCCCTCTTCCTCCTCCTCCTCCTCGCTGCCTCCTTCTTTTTCCCCCGGCCCTGTCGATTCTGCCAGTCCAGCACCCAGAAGGACCTGGGCCCACCCCCCCCCCCTCAAGGCCAAGATCCCAAGATCTTAACGAGGAGACGATGATGCAACAGGGAGTCACGAGTTTAGATACAGTGCCATGTTGGGATGTTCCTCCTTATACGAACAGTCCTTAATAGGGTATGGTACCCTCCCCTATAGTAATATACTCCCTATTAAGGAGCTGTTAGCATAAGGGGGAACATCCCAAGTGCCATGTCAAAAGGTAACACCAACTCAGATGCCTACTCGGAGACCTGTGGCGATAGAGGCCTTCTGGCAGGCCGATGGGCAAGCTCTGTGCAAGCTTGGCTTATGGCGCCTCGTTGGGCCCTTGCTGTTGACTTTGGCCACTGATGAGCAGAAGAACTTCCATCGCACAGTCCAGAGATTGATCAGCTCCATTGTGCAGTCACGGTCGTCCAGTTTTTCCCGTTGCATCCTGTGCGCAGGCTGGAAAGAATATCATCGGCGCCGGTCGGTTCAGTGGGTCTGCCGTGAGCTGCGGCCGGTAGTGATTCTTTGTCCGAGTTACGATGGTCGCAGGGCGGCCTTTGCTGTCATGTTTGGTGGTCTGTTGAGCAGTATCACTGGCAGACTGGTTAGGCAAAGCATCGCACTTTGGTTTGGCCCTGCAAGATAGAGTTGCAGAGTCTGACGACGGCGAAATCAGGAAGAGATTCGAATGCTCCTCCAGCGGGTGCAAAGCTGAATGTGCCTTGTCTGGGATTTGAGGTTGTGCAAGGACCTGGTAGGAAACGTCTTCCGCGCACGTGCGTAGTCCGCTTCTGCAGATAAGCAAAAACGCTTGGAAGTGGCATGCGCAAGCGACAGGTAGACCATGGTTCTCAAGCAATGGGCTTTTTTCGTGTTGTCCAAGCCGGCACTCTAGAGCTCATGTTTGGCTGGACTGAAGCTGCAGCTTTCCATGTCTTGCCCTCGCACCATCGTGTTTGCACCCCAACGGCTAGTTCTGGGGGCTCTTCCGGTTCGATAGCTTAGCCAAGCTGAGCTTCGTGTTGGGTTGTTACCATTTCCAAGCTCAAAGCGCACGTGTCGGGCAAGTCTGACGTTCAAGGCCCGGCTCAAAGGCACTGCAGCTGCAGATCAACTAGCTAAAGATGTGGCCCATTGCTTTCTACAAACCAAACGCGACGCTCTCTTAGGTGAAAAGTTTACGGGTCTGGATCTGCAAACGCACCTTGTGGCCTCCCTTGTTCGGCCGGGCCCAAACTGTTTGCAGATCCCCTTTTGGCGAGGGTAAGAGCCAGCCGGATCGCCAGACACTCGTCGTCGTTTTAGGGTTTAGGGTTTAGGGTTAGGGTTTAGGGTTTAGGGTTTAGTTCGCACCCCGTCACAGAGCAGTTGCTGTCAAGACACTGCCTGGCTTGGAAAGGCCCTGGGGGTGATGTTTTTGATCTTGGATTTGTGGCTCGGTCAGCGTTGCCCAGCGTGTTGGGCAGTATTTACGCGCCGTTCAAAGTACTGATTGCTACGAGCCCGAATGCTGCAGAAGTTCTGCAGGACTTGCTGGAATTCTGGTCTCATGACCGGTGGCACGACCCCAACAACACTCGTGACACGATGGGGATCTAGGGGGTTATTATAATCCCTATTAAGGACTTTTAGTATAATAGGGAACATCCCAGCCTCTAGTGTTTTAATCGCTTCGCGGAAATGTGTTTCGCATCTTCGCGCAGAGCTCGCTTTCAGATCGTGGCGGAAGTTGCTTCGAGGCTCTTGTGGCTGGTAAGTGCCGTCCTGTAAAAATATGCTTTGCCTACCGAACCATCTTCTCGACTGCCAGACAGAAGCAATACCACACTAGAGCGCTCCACTGTTGGCCTGGAGCCTAGGGCTTGTGAAAGAGGGCCTAGGCCTGGCTAATACGTGCAGCCCGCGTGGAGGCACCGATTGTGGCTTTGTGCTGATATGCAGACGTTGGCCCGAGGTGCAAACGACAAGTGCAAGATCAGACCCAACTGCATTGCAGCGGCGTCTTCTCAAGTGAAAGATGGCCCATCCAAAACGTCAAGCGGTGGCAACAAGTGGACGGCAATGTCTGACGCAGGGCGGGATTAAGCGGTGCAGCTGAATCTTTGACTTAGTTACCATGATTGCCGCTAGATTCGCGCAACATGAATGGTCGCTTGTAGGTGCAAGTGCTTGCCTCAGGAGTGCCCATCTGGCTACAAGGTGCAGAGGGGTGCATACTGAGACGGTGCGGAAAGAGGGCAGTTTGAGTCAGTTGTAAGAGAGTTGGGGAGTGCGAGAGCGCTGGGAACTCTGCAAGGATTATCGCGAACTCAAATGGCCAACCACGGTTCTTGCCTTTGCAATCTGAAGGCCGCCGGACTGCGATACATGGCAATCGACGGAGACATCAGAGGAGGCAGAAGCCCGGGTGGCAGCCGCTTTCACTGCAAGCTGTCGTGCAGAGTGGCGGTGAGTAGCGGCTGAGTAGCGGTTTTCGTTTGTGGAAGGTAGCTGCAGTTGGGTTGCCAAAGTCAATCGCAAGGCCTGCATCAAATCGACTGCTCGAATACAGGGTGCAGGGCACTGAGCATGGGCAGGAAGATTACCATCAAAACAGCCTGCGTCCAGCATGCTGAAGTGACGTCTGGGTCGTTCATCGACAAGAATCTTGGGTCAGGGTATACCTCCAAGTCGACCTGTCCAAGCGGCTACAATCCAATTGGCATCAGGCTATTGCAGTCCACTAGCACATACGACGCTGTGAAAAATTGGTGCCTCGCCAGCTTGGGCATCGTTCCTTTCATGTGTTTACTTGGGAAAGAGAAGGAAAAAAGTGTGGAAAGCAGTCGGCATGTAGCCGAGGCAATGCGACTCCTCCGGATGCAGGGTGGAATGTGTTGGAATGGGGAGGTGCAAAGTTCGCGCGATGTGTCTCTCAGCAATGACACGGGCCCGTGCGACGTGTTCCGCAAGCCATCAGAACCTGCTCGTCAAAAGTTCAACAGGGTCCGGCACAAGATCTGCTCCAAACTGCCCAGCGACACACCAGAGTATTTATTGCCTTTGCCTCTCCGATAGTAGCTTGGCAGAGAGCTTTCATGAAAGTTCCACATCAAGTCTCGGCCGAGAAGATCCGAGAAGTGCTTCGATTTCCTGTTCTTAAGGCGGGAAATGTTCGAGCTCGAATGGGGTGGCTGGCCCCAGCGGCTGCAGCGTGAATTTCGGCCCAGCACGCCGGCGACGTCGGCGATCTCACACGCCCATGGAAACAGTCTCGCGGATTTGTGCGCAGGGTGAGGCCAAGCTCAGAGTGTGGCTCGGTTCATTCAGACCACACCATTTCATCCATCGCTTAGGACTGAGACCCCCCTGTCCTGGCTTAATTTCGTTTCTACAGATTAGTCTGACGGCCTTCAAGATGCTCAGGTCTTTGGGCAGCGCATCTGTTGAATTGCAGCCTCAGGTCAGCGCACCGTTGACGTTCCATATCGTACGCGCGTGTACCTGGAACATCTCATCTTGGGCTAGCACTCCCTGTAGCAGTGGGGAGGGAGTGAGTTTTTCCCAAGACAGGCATAGCCGAAAGGCCTAATTAGATGAGAAGATACATCGCATGTATGCGTATATCAGGTACCCCGTGTTGCAGTACATGCAGGGAAGTCTCTTCTCTGTCAGCCCAATGCTTCATCCACCTTTTTTAAACTCCCGTAGTGGGTCCCCCAACCACCACCATGCAAATGCGGCGATTCTTCAAGAATCGCTGTTCGTCTTGCAGGATTTCAGGCATGACTACACCACCAAGACACTGCAGCTCACAGCAAAGGAGTCCGGCAACGTGCGCCTGAAATTTGAGGAGAGGTTACGCCAGCATGCCCGGGCCTCAACTGCCGCTAAAGAAGAAGCAGGAGAGGGAGCAAAGAGCAGGAAGCATGGGGAGCGACGACGAGAGGAAGAGGAATTGGAACAATGTTCCAGGAAGTACAGGGAGGAGATGGGAGGAGGAGTGACCTTGATGATCCCCGAGTCATGAACAATCGATATAAATCGATGGAAGATGATGTGGGTATGGGCGGCTGTTGTCACCAATCTGTGCGTGCCTTTTTTTCCGACAGCTGAGGCCAGATTGTTCTTCGAGGATGTCAGCATCACAGATTCCGTGTCTGACCCGACGAAGCAGAGCCTGATGATCGATCCAAGCAATGTGCCTCGCCAAAGCCACGTGGACATGCGCAAGACAAAGGTGCCTTCGCATGCCTTGAAGCGTGGAATCGCCAAGCTTAGGTTTGTTCAGGATCGCGGTGGGAGATCGAGATGCCGGCAACTGATGCCGGAGCTCTTGGCTGGATTGAGCATCCTTCTGCTTTGCAGCCATTGCAGCCCCCCTCTTTCATTGTGTGGGCTTCCTCAAGTGCATCGCTGCGCGTCGTACAGCCTGCCATGCACGAAGCAGATGCTGCCAAGGATCCCCCTACGAGGTCACGATCACGTACGGAGACAGTCGACGCGCAGTCGACACTTCAACGTGCACGCCACTTCCACGCGCATGTTAGAAAGTTTCTTGTGCTTGCCATCGCTTGAGACCACGTTTAACGTCAAAGAGAGTTTCTACCTCGGCATTCCTCTGTGTCTGTGTCTCTGTGTCTCTGTGTCTCTGTGTCTCTGTGTCTCTGTGTCTCTGTGTCTCTGTGTCTCTGTGTCTCTGTGTCTCTGTGTCTCTGTGTCTCGGTGTCTCTGTGTCTCTGTGTCTCTGTGTCTCTGTGTCTCTGTGTCTCTGTGTCTCTGTGTCTCTGTGTCTCTGTGTGTCTGTGTCTCTGTGTCTCTCTGTCTGTGTGTGTGTGTGTGTGTGTGATATTGTGTGTTTGTGTGTGTGTGTGTGTGTGTGTGTGTGTGTGTGTGTGTGTGTGTGTGTGTGTGTGTGTGTGTGTGTGTGTGTGTGTGTGTGTGTGGTGTGTGTGTGTGTGTGTGGTGTGTGTGTGTGTGTGTGTGTGTGTGTGTGTGTGTGTGTGTGTGTGTGTGTTGTGTGTGGTGTGTGTGTGTGTGGTGTGTGTGTGTGTGGGTGTGGTGCTGTGTGCCGTGTGTGCGTGTGTGTGTGCGTGTGTGCGTGCGTGCGTGCGGCGTGCGTGCGTGTGCGTGCGCGTGCGTGCGTGCGTGGTGTGGGTGGGTGGGGTGGGTGGGTGGGTGGGTGGGTGGGTGGGTGGGTGGGTGGGTGGGGTGGGTGGGTGGTGGTGTGTGGGTGTGTGTGTGTGTGTTGTGTGTGTGTGTGTGTGTGTGTGTGTGTGTGTGTGTGTGTGTGTGTGTGTGTGTGTGTGTGTGTGTGTGTGTGTGTGTGTGTGTGTGTGTGTGTGTGGTGTGCGTGTGTGCGTGTGTGTGTGGTGTGTGTGTGGTGGGTGCGTGGGTGTGTGTGTGTGTGTGGTGTGTGTTGTGTGTGTGCGGGTGTGTGTGTGTGTGTGTGTGGGCGCGCGCGCGCGCGCGCGCGTGTCGTGTGCTCGTGTGCGCATGTTTGCGTGTGCTCGCGTGCGTGCGTGCGTGTGTTTGTGTGTGTGTGTGTCCCAGCCTCTTGTCCAGCCAAGGATCGGTACATCGGGGCGCATGAAGGATGCATCCCACCCGGACAAAACCATTGCGAAAAATAAGTTTGTCACCGTGTCGAAGGCTGTAATCATCTATGGCAGCAACGGTCTCTCGGCTCATCTGCCGTGACGTGAGACATGCGCAAATGCGCGGAGTGACTTGGGATTTGCTAGTCGCCACGCTATCAACCTGTTGCATCTCACAGGCAAAGGCAAGCTGGCATTCTCGGGGGAGCTTTCGTCGGGCTGCTCGGGAATCAATAAGCAACCTAGCTGCACAAGCAATTCTCAGCAAGGGTTTTTTTACACATGCATACACGTCTTTGGAAATCGGGCACCGGGTGGGTCAGAACTTTCCCCAAAGCCTAAGCCCTCAAGGTAAACTTTTAAACCATAATGGGGTTCCTGAGGTATCGGAGGGAGGTGGAAGCCCTTGAGCCCCGCAGGCCCTTCGAGGCCCTTGGAGGTCCTGGGCTTGGAGCTTGGAGCCCTTGGAAACTTAATTTTTGGCTAAGCCATCCTTAGCCCTTCGAGGCACGGATTGTGATGTCACCAAGAGCCCAAGAGCCTCCAACAGCTTGCAGAAGCTCTGTCAAAGGCTTCCAAGGGCTGAAGCACCTCCTTAAGCTTGCAAAGGGCTCCGAGGGCTTTCAAGGGCGGCTGCCTGGGCTGCGCGAGTCGAATGAGCAAAATGGGTCGGTTGTAGATGGCTGAGACAGATGGGTTGGCGATAAACAATTTACGTCAGACATGGATCAATTTTTTGAATGAAAAGGGACTCGGGGAGTCATGTGGTACCAAACACACAGGGGCCTAACTCTAAGCCTCAAACCCTGAACTGCTTTGATGACCAGACACCGTGTGTGTGTGTGTGTGTGTGTGTGTGTGTGTGTGTGTGTGTGTGTGTGTGTGTGTGTGTGTGTGTGTGTGTGTGTGTGTGTGTGTGTGCGTGCGTGCCCTGCAGTGCGATGTTACTATCAGCTAGGCGGGTGGCAAAAAAAAAGGTTTGGGGTAAGTGTCTAATGTGGCTTCCCACAATGCCTGACTGACAGTGTGCCTCGCCTGGATCGCCCGAGTGTGAGCGATTAAGCCCTAAACCCTAAACCCTAAACCCGAGGTCAGCTAAGCGGGTGGCAAAAAACCCTAAACCCTAAACCCTAAACCCTAAACCCTAAACCCTAAACGATTAAGCCCTAAACTGACCGTCCGTCAGGATCAGCATTTTCAAGCAGGACTCCGTGTTTTGGTCTGCGTGCGGCGGGTCCTTCTCCAAGGCCTGGAGCCTGGAGGCCTCCAGGTGTCTCGGTCTTACGTGCTCGTAGTCTTTTGTTCAGGGTTTAGGGCAAGTTTAGGGTTTTAGGGTTTAGCCTGGCAGCAAGGAGTCCAGAGCAAAAAGGGTTTAGGGTTTAGGGTTTAGGGTTTAGGGTTTAGGAGATTGGCAGTTCGGTGCATTTTGGTACCTTCTGTACCCTCTTTGAACCCGCTAGTCAGTGCTATGGAGGACCCTGATTCCCCTCGTGTTGTGCTGGCCCTCTCGAAGATTACTGTCTTCAGACGCCGAACGCCTAAGGCAAGCCCCGGGAAACGTCCAGCTTGTCTACCGAGATCGACAAACAGCCGCATGTGTGGACCCGATGACCGGCAAAATGGAAGACTGCGCGGTGGAGACAGATGTCGACACCTTGCTCAGCTTGAAAGCATGCTAGAGGGTTCATACAATGATACAATGATATAATAATGGAATAATAGAATAATGGGCTAATAGAGGAATAGAAGAGTAGCATAATGGACTAGCAGAAAAATAGAATGATAGAATCATGGAATCATGGAATAATAGAATAAAAGAATCATAGAATATTCGAATAATAGAATAATAGAATAATAGAATAAGAGAATAATAGAATAATAGAATAATAGAATAATACAATAATAGAATAATAGAATAATAGAATAATAGAATAATAGAATAATAGAATAATAGAATAATAGAATAATAGAATATAGAGAATAGTAGGAATAATAGAATAGTAGAATATAGACTAATGTAATAAATAGAATAATAGAATACGTAATAGAATACTAGAATAATAGAATAATAGAATAATAGAATAATAGAATAATAGAATAATAGAATAATAGAATAATAGAATAATAGAATAATAGAATAATAGAATAATAGAATAACAGAATAATAGAATAATAGAATAATAGAATAATTGAATAATAGAATAATGGACTAATGGAATAATAGAATAATTAATAGAATCGTAGAATAATGGAATAGTGGAATAATAGAATCATAAAATATTAGAATAATAGAATAATCGAATAATAGAATCAGGGCTGCTGACAGGCGGTCTAGACTTGGACTCGCTTTTCGCCGTCGAGAGAGAGAGAATAATAGAATAATGGAATAATAGAATAATAGAATAATAGAATAATAGAATAACAGAAGAATAGAATATTAGAATAATAGAATAGCAGAATAATGGAATAATAGAAGGATAGAACAATAGAATTATGGAATTATTAGAACAATGGAATAATCGAATAATAGAATAATAGAGCAATCGAATAGTCGAATAATCGAAGGATTGAATAGTGGAATTCTAGAATAATAGAATAATCGAAATAGAACAATAGAAAAATGGAGTAATAGAATAATCGAACAATCGAAGAATGGAATCGAAGAGGCACACAAGATCGATCTCGGGTTCCAGCAGGAACGCTTGAGCTTTTGGGTGGCTGCTGCTTTGTCAGATTCTATACATAGATTATATATATACATATATATCTATATATATATATATGTACATATATATATATATATACAATCAATAGTATATATATATATACAGTTTATATAATATACATAATATCTGTATGTGTCTATATTCAGATTCCAAGGAAGCGCACACGAAGCAAGTGTTCTCTTTGGATTACCTGGCGCCCTTGGCAGCGCGCTGGACCCACATGGCCTCCGGAGAGAACCTGCTGGTTGGCTTGAATCGTAGCGTACACAGTGCCATCAAGTGCCAGTGCTAATATATATATATATATATATATATATATATTTTCTTTTTATATTTATATTTATATATAATTTATATTATATACATAAATACCTATAGCCAGTCCTTGGGCCCTGCGTTGCTGCATCTCATGATGACACAAAGGCAGCCTGGGGCCTGTGTGCGAGCTCAAAACAGGCGGGTCGGATGTCATTGTGTGGGCAAGCCGAGCTCCACAAGCGCCACCTGTGCCACAGCCAAGATGCGTCGTGCACAGGTACCTGCCGAGCCTCAAAGTCAACCAGCCCCTTGTGTCTTGCGCAGAGGGTCAGGCGCCCTTGCTTGCCATGCTTTGCCACTCAACCAAGTGGTCTTCTTCAGAAAGTGTTGGTCTTAGGATCCACCGTGATGCGATGAACAAGTTCCTCAAGTTGTTTGGGCGAGTGTTAAGAAAATGAACATCCACGTTTTTCATCAGCACTTCGCCACCGTCATGCGGGAAAACCTTTCTCGTCCCTTTGGCACGTGTGTTTCGTGGGCACCCGCACATCCAACAAACTGGTCCCGTGCTCCATCGCCGCTGCGGTTGGGCGCGCTGGCCTACATACAGTGTGGGCCAGTTGATATTCGTTTCCTGTGAGGGCAGGAGGCCTCGTGCGGCGTTCTTACCTGATGAATTTGCGCTTTGAGAGCATGCGAGTATATTTCCTGACAGGTGCTGAGCTCCTTCTCCTTCCGACAAGATAGCTCTTGCAACGGCGCTGACTACTTCCGACCCTTGGCTGCTTTCAACAGAGTGAGAAGCTTGGAGCCTCTACTGGTAGTGGCGGAAGTGGCCGAATCTCCCTCGCTCCTTCCCTCTCTCCCTCTCTCTCCCTCTCTCTCCCTCTCTCTCCCTCTCTCTCTCCTCTCTCTCCCTCTCTCTCCCTCTCTCTCCCTCTCTCTCTCTCTCTCTCTCTCCCTCTCTCTCCCTCTCTCTCCCTCTCTCTCCCTCTCTCTCCCTCTCTTCTCCCTCTTTCTCCCTCTTTCTCCCTCTTTCTCACTCTTTCTCCCTCTTTCTCCCTCTTTCTCCCTCTTTCTCACTCTTTCTCACTCTTTCTCCCTCTCTCCCTCTCTCCCTCCCTCCCTCCCTCCCTTCCTCCTCAGTGAGATCTGATCGAGTGTAGGCTCATGACCCCCCCCGCCCCTCTTCGGTAGCCCCCCCCGCCGCCCCCCAAGGCTATTTCTACAGTTGCACCACCATCGTGCCGGTGAAGGGTGCCTCGATGTGCGCCGCGTGCCTTGTCTTGATCTGCCAGGCAGATGCACATGCCACCAATGCCCCTCGGAGTGCCGCCGTAAAGTGGCTCAAGCACGTGTGTTTCAGTGTCGGCAGGCATGGCTTGATCGTATCTGAGGGCGCGAGTTTCAGTGTGTCTTTTGATTCTTTTCTTTTATGCATCTGTTACAACTGGAGACTCGGCCCAGGAAGTCGACGCGCTGTGTTGCCCACACTTCCAGCGATCCGCACCTGTGGGAGTTGGACAGGCCATCATGACACAGCCTTGCAATGTGCATCAGAGGATTTCACAAGCACCTGGCTTCCCAAATGACGTGAATTTCACGGCCTTTTGTCCAAACGAGACGCACAACACCCAAGCAAAGTCAGGCTAAACAGCTTCCAGGCAGCGGATACCCTGGAGCTCTGCCAAACGAAGCTGCGTCATGGTACTGTTGTAGCTTGGGGACGAGTAGTTGAGCGAGACCTTGCTTTATCGTTTTTCAAACCTTTGATGATGCTGAGAATTGCATAAGCAAAGCCCCCGGCGAGAGTGCTCCGAAGGCTCTCAATGCGCATTGGCAGATTGGGGTTGGGTTTGCCTCACCTCAGGGCAGCGCCCAGGATGACGCACCTGTCAACCCTGATACTGACCCAAATTAAAATATTGCTGCCGAAATACTGCCAACGGATGCATCCTCGAGCTTTTGCATCAGAACTAGGGCAATTGGACCTGGGCTTCCTTGAATGCGTCAGTAATGGGTCCCAATCTCGTTCTGTGCATACTTGGCACCATGTGGCACCTAAACCAAATTTTATTGTCGGTTTTACTTGGAGTGGACTGGATCCGTCCTAAACGCACTGGCCTTCATCCAAACCAACCTACGAAATGACCACCCCCTACTACTAACTACGAGCCCTACACGCACTGGCCGCATGGTTTAAACCGACACGCATGACTTAAGTGACACGACATGAAGAGGCTTACGAGTGGCTTCCCCCTCAGTACACTTGGTGCCTGTCATTCTCCTCAAGTCTGGAAGTCGCGGGCGTAGTTTTACCTGTCACTCACTCACCACTTGTTTTGTTGGTCCAGCTCCTACGGCTTCCCTTCCCATTGGCGGCTGTCTGGCTGGCTGCTCTCGGTCCGGCTCTTCTGGGTGTGCCGTGATAAGTGAGAAGAGAAGAAGCTGCTGTACTTGTAACTTTCAAGCTTGCTCTTTCGGGGTGCTCAAGGTTGCGCGCGTGCGTGCCCTGTGCAAGGCACGATGTTGGATCTCAATGTGAAGCGGGAACGTTGTTGACGAAGTTTGAGTACAAGAGCTGCACTGGAGACGATGGTGTCTCGGTTCATGTGAAGGTTACATGTCTTTCAAGGCTGTGCAGTTGCACCCGGGCTGAGTTAGCAATTTGCCTTGACGGCCATCGTTCTTACCTTGCATAGAAGGCGTTTGCGCCGCAGAGAGCCCAGAGCCGTCGCAATTCACAAACTGGCATGAGCTACCCGTACCATGTTTGCCCTTGAGACCTTAAGCTTCTGCAGGCGCTGGCTATCATTATGCATACACGTGCTGTCCGGTGCAAGGCGCCGGACCCAGTGTGTAGGAATGATCACCTTCGGCATGATGTGAACAGCGGCCGCGTTACGAGTTTGCAGAGTGCTTGTTGCTATGCCGAGGTTTGGGTGAATGCTCCGAAGAAAAGACGGAGTGGGGAGAGGTGCCTTTGTCACAAGAGTCTGCCGCAGGTCCGCGTCTCTCGGAAGGGTCGGGCATGGAGAGGTTCCGACGATTGCGGCAGGAATGCAAGTGAACATGGTATTTGCACTGGGTGTCTCAGGTTGGCGCGAAAAGTGACCTGGCAGCCTTGGCGCACCACCGACCTCACTGCCCTCGCGACCTTTGGTGATGAAGTTAGCATCGTCCAGAACCAAACATCTCATAAAAAGCTGGCAGTCGCCACCGAGGCTACTGCCTGTGTGCGTTGTTATCATGACTTGAGGGGTTCCCTATAAGTCAGGGGCCTTGTGCGGGTACTATAGTGCCTGCCCCAAAAATAGTCTGAAGGGTGACAGGGGGGTTTCCGAAATTAGGGGTACCTTAACTGGGATCCTTTATCATAAGGGAATCCTACTCTTGGGGGTCTCTATCAAAGGGGCCCCTTATTTTTGTCAGCGCCCAGATGCAAGGACAGCGGGTTGCAGCGCTTCCTCCTCGAGTCCAAAGTTCCGGAGGTGGCGGCCAGTGCTCCTCTCCAAGGAGAGGTGAGGTGCCGGGTCCGCACGCCCTGTAATCCCTACATCAACACCATTCACGAGGAAAGAGCCCCCTTTTGTATGGAAGTATGTACGTACTATATATAAATCAATGAATACATGAAGAAAAATCAATAGATAAGTATATATATATATACACACACATATTCACTCACACACACACGTATATAAGCAGCAATAAGAAAATAATAATAGTAGTAGTAATAATGATAATATTAATAGTAGTAATAAAGATAAGAGGTAAGAACCCTTACAAGCCCCAAACTCTGTGTGTCCTTCCCATTCTCAAGGTACACTTTTGTCTGCTGCATGTTGCCAATGGCACCGCCCGTCAGTGTGAAGACGGGGCCATTGGATGCAGGCATCGCGTGGGAAGGCACACCGTTGCAGCCAAGTGCAACCAGACTCTGCGCAGGTTTTTTTTGCTTAACGCCTTGGCATCTCCAGGCACATATTGTCCAGCAGGACGCAGCGAAGGTCGGGCTACCCTCATGCGAGGAAAGCCTTCGGCTCCTTATTTCTCGAAAAGTGCCTCGACCAGACAGATTGCAGGTGCTCGGAGTCTAAATGTGCCCTTGGGCACTACAGCGTGTGTGTTTGGAATCGCGCTTGTGTGCCGGTGGTACAAGAGAGCTTGTCGGCGGCCCGGCGGCCCGTAACCAAGAACGGCCGAATAGTGAATATGTGCATGTTAATCAACTCCCGGCGCGCGATCTCACCTGCTGCAGATTAACCGTTGCATTCGTGTTGCATCCCTGGTCTGTCCCTCCCAGTCCGAGCCGAGCCAATAAAACAAGGAGACGGCAAGGCATGTGGCTACCACAAGGACAAGCTGGCCAAAATTGTCGACGGCGGGGCCTACTTGCCTAGCACAAGGTGGGTAGTCTGAAAGCAAGGATTCCTTGTGTGCCAGCACTAACTTGGCCTTTCCTCTATGCGCCATGCGCATCAGGGCGAGTGCCCTGAGCATCTGCGGCCCAATCTGCGCTGCGGAGCCGACCTGCGATGGCTTTATCTGGACCGCAACGAGTTTTGAGTTTTTGCACCAGCGTGGTCACAGCCACCGCGACAGCATCGGGCAGGCGAAAAAACACCATGTGTTTCCTACATGTCTTCCAGCAGGATCGATGGGATTTGCGGCTTCCGCCAGGACACGTCGATCAGTGCCACTGAGATTGCACAACAGCATGGTGTCCACGTGTGTGTGTGTGTGTGTGTTGTGTGTGTGTGTGTGTGTGCGTCTGTGATCTTCACTGATACGGGGATGGCTAAACTCATGACGCGCCGTCGTGTTGCTTGCTTTTAACCTGCCATCACACAGTCCGACCGCGGTGGAAACACCCGCATTTCAGGGTGCTTGTGGGCGGCCTGCTGCGCCCCTGCATGCAAAATCAGAGTTCGGCTGCGACCTCTTCCGCCGATGGTCCCCACACACAGATGTGTACACACATAAGAGGCTCCGTACTACAAGTTCCCCAAATAGGGGGACCACACCTCAGAGAGCCCACCACTTGTCCCAAGTCGACTTCAGCAGTCGATAGCGTCGAGGTGAGCTCCAATGCTGGCGCCGACTGCTACACCAAGGTGCCGGAGTCACAGGCACTTTGCCTGGAATTGAGAACCAAGGAAGTTGTGTTCCCATCATTCGCAGACGTGCAATGCTTATATGCAGTCGCCTGAGCTTTGCATGTCACGGCCTGCTTCGAAGGTGAGCCTTGTCCTTGCGTTAATTATATGCGACAGCACACCAGCCCTTCGGATAGTCTGAATTTCAGGCCATGAAGATCAAGTTTGACCGTCTTGCTGGCCATTGGTGCATGATATCTCATGTCCAGCAGGCTGTCTGCTCCCTGGACTGCAAGAGCATGTAACCTTTTTTCGAGTCTCAAGAATTCTAGCTTTTCAGACGTTTTGGCAGTAGGCGCAGCTTCATCCCCGCGCTCTGTAGGAGTAGAATCAACCCTAAACCCTGAACCCTAAACCCTAAACCCTAAGCCCTAAACCCTAAACCCTTTGGATGTGCTGGCATTCGTTGAGGTACCACTGCTGATGTGTCGCATCCACTTGAGCTGCCTCCGGGGGGCGAAGGTAATGTCGACTACTCCCCGGCCACTCGGCTGAAGCCGATGCTCGAAGGGTTTAGGGTTTAGGGTTTAGGGTCAGCTAAGGTCCTGCCCATGGACACGGAGTTTGAGGGCAATGGTGCGGTGGAAGTGGCGCACGACTCGATGGCGATGAGCCTGTTAGGACCGTATGTAGGTCAGGCACCAGCTCATACAAGTGTTTAGGGTTTAGGGCAGGGTTTAGGCTTTGGGGTTTAGGGTTTAGGGTTTAGGGTTTAAGGGATCAAGTCGGCGTGGCCTGCTCCAAGCACTGTGTTCTCGGTCGTTGATCGTTTGATGCTGCGCGGTTTTAGGCGTGTTTGAAGCGCTCAGGGCTCATCGGTCTGCGCCAGTGTGAGATTTGCTTTGCTGTTTTGGGGCTGCATGCCTCCAACGGGTAAGGCAAACGGACTCCAGCTAATTACTGTTACATCACAGCCATGCTCTGACTTCACGCTGCAGAGAGTGCTTGCAGAAGAACCCTAAACCCTAAACATTAGTCCCTGCAACGTGGCCTGAGTGTCAGCTAGGCGGGTGGCAAAAAAAACCCTTTCTGCGTTTCCTTTAAAGGCACAAGCTTTTCCCTTTCTAGTGGCAGTCATTTCCCAGAATCAGTCCCTGCAATGTGGCCTGAGTGTCGGCTAGGCGGGTGGCAAAAAGAAAACCCTAAACCCCCATCGATCCCTGCAGGAACTTCGAATTCTGCTGCAGTGAGCCGAGCTGGAACTGGCGGCGGGCTGGGAAACAAGAAGTTCAAGAGATTCAGCCTGACTTACTAGAGTTCTTAGTCGGGAATTGGGGAGTTCATCTGCTTTGCATCCCTTTCTTTAAAGGAGGTTGCGCAGGGTACCTAAGTCACTAATTCCTGGAAGCATAAGTATGAGGCTCTTTCGGACTTTTGGTTGGGTTTTGCCGGAGTGATGCTTCGCGCATGTTGTGCCGAGGAAGCTGCCAAAGATCCCAGCAGCCAAGTTCAACATGGCAAAGCTCCAGTGGCTGCAAGGATGGGCAATCGCACTTGATTGGGCTCGGCTGTGTTCGCCCATGGGCATGTCGCAAACTCGGCAGTCTCAGATAGCCAGCCTTCGAGAAATTGTGGGCCGCCTTTGGGGGGAGGAGTAGGGGGCGGGGAGGTGGCCATCGACAACAGATGTCAATAGCTTATTAGGTAGAAGCCAGCCACTCCGACCTCGCTGCGAAGGTAGGTTTCTGTCCCTGTGCGCAGCGCGAGAAGCGTATTTTTATTGCGCTGGGGGAAGGCTCTCCACGCTTTCTTTTGGCCTTCTCCGAGGTTCGAGATGGCGGAGTTCAAGCCTTTTGAAGGCGAGCGCCAAGAGCTTCAACAGCGTGGTGTCACCGAAGCGGTTGCTTGGCTTTGCGCAAGCCTTCGTGCTGGAATTGCCAACCCTATAGTAGGAGTGCAACACGGCAGTAGCTTCAATTCAAGCAGGCGTGTCGTCACATCCTGAAGGCGTGGCACTACGTAGTTCGCAGACGAAACGTCCAAGCGTCCTCCAGCTTTTTGTTCCGATCTTGTAGGCAGAGGAGGAGGGCCTACATTCACGCAAATGCCTGGCATGCAAGTTCTTTCAGCCAACGAGGTGCTGAATTGGAACCCGGAGCCAATCGAGCCGCTTGGCATCCTTAAGAGCACCAGCACAGACCCCCAAGAAATTTAGGGTTTAGGGATGTTTAGGGTTTAGGGTTTAGGGTAGCCAGAGAGGACAGCGAGCCCAGAAACAGGGTGAGGGGCCGTGCGTTTGGGTTAGACATTTTGTTGTGAGTGCGATACGGTCGACGTGGCCAAAGCCCGACAAAAACGCATGTTTTGCATGGCTTTCGCAGGTATCGAAAACACCAGAGTGTTTTTTTCTGGCAGGCTCTGGAATTTTGACAGTCTATTCTTTCGTCCATAATTTGAGTGACATTCTTTCTGCGCTGGCCACGGCGCAGGGGCGTCTTGCACTTGGTGCTTGTTGTGTTTATTCGGAAGCTCTTTTCGCAAACCCCGCTTAAGTTCCAACCTCGAGCCAAATTGATCGAGGACCAGAAGGTGGGAGTCGGAGGCATGCAATGAACCCCCGACTGTTCTCAGCAGAAGACCCTGAGAGCCCCGCCCGCAGAAGGTATGCTCCTCACTGTTTGGCCCGCGAGAGCCGCGAAATGATCACTGGTGCCGAGCCCGTCGAGGGAGATCACTACCTCACAGTCGAGGTCGCATGCCAAGCAACTAATATGTTGGCGCCTCTGTTCTGCTGCAGGGCACGGGCCGAGACATGTGTGTCTGTGTCTGTGTCTCTCTCTCTCTCTCTCTCGCTCTCTCGCTCTCTGTCTCTCTCTGTCTCTGTCTCTGTCTCTGTCTCTGTCTCTGTCTCTGTCTCTGTCTCTGTCTCTGTGCGCGTCTTTGAAGAGGTTGTTGTGAGCTTCGATACTTGAATGTGGTACAGGCACAAAGTCCCGGGTGCGAGCTTTGCGAGGGTGTCTAGGTCACTGGAAGATTCTTGGAAGGTCCCGGAGTGGTTGCTAGACCGAAAAGGATGGAGCACAGCCGCGTGCAGTGCATACGTTTTCGGGCTGAACGGTCCCAGAGTCAGACGCGCTTGGTCCACGGGCCAGAGACCCGGCCCTGACGCCAGTGGCCACAGACCTAAGCCAATACCGAACACGAGTATCTTTGCATGCTTGTGGCTTGTGTGTTCAGGACACATAGTCTACCGCAATCTAGAATCGGTGATTGTTGTTGGACATAGTGCTTGGCCATGAGACGGGTGCTAGAGTGCTAGAGCTGGCTAGAGGGGCTCTGGCTGTATCTGGCTGTGGCTAAGGAGAGGCAAAAAGATGTTGTCGGTGCATGCTACCATGCCCTTGGCGCAGATGCCAGCGGGGCAGCGGCCGTGGAGACGTGGGGTGAGGAGGGCACTCCAGGCTTCGAGCCAAGTTTTCTGTAAGGCAGACTAGGCAGAGAGCTCCTCAACTCTTCATCCCCGCGTTCGGATGTTGTGCCTTTGAGTTCTCACATTCACTTACATGCCTGAAGATATCAAGCTTGAGCTTGTGACATTTGCCGTTGTCCCATGCCAGGGAAGAAGAACACAGATTGGCAAGAGCCCTACTTTACCCCCAATCCTACTTTCCCCGGCCTCACCGCCGATGCGGTCTGGGACTGCAGCACTCGCGACATCAATCGTGGATACAAGCTGGCCATGTGGGACCGAAAGGGCCTGGCATAGTTTGGTGAGAGGGGTGCACACATATTATGGGCCTCACGTCATGAATGTATTGTATGGAATTGTCGCAGGACCGTGAAGCTGCTTTTGCAGAAAGCACAATCGAGGCTGGGGGGCTTTGAAAAAAGCAGCATGCTGTGTGTCTCATGCCCTGTACACTACGCAGCTTCAGAGATCTGCCCGCGACAGCAGTGCAATGCATGCGCCCTCAGGACTTTGCCGAGCCAGTTGTGACAAAAGCCTGCATGAATATCCCTGGAACAGTTGCGCTGGCTGGTGCTATTGCCGCTTATGCAGGGACAGACATGGATGCTGGAGACATGTGTGCGGCGGTCGGCGGTGCAGTATCTTCCGCCTCCCTGTTTGCCATTGCCCAGACGCAGTATTACAGGGAGCTGAGGTATGACGAAAGCGATTTCCAAGATTGCAATCCCTTGCAGAACACAATGGCCAAGGTTTACTGCGACCTGTCCTGTGTTGAGGACGCAGTCAAGCGAGGCGACCAGAAAATCCTGACCTCCATTGGCACATTGAACCGAAACATCCTTTCGGAGATGAAGGAGTTCTTCCACCACTATGTCTCCGAAATCTTTGGTCGCTTGACGCACATGGAGGACAAGTCTAGCCATGAGAATCAGCAGCTGAAGAGCGTCATGGATACTTATGCGCAAGCTGATGTGGATGCAGCAACTTGGCCGGAACAGCACGGGCGTCAGGCTTCTCACAGGCTTATCAAGCTTGCTCGTTGTTTCCGCGTGAATTGTTCTGCTGCAAGCTCACAAGATAGGTTTAAGATGGCTTAAGCCTTTTGATCCTGTTGCATCCAGGTCAATTCCAATGGAAAGCAGATTATCAAAGCCATGAACTCGCAACACAGTGCGCTGAACAAGAACCTTGGCATTGCTGCCAAGCAGATCTTTGACCTCACGCACGAGGACGGAATCAGAAGGAAGGAAGTGCTTGAAGTTGCGCCTCAGAGATGTTACTCATCTTTGCAGGAGCACAAAGTCCTCGCTCAGAAGATGGAGCCTTGCACACATTCTACGTATTCGTAATTGTGCTTTGTGCGTTCTTCCCGCCGCCATGCTATCCCATGCTCCGATCTTCGTCGTGTGCATGTGTGCGTACCTATGCACGCGTACATGAACCGAGGAGTGTCAAGATGCGCCCATGCACTCACGCACCCATGCACCGCGCGCCTGCCTGCCTGAATCGCATGCAGTCGCGCGCAATCTCACGCAGTCGCATGCAGTTCCAGACAATCGCACGTACTTGCACGCACTTGCACGCAATCGCACACGCCTGGCCTGGACGCCATCGCACGCACCCGCGCGCACACGCAATCGGACGCAATCGCACGCAGTCGAACGTACTTGCACGCAATGGCACGCCCTGGCACACAGGCACAGCGCGCAGGCCCACAAGGGCACGAACGCACGGAATCGCATGCACTCACTCTCTCTCTTTCTCTCTCTTTGTTTTCTGTCTCTCTTTCTCTCTGTCTCTAGATCTTGCTAGGTTCTGCTGGGCCGTTTGAATTCTGCTGAGGATGTACATCTGGCAGCGACTTCTGATGCCATTGATAACTTGACGCTGGACTGACCAAGCAGTGGCGGGCCCACCCGCATATATAGCCTTTGTTGTCCACAGGAACGAGTCGAGTAGGCCGAGATGCAAGATGTAGTGGCAAATGTACTTCTAGGAACAGTGCCGTGTAGGGCTCCTCATACCTTCGTAAACACGAGCGCAGCCCACCCACATGGTGTGACTTGCAAACAGCAGGGTGGAGACGCTGGTTATTCTAGAAGAGTCAAACACCTTCGCTGAAGTCTTGTGATGCCGGCCTGAGCACTGGGCGGAGATTTGTCACAATCATCCACACCCAAAGAACTCTTGGACTGAAGCAGAGAAAGCAGGCCGCCCAACGAAGACCCGTCAGATGATGCATACTAGTACCTTGCATTTTCTTACGGTATGGCCTAACCCACTGTATACTGGTGTGGTGATCACGCATCGGAGCATGCAGCTCAGGAAAGAGTCAACAGTACAAGGCTTCCATGATGCATTCAGCGAGTTCACCGAAGCCCTGGGATCAGAGGACGTTTGACGGATTTGTCAAGCCTTGCGGCACCCACCATGTTGAACTCGGAAGAGTCTCGGAAGACTCAGGACGGAGCGGCCCTCACGCAGTTGAAACACACCCACACGGCCGCCAAGCAGGCTTTGGAAGAGAGTCTTCTCGGCATTCAACATCTTCCCCTGGCTTCTGGCTTGCCTTTAGGTGCTCCAGAAGTCTTGTCGGAGCCATTGTGTTGTTGGGCTCTGTTTCTTGTCATCTCGAAGATGTTTCGCCTCCACAGGATCTCAGCTTGGAATGTGGACGGCACCATGTACCGCCTCGGCTCTGCCAAGCTGGAGACTGCCTTCGCATTACACACCGTAGAAGCTATCTTTGGCACATCTCTTTGTGTATCCTCATCTGTCCACGTAGTTTGTTCTGCTTTGTTGATCTACCTGGCAATTTCCTGTCCGTCCAGGCATGACCTGATTCCAGCTATGTATCAATCAATCCATTTGCCAATTGCCAACCAGCCTACCCACCCACCAATTTGGCCATCCACAAGTGTGAGTCTGTGTTCTTTCCGTCTCGCAGTGCGGCAACACAATCCACACACCTCAGATGTTGCAGGAGCAAGTTGAGCAGGCCCTGCTTGCCTTGCGCAAGCAAATTACAAACGCATCTTGGTTGCCACACTTGGCCTCAAGACCATGTGCTACAGTAGCAAGCTTGTGGGCGTGCAGCTTATGCTTGTCAGCATGGTTGAAGGCACGTGCTCAGCAAGCTGGAAGGGGAGCATCCCCAAACGCCACCGTGCGGACACTTGCAGAGCAAGGTGTGCTTTTTCTCTTGGGAGCATGGCTTTGGCCACTTTAGCCTACCAGGGAGCCCACAGTCGCAGGTTCAGCCTCGCGCTCAGGTCCAAGTGGCTCCAGGAGGGAGCCGCGCTTCACCGTGACACCACAGCCATTGCCAGATCGCTGCTGGGCTGGAAGGCCCGGCCACGGAACAAGCGGTTCTGACACGCCGTGGTCCTGATCATGACTCATCTTGTCCCAGGTGAACCTGCCCGAAGCGCCTGCTCTCATCGACTTGGAGATGAAGAAGCTGCTCAAGGCGGCGCAGACCTCGTGCCTTGGCGATGCTGGCGTCATCCTGGTTTCGGGCTCACCATGAAGTATGCACTTAGGATCCAAAGCCACCGCCATTCCGCTCAGCACATGAATCGCCACATCGCGTTGCTGAGAGGTGAGTCTGAGGCTGGAGCGAGAACTGGCGCAGAGTATGTTTGACCGTAATTGCCACTGATCGTAATTGCCACTGATGCACTGTGGTGGGAAGCCCTTCCGTGCAAGAAGGCCGTCAGGCTGGAGGCGTTCCACGTGGAATCCCAGGTTGTGGAGTTCGACAAGACCCTTGTTTGTACCCAGATTTGTGCCGCCAGCTGACATGAGTTTGAATGTTGCACGGAATTCTGACACGATCAAATCAAACGTGGCAAGAGTGCGGGGCATTTCTGGGCGGCATACTGGGACCTCCCCCCCCCCAGGTCTTGCGTGGGCAGATGTTTCAAAACGGCATCGGTGTATACAAGCGTCTGCTGTCCCTGGTGGCCAAGGATTCTCTTGAAGATCCGTCAGGCCACAGAGGAGTATTTAGAAGCAGCACAGGAGCCCTCTGATGGCAAAGAAGCTTTGTGTCACAGGTGGAATCTGGACAGTCTTTCGTCCTGTGTGCATCGATCATTTCGACTCAAACGTTTGCAAGGGTGTGCTAGGGCGTGCACAACATGAACCTTTGTGTAACGCATGAAGCACGCATAGCACGCTGAAGGATGTTGTGATTCCATGCCTTGAGGCAAGTGAGCCATGTGAGCACTGCGACTGAGCTCACTGAAGGCTATTTGTCCCAGTGCAGTGCTGCTCCTTGGCACAACAGTGCCCTTTCAGATGCCACGCTGGTTAGACCGTTTAGACCCCTCAAACATCCCATGGGGCCAGTCTTTCAGTCTGGGCCCGAGAGGTCCGCAAGTGAGCCACTCTCCCTCCCCTCAAAGAGAACAGGGGCCAAGGGGTGCGTTGTTTCAAACTCTGCTCTCGTGGTCCTGCTTACGGATTTGGGGACGAAAGGGGCTCAGCGCAATCAAGGGTTTGAACCCCGTTCGGCCCGTGTTCATGTATGTATGGATTTTGCGCAATTGCTGGGAGAGATTCGTTTGACTCAGGATTTCTTACAGGTGCAGGTTGCGGCAAAGCGTGCCATGCGTTCGGGCCAGAAAGCAGCGAAAGCGGCACGCAGGGCGCTGACTTTCAACTGCAAGAGGTCGCTACTACTGTGTGGACCTGCATAGTGTATTGTTTGGGATGTTCCCCTTCTGCTAACAGTCCTGCATAGGGGATTGTAGTACTCCCTATCATTATCCCTCTGAAGGACTGTTCGCATAAGGGGGAACATCCCAATGTATTGTGGTGTCAGTAAGCAGCAGCCGGAGCAGCCTCCGACTTGTCAGGGTGTGGGGTGGGCAATTTCCAAGGAAAGAGGTCACCCAGCAGGTTGGGCTCCTGGCAGACATCATGGTCGACGGCGGTTTGGCCGCTTGGCGCGCAGTCTTCAAGTTTGCCGAGGGTTCGCTTGTGTCTGCGAGAAGCCGGGTGTCCAGCGGGTGTCAATGGCACCTGCAAACAGTCGTTGCGTGATCTCGGCCAGTGGTCACGCCTACTCACTTTGCTCGTGGCTGCTTTTTGGACCAGCCATATTGTTTGCGTTCTTTTTGTCCTTTGTTTCTGCCTCTAATCCTTGAGTGAGCCTGATCGTCAGGCTTCAAGATGTGTTGGTTCGTGCTTGTGTAAGTGTGTGTGCGCGTCGATGATTGATGCGCGGTGTTCCCATTCACAACGTTCCCACATGCGTACACGAACAAGCCCCCCACATGATGATATGAGCACATGGCTACATGCGCATGTGATTGCACAGTTGTAGTCTCATATTCCATATTCTGATTCTCTTGAAGCCGGTGCCCTGTCCTTTTGCTCTCTTTTTTTGGCATCTTCAGGTCCGCTATGCGCTGCAAGCGGCAGCGACAGCGGCAGCCGAGTCCAACGCCGCAGCCCCCCGGGACCTTGGGGCCGGGTCCGCGGAGGACCTGGATGGAGTGCCTGGAGTTTCAACAAAGTTTGCGTTTCAGCGTATACTGGTTTTTCTCTGAAATAATCATAGGAAGAAGATACTCAGGACTCAGGATGTTAAAAGCTAAACAAATTGCCAGCAGCGGCACCAGCAGCCAGTCTCACACAAAAATCGCCTTCCTTCGCTGACCCTAGACAATGGCTGTAAATTGTGGTGCGGTTTTACATTCCACCGGCGTGGTTGTTGGGCCTATGTCAAAAAGCACACTGTACATTTCCAGCCCACCTCCTAGCTCACCTCCACGACCATTGCTAGGTGCCGGATGTCCCTGCGCAGCATGGGCATGAGTCCAAGATCGTTCTCCAGCAGCTCCATGCGAAGATCTCTCGAACAGCCCGGAAACGCGCAGGGCAGGTCTCGGCACTGCTCCAGATGCCCGAGCTCTTCCATATCCTGCACCTGAGCATGCTGACGCAGCTGGCAGAGTGGATGCCACCAGTGCTGCCAAAAGCCCAGGCGACCTGCCTCGTTTGGCAAGGGCGAGAGCGAGAGAGGGAGAGAGGTTCATGGAGAGAGGCCCCTTGAGGGTTGACCCAAGAGTGGGCTGGGAGCAGTGTGTGAGACGCAGGAGCAGCGCGTCATGTGCGGGGCTTTCCCCCCATACTCTCACGAAAGACAAAAGAGACAGAGAGAGCGAGAGCGAGAGAGACTGGACTTCTTCTCCCCCCCAAAAAAGTGGATTTCTCACGTTCTGACCGCTTCATTCCCGTCTTTGCCCGTTTTTGACGAGGCAGCCTTCAAACTGGCGCTTCACCTGCGCCATCGCCATGACATGCATGGTTTGGCACGCCGTGGTGGTGAGGATGCGCGGCTCATGCGATCAGCCTGGCAGCGTCTTGATGCTGAACTTCAAGCGCCTCGCTCGACTTCAGAGGAATCGCTTGCCCCACCTGTTTTGCTTTGACTCGGACGTGGTTGACCGTTTGTGCTGAGGAGATGGCTGGAGAAACTCGCGTCCGTCATAGTGCACTGGGTGCATTGTTTGCCCAGCAGATTGATGAAGTGTTGGCTTCAGCGGCACCAGTGCCAGAAAACTGCACTCGGACTGGCCAGGACATGGGTGTGTGTTTGTGTGTGCGTGTAACAGTTGCACTTGCAATGAACAGGAAACTGGGATGGATAGAGTGAGAAGCATCGAATTCGAGCTGTCTCACTCAGACCATGTCTTGTATTCATCAGTCCCTTCATGTACTTATGCAGACGAGAGATCACATGCGGGTATATTTCAGTCAGATTTGCTTGTTTTAGGAGGGCTGGATGCTGTGGGCTGCACTGCCTACGGACCCGACAGTATCTCTGCTTCGTTGAGCTGGCTCTCCCCTCACTAGTCTTGCTGGTTCTCGTGAAGGGAATTGGGGAAAGAAGGTAAGTTACACACCCGAAACCCTTGCATGCCATCAAGGTTTAGGGTCTCTGGGGGTTTATGGGGATTTATGGGGTTTATAGGGTTTACAGGGTTTATAGGGTTTACAGGGTTTTAAGGGTTATAGGGCTTAAAGGGTTTTAAGGGTTTAGAGGGTTTACAGGGTTTATAGGGTTATAGGGCTTAAAGGGCTTTAAGGGTTTTAAGGGTTTATAGGGTTTTAAGGGTTTAGAGGGTTTTAAGGGTTTAGCGCAGCTGAGGCCTTGATCATTGTCAAGGGTGCAGCCAATCTCGTTCAGCACGCCCGAGGCCCCGAATTGCTTGATCTGGCCCTTCTTTCCGAGACCTAAGGGTTTAGGGTTTAGGGTTTAGGGTTTAGGGTTTAGGGTTTAGGGTTTAGGGTTTAGGGGGATCCTTTACATGTGCGTGGGTGTAAAGGCATAGGGGAGCTCCTAGTTATGGAGGCTCGCATTTCCGAGTCTTCTCCCTTCGAACATGGCCACGAGGCTGCAGGCATAAATCCAGGAGCTCGTGGAAGCCACGTCAGAAGTCTGACATGCAGTTCCGAGCATCCAGAATCCAATCTTGCTAGCTGCTGAGTCAAGGCCAAAGCAGGTACACGACTGTGAATGTACGAAAGCTAGGGTTTATGTGATAACCACCGACCTATGTTCAGGCTAGAGATGTGGGACAAAGTTTCTTAAATCTCGATCGTTAATCTCCGGCCAGTGTGGGGCTTCCGACTGGAGAGCTTTGTGAGGACGTCATCACCAGAGGCTGGACTTCGCTGCCATCTCGAAGAGCTCTCAGGATGCAGGCCGTGATGGAAGCCCTGGTCATGTTCATGGCATTTTAAGTTGTGTGTGTGTGGGTGTGCTGGTGTGTGAGTGTGGTGTCATGCATGTGTGCACGAGTGCATGTTTGCATGCATGTATGCTGCGCCGCTTCTGCTTTGCTGCATGTCCAGGGAACTTTGAAGCCCTGGTTTGCAACTCGAAGACACGCTCCGCCGCAGCCTCAGCCTTCAGTCATGCGCCTGCACGGTCTTGGCTAAAGACTTTGTGCTCCAGCATCTTGATGAAAATGATGAAAGCATAGTATAGGACATCAGAGGTGGCGCAGGGTATGGCTGCCAAAGTACATATTTTCTGTATGTACGGAGAAAGGCGCAGAACCAAGTGCAACTCTTACTATGGAAGATTCCACCATTCAGACATATCAAGAATATTGCTGCGAATGCACGTGTGGTTTTATCGCAATATGATTTTCCGAGGCGCGTGCGCTGCGCGCTGGCGAGTTTGCAACCTGACAGAACTAAGCATGACTGTGTAGGCAGCGAGACCTTGCGAGCCACCGAGCCACTGCCGTGTCGCGTGTCGTTCTTGTTTCCGCGCGTTGTACCAATCATTCCCTTGCGGCCGAGAGCGCTCCAGGTGGCTTGCTTCTCAAATGGGACGCATGAGCTTCTTGGCATCATTCTGCATCACTGGATGCCTTTGACATCCTTTGACACTGTGCGGCTGCCATCAAGCGAACATACGTGGCATGGGCATGGTGAACGATGCAAACCTCTGCGAGCAAAGCTTTGTCAAGGTCCGGTTGCAACGTGGTGCTTGACCTCCCAGTGGCTTCACCCATTGCACAAGCCTGAACAGCCTTGTAGGCTTCTGGCCCAACATGAAGGCCAGACAGACCTCGCAAGATCTGTCTCATGGGCAAAAAGGATGCAAAAAAGGTGAAGGATTTACCGCTGAGGTGTCGGCGGGTGAGTGGAGGGGCAGCTGCTCTTCTACTTCTGCTACAGAACACCTCAAGCTCGAACCCAGCCTCTAGCTTCTGCTAAGTTGTACCGTGACTGCTACTATCCCAGGCTTGCTGGCAATAATTTTATGTCCATCGGAATTGTTTGTTGAAAGGCTTACGCAGACGAACTACAGCGAAGAGAGGCGAGTCTGTGAGCAACCATGCTGAAGATCTTGCGGTTGTCACGTGGGCAACGTCGGCTCCACAGGAACAGGACGCCTCTAGAGGCCTGCAAAGTTTGTAGCTCCGCCATGGCGCTAACGCTGACGGTGGCCACTGTCACGGGGAAGACCTACGAGGTTCCTTGCGCGGAGGAGGACGCGATATGCGTCGTGCGCGAGAACTTGCAGCAGCACCACATCGAGGCTGCGGTGCGGCCAAGTCGACTGCCAATCGGCCGGTAAGACTACTAGAGATGGGGCTTTCCGAAAATAGGGGTACACTTTTCTTTAAGGGGATTCTATTCTATTAGGGGTCTAAAAGGGGTACCCCTATTTTGAGAAATGCCCCTAATTCTAGCCTAACCGAAGAGCGCGTCGCCATGGCATGCTCTGAACTACATCCTTTTCAGTCCCTGTTGTTACGAGCTCAAGTTCAGGATCCGGCAGTTTTGAGCAAAACTGTGCATTGCAGGTCCCACCTGCATGCTTCTTGAAGCTGTTCAATGGACCGCAGGCACTCCGGTGCCAGGGGTGGACTCAGGGTTTTAGGGTTCGGGTACGTATTCGCATTTGCAGTGCTGAGTTGTTGTGCTCTACTTGGGCGAGTGTCGACAGCCAGTTCTTCGTTGTTTCTGCAGTTGTCGTTCACAAGTTGGGGGGGCCTTCTGCAGTCCCAGTCCTTGTCGGCACGATCGCCGATTGCCATAAGTAAGGGACCAAGTATCTCCTCTCGCTCTTGCCTCGTCGAGTCTAATCACCCGCACGTTGCACCCCCAGACATCGGCCGCCCATGCAGCCGATCTCGCTTGCTTCCCCGTTGCCCGTCATCACCTGCTGCCCTTGTCGACTTTGCACGGCCACGGTGCGTGACACGGATTTTTGTTTTCCTTCTTTTTCAATCAGCAGTCTCAGCCGTCCTTTCTCGAGCAGCCTCGTCTGGCCTCAGATGTGCCATTCTCACTTGTTGCCTCGACATGTCGTTTTGCAGGCTGCCGCACGTCAGATTGTGACTGTTACTGTCATTCCCCGAAGTCGGCCCTGCCCGGCAGGTTCTTCATGATGCTTTTCCCGTCGCAAAGCTTGACCGCTCACAGCCGATTTTTGCCGTGATTGGGCGCGAGACCGCTGTGGAGATCCTCCTTCAAGCCGCAGGCCTCTCAAATCAAAAACTTACATGCGCAAAAGCTGTGCACAGCATGGTGGCAAGGGGAACATGAAAGCCTTGGTTTGAGGTTAGAGACAGCTAAATTCAGCCTAGCTCGATCCTTTGCAGGTCCTTGGCGATGTTTGCGGTTGCTTAGGGTGCGCACGCCTGCACATCGCCAGGGTCTTATCAAGGCTATGCGGACATCGTCAAGGCGGCACCAGTCAAGGAAGGCCAGCGCAGTAATGATTTTCGAGCGGTTCTGAGGTCAAAATGACCAGCAAACCCTAACATGAACATCATGGACATGTTGTGTTACTCACGTGCCAAGTTTATGTCCATGTCCCACACGCCAGGTACAAGTTGCAAGGTCATTGAACACATCCCTTCCATCATTGCTGTGTTGGAGGAGCGCCAAACGCAGACCGTCATCGAACGCACTGCAGCTGGTGCGCGCTATGTGCGCCGACATAGGAATAGGCATGTGTGAGTTCTCTACTCGGCCCTGAAGGACATGGGTGGGCAGAAGCCGGAATTGGAGCATCTCAAGCAAGGCGAGCATGGCCTGGAAATGACAAGCCCGGATGGTCATCTTTTGCTACCATGGCTTAACCGCCAAGGGTTTTCGGGAGTTGCAGTCGCGAACAGATCTGCCCCGCGATTGCGTGCGCTGGGCATAGTAACACACCAGCATCAGCCCCTAAACCCTAAACCCTAAACCCAAAACCCTAAACCCTTTCAGGTTACCAAGTTTGAATGTCGGTGCCATGCTGGCAGACAGCGGTCGATTCTCCAAAGTGGTGGTGTCAATACAGCTCAACTCCGATGCATACAACCGAGGCCGCTCGTGTGAACCAGCAGGTTATGTAGGGTTTAGGGTTTGGGGTTTAGGGTTTAGGGCGTTTCCTGGCAGTCAGCAAGTCCGGGTTCAAAAAGGGTTTAGGGTGTAGGGTTTAGGGTTTAGGGTTTGAGGTTGAGGTGCTGCAATGACCTGTAAAGAGTGCGTTTCAATTATGAAAACTTTTTGGCCCTTCTACGACCATTTCTCACGCCATTTCTTGAAATGTGGTGCTCAGATCAATGGGCTTTAATGGCGAATTGCTGCAGCCTGTACCTGGGATTATTGTAGTCTACTAGAATCTCATTACAGTCGCATCTTAACTACTCGGTTGGAGACTGTATCATGAAAATTCGAAACGGTACGCCAATAGGATTGCGAAATTGCCTGCTCAAGAAGCCAAAAAGATTCTGGATAGAAGGGTTCATAGAAAGGAATAGTGCTCGGGTCCGGTATACGGCTTAGTGAACTGTCCACTCGAGGGTCAAGGACTTTTCCTAGTGAAATGAAGTGTCCTTCATATATGGAGACATCTAGATCCCCCCCCCCCCCACCCTTCTCTCCTTGGCTCTCCTTTTGTTGGCTCCTGCTTTTCGTGTTTAGGTGACGTGTTGCTTCAAACATACTTTCCATGTGGGTTGGCAACCTGAAGCACTGAGAGGTCTCGGGGTTGTTGTGGAGCAGCCTGGATCCATGGACAGTGCTTTGGCCTCATGGCGCACGACGATGTCTGCAGTCACAGCAACCATCCTTGTCATCTCGCAGGATGTCAGCATGCAGTGCGTTTTGTATCGGAAAGGCCGTGCTAGTTGCCAGGTGAAGTGGACATGGATGGTGTGCCGAAGCACATCTACAATGGCTTGGGTTTATCCAAGGACAAGAACTCCAATGCCATAAAGCACCTTGGACTTTCCACTGCTACACCGTAGGGAAGGTTGCCTCGCTTATACATGATGGTTCTCACCTCAGCGCATAGCGGATAGCACGTGACGCTTGCGAGGTTCCATCCTGGCATGATGGGAGGACCAGCTGCGGGGGTCTAGCTGTTATGTTATATACTATAATATATTATATACTCCATATTATATATTATATATTATATATTATATATTATATATTATATATTATATATTATATATTATATATTATATATTATATATTAAAAATGTATTTTATGTGGCCTTTTCGAGCAACTACAGGGTACCTCGCATCAGGGCCGTGCTTGTTTCAAACCAATGGAGCTGTGAGGCCAGTTGAGGATTGAGGGCATTGGCGGCTTCTTTAACTCCGACATTGGCTCCTTGCCAGCCTGTTCGTGAGCATGAATGCTGTACTTGTCTCGCGAGCCTGTGCGAGCCTCTGCCATCTCCCCGAAATTACTTTCAGACCTGACAGGACCTTTTTGGACCACGGACCCTTAGGTGACCCTTACAAGGAGTGTGTAAGCCCTAAACCCCAAACCCGATCAAGACGCCTCAGCCCGGGGTCTCTTTGTGCTTGGGAAAGCATACGCATCCGGTGACGATGGCAGAAGCTGCAAGAAGAACAAGAGTAAAGGGTTTAGGGTTTAGGGTTTAGGGTTAAAGTTAAAGTTGACCAGCGGCCATTCTTGGTTCGCATGTTATTGTCCGCGCAGTCCAGATGTTGTGTCCCCAGGTATGTAGTGACTCAGCAGGTTCTAGTACCCCAGACTCGCCCAAGAAGCCAAGTTCCACTCTGCGCGACCGGGATTCGTTGTTCAGCTCATGTTTCTTGATGTTGGTACAAGAGTATTTCCGTATTGCCACAATGGCAGATGTGAGTCGAGGCTTTAACCCTCAGAATTGGACAGCCAGCGGAAACTCCTTCCACACCTTCGAGGCCCAGACAGAATGTCGGGCTCTACATGCGAAAAGCTGCAGCTGACATCCGAGACGTGCGACTGCAGGTGAGCATCTCGACAGATGGATCCAACCATCTCAAGGTCATTGGAACTGGAGGCTCGAACGGTTTAGGGACGAATGCTGTGCACAGCTGGAGTAACATGCAGTGCTGCAGGCGAAGTCTGGGAAGCTGCCTGGAATAACACCCTGACGGATGGATGCTACACGCCTTCGTTTCACGCCTGGTTGGATCTAGGAGGAACCATGCCGCTTGTCATCGGCGAGATGAAAGTGGAAATTCATTTCGACACCCCGAAACCACCATGAAATTTTCGAAGCCCTTGCCTGGCGAGCTCTTTCAAGAATACTGCCGAGTCCAATGTGGTCGGTCATGTTTTCAGGCTCGGCACGGTTTTCAGAGCCGACACGGCTGCAAGGGACGGAAAACCGCTTTAGCGCCTTGAACTGTTGTCTTCGGGCGACGGCTGTGTGTTGTGGTTCATTGTTTGTCAGCGATCTCGCATGGAGACACGGTGCTGCGCAATACAGTCGTGTGCGGCACAAGAAGGATTGTGGACAAAGCGACTGCCCAACATTTCTGGCTCCGAGTCTAAACATGCAGCTGTGGCGAGCCGACCTGGCCAGTAGGGGTGCAGCCAGGCCCGTTGGGGGATGCCAGTTGCTCCTGAGACGAGTTCCATTTGATGTCGGCAGGTCGCCTAGCAATGGCAATGGCCTGGGATTCTGGACAACCACAGGATGGTAGCATGGTGCAGGACGCGTGTCACACTTGTGGTTCCTCTAGGTCTGAAGGCCGGCAGCACGCTGTAAGGACATGACCGCGAACCCGCAGAGTCTGCAGGTGTTTGGCAAAGGCGCTTCTGTTGAAAGGTTTCGTGTGTTTAGGCTGTCAGAGTGTGTCGCGTTCCCTCGCGTGCCTCGTCGACTTGAAGGTGTGTGCAGGTGATTACATGACTGACATGTAAACGCGCAATGTGGCCGTTGCTTGCGAGGCAAGGGCAAAGGATCCAAGATGGATGGAAGCGGGACGAAGGCTTCCCATGTGATGCTGCAAAACGCGGTGTATGTTGCCAAACCTAAACCCTAACCCTAAGCCCTAAACCCGAAACCCTAAACCCTAAACCCGAAACTCTGAACCCTAAACCCTGCCAGAAGTTCTATGGGCATGTGTACCTGGTAGCTGGGCAGGCGAAAGCAAAGTCTCCACCGCCAACGGCCCGGCCCTTGGAGATGCCATTGATGTAGGGGGTTTGCGAGAAGAGGGGAGCCCTCATATAGCCCCCAAATAGTAGGGATTCCGTTAGAAGAACCCCAGTAAGGTATAGGCATCCCCTGTTTTCGGAAACCCCCATGTCTTTGTGTTTCATGTTTCGCAATCAACTGAGCATCGGGTGGAGGTGTCCCCCGACCTTTTCAGTGCAGAAGTTCGGTTCCTTGTTCTGTCCACCTTTTCTGGTGAGTCTCGCTGGCACGCTTGCTCCGAGCTTGATCGAGTCTGTGAGCGCTGGCTGCTGCCTGAAACAACAGGATGGAGGAGGATCCCGTCACGCCGTTCGAGTGGTCCGTCGCTGCTGCGTTGTCGAAAGTGTCGCGGCCCTTGCGGTTGATGGTTAGTGACTGTGCCCACTTGCAACTTGCTGCATCTCAGGCCAAGCTTTCACCAGCTGCGTCGAACGTCATTTGACGACCGGGGCTTAGGTGGCATCTGGTAAGGAACTGGCACCCTAAACTCTGAACCTTAAACCCTACACCAGGAGTGTGGTTGCCAGGCTGCGTAGGCAGGTGGCAAGAAAGGCTTGTGTCAAAATGAGGTGTTGCCCATACTGCCGGTGTCCGTCATGTTCACGGACGACGAGCTTGACGAGCACCAGTCCCGAGTCTCAATCGGTTTTTGGAGTCTTAGAGGTGGCATGCAAAAAACCAATCGCAGTAACTTAACAAGAAGGCAAAATTCTCCATCTATCTATATATGTATATATATATATCCATACATATATATATATATATACAGAGATATAGAAATGTATTAACACATATGATACAACTTATATATGTATATATATACACATTGTATATGTACACATATTTTGGTAAACAATGATCATAACAATAAAGATAAGACAATATCTACACACACACATACAAATATATATATATATATATATATATATATATATATATATATATACATAGATGGGCCCTGAGGGCCTGCACTGTTATGGTTTTAAGGGGTTTCAGGTGAGATAGTATGAACTCGCTATTTATAAGCTTAGCGAGCTCAATCACAATTCTTAATTAAGGGCTTAACTGAAATGCTTAGCAAAAAGCAGTGTTGATTATCACTACTATTCCTATTATTGTTCTTAGTTTTTAGTCTCTGCCCCCCGGCCCCCTTCCAAATGACCCTAAGATTTCGCAACTGGAGCCCCCTCCCACAACAATACGCATGCTCACAGTTCAGCTTTCTTACATGCTGAGATATTTCGTGCTCGCATAAAGTGTTTACACGCGCATGAGACAAAGATATCCGGGAGACGCATAATCATTTCAATATGGCGATTTTCGGTCACTATGTTCCCATCGTGCGCATGTGAGTTCGTAATGACATTGATATTGAAGCACATGCTTCCACACCCCCCTTCCCGATATCAAGGATCTCAGTAGGAGGTGCCCCTATTCACTGGACAAAAACTATTGGTAGGCTTTCGGGAAGCTTTGAGAAAGAAAGCCAAGAGATCTGCGTTCAAGCAGCTTGTTGAGAGGTAAATGATATCTGCTCGCAACCTTCTCGTTTCTGCGGGGCTAACATTGAATGGTTTCAATCCCATCCCCATCTTCTCTCGAAGGGGTCTTACTGTTTTGAGAGATCCCCATCTTGCGCGGTGACAGGCGACCAGCCTGCAAAAATAGCCAATTGCTTAGAGAAAATGCTCCTTAAGAAGTTCTCAAAACCATGAACCAAAAACCGGTGACCCCAGCTTTCCCAACGAGCCTAGGTTAACAAATCTTGTCCGGGATTTCGGGTTTAGGGCCTTCTCACTCACCAGCTCTTTTTGTTAGGCATAGCAGCCATCATTACTCCTGTATGGATCAAGCCCCTTGTGTCGCAGAGTGGCAGGGCCAACCTTCAACCCAAAGGCCATGAAGCCTTTGAACACAAACAGCATTCTGATCGGAAAAAGCAGGCCCTCAGGGCGTCTCACTCTCTCTCTCTCTCTCTCGATTATTCTACTTGTTCAGTTTTTGCTATACATATTGCGTTGTTATGTTATACAATAATGCAACATTTTCTGGTCTGTGTTATGACTGTACTGCACCCTTACTCATAATGAGATGTGGTATGATGTGACGTGATATGAAACTTTTGCATATCTTCTTATGTTATGCTGTTACTTGTATAATTCTATGCAGTTCTACTCTCTTCTATTCTCTTCTACTCTCTTCTCTTCTCTGCTCTTCTCTTCTCTTCTCTTCTCTTCTCTTCTCTTCTACTCTATTGTATTCTATTCGGCAGGGCCGGGAGGAAAAATCTAGTCTGTTCTATTCTATGCTATTCTACTCTCTGGTCAAAAGGCACTTTGCAGTGTCAGGCTGGGCCGATCAAAACGGAAAGATCCTCGCCAAACGATCGCTGCAGTTCCTTCGATCAGGCTGATGCCAGGCAGCTGCAAGGGCTCTTGTTGGGAATGCCTCTGCTTTTGCTGGGGGTTGATCAGCCCCTGAGCGCTTGCATGCACAGGTCTGGCCCACCCTCTGACCTTCAACGAGGAGCAGATGCTTCGGTTGTTTGTGACGGATCCCAGGAGCATGGCCGCAACCTTAGCGAGCGCATTGCATGGAACTCCAGGCAGCCGCCCTCGCCGCAGCAACCGAGGCCTACAACCTTGCTAACACTCAGCGCAGCCGGGTGCCGCTCAGCATCGAGCAGCAGGGACCCTGGCAAGTGCTTGTGACAATGTTCCCTGACCGATCTACACGATGACAATGATTCCTCACGGAGGTGCGAGATGGCGCATCGAATAGTCGTTCTGGTCCTACTTGTAGGCATTCTAGGCTGCGAAAAATGCAAAATGCAGTGATGCATGGACACAGTCCCTTGTGTGGCCGATTTCTCAGTTGGAACGGCACGAAGTGCTTCGAAGCGCCTTCAGCTTGGAAGATCATGCCAACCCGACCCGCAAGGTGGGATACCTTTGCTTCCATATTGGGGTACCTCTTCAAGGCACTAGCTGCAAGATGTTGCGCCAGGTCATGAAGGACCACGTGGGAGGCCAGATCAGACCATGCCCTGAAGCTGTCGTGTTGGCGTGGTTCAGGGTCCTCAGGATCCTCGCCAGGCTTCTATGCATTGGCTGTGCCTGATGAGGGGACGGCCCAAGCCGTTGCGAGCATGGACTACGCCACTCCTCACATGCCCAGTGACTTATCGTAGCTTCATATGGCATGTGTGTGATGCTTTGGCCTGCTGGGCTCGCTTGACCGAGGCTGGGAATATGCGCAATTCGCTTGCTGTATTCCCCATCACGGGACAATTTTCCGGCCATGCACGTCGGAATCTCTGGCTTCACCATTGTTTCTTCAAGCGAATTAATTTCTTCAGCTCCGAGGTCAATATGCACCACATCTTAGTGCGCATCCGAGCATGAGAGTCACACGTCGCTGGTTCGATCGAAGTGCGCCACCGCCCCAGGCCGACAACGATGCCCTTCTGACCTTTTGGCAGGAGTCATTTCAGGTGCAGGACGCGATTGCTTTGAAAGAGACACTACGCTAAGCATGAATTTGAACCAAGAGCCTGAGGAAGAGAGAGAGAGAGAGAGAGAGAGAGAGAGAGAGAGAGAAAGAGAGAGAGAGAGAGAGAGGGAGAGAGATAGGGAGACATGGGACTCTCGCGCCCCTCGGGGCGGCTCCCCTCTGGGGGGCCTAGCGTGTGGAGAGAGAGAGAGAGAGAGAGAGATAGGGAGAGAGAGAGCGAGAGCGCGAGAGAGGGAGGCTACTGTAGGGGGAGTGTGAGTGTGGGTGCTCGAAGTTACCACCGACTGTACAAGGGGCCCGTGCGGTGTGTGAAAGTGCCCACTGGACTGCGACGCGCCTGGAGCGCGGGGACGCGCGGGGGCTTCGGCCCTCATGCCCAGCACAAGAAGAGGATCCGTCACTGTCACCCCTCCAGCCCTAATGTAAGGAGCCCAGCAAAAAGCCCATACCTACTGAAGCCGTAGCATCCTGGGGGGCAGGACGACGAAGGACGTTGCCAAAAACATGTACACATGCGGACCCGACCTGCAAAGCAGAAGGAGGGCAGGGCACACCGGGCCGTACAAGTTCAAGAAGAGATCTGGCAAGAGGCAACCGGCATCTTCACCTGACGTATCTCATTCTCACCTTGATTCAAGCGAACAATGTTCTCGAGCCACGTCCGCAAAGAACGTAAATTTTGATGGGCCAACGTCGGAGAAACAACCTCTAGTTTGTCGTGTTTGTCGGGCAATGTGTTGCGCAGCCTATCATGCAAGATGAAAACTCAGAACTCTAGGCGGCGTGTGCTCTGTGGCGCAGCTCCCTTCTTCAGAAGAGAGGAGGGAGAACATCCAATACATCTGCTGTGTATGACAGCCCCCCCCCCCCCCCCCCCCCCAAACATCTTCTTCACATTGTCTGATGCATGGTTGGCAAAAGTGCAGGAGCTCATCTACTACGGCTATTCCAAGGAGGCAGAGCCCTCAGCCCGCTACCGTGTTTGACTCTGTGGGCGTCTTCCCCTGATGGGTCTTGGGCGTGGAACCGAACCTCATTGACAAGGGCAAGCAGCTCTTGTCTGAGGCGATCAAAGAGAGGCTGCCGAAACTGTCACGACCTGAACCATGGCCAGGTGTTCATGGATTCATATGTACGTGCATGGCAAGACCGCAGGGTTTCGATGCAGTCAAAACAAGAAGCTACAGCAGTGCCAAGGCCTGTGCAATTTACGGACTTTGCGTACTGGCAGAAATCGCTCTTCTCACGAGGCCAGCGCAGACCTTTCATACCCATGTGCAGGGACATGTGAAAGTGGCCGTCGGCCGTCACGGGTAGGATGCTTGGCGACGACTGTCGTCACATGGCACCCTAAGCACATGGTCAGCATTTCTGGAAGCTTGTTGATACAGTGCCAGTAGCATCGTCTTCGGTCCTCTGCGGCATTAATTTGCAGGTCTCCTGAAACCGGACTTGTCGTACTGGCCCAGGGCTTAACCTTGGGAGTAGAACTTGTTGCAGACATTCTTGGGAGATTTCTTTGCCAAGGGGGCGACAGATCGTGACGTCGCAGCCTCCTACGGTCTTAGTCCAGATCCCAAGTGGTTTTTGGTCATGCTGGCCTCACTTGGACTCGATGTTGCAGAAGGGCCATGCCAGCCAATGCTCAGGATGTCCCAATCGACATTCCGCGCCCCCGCGTTTGGGTGGCAGTCGGCGACAGCTTGGTGCTAAGAGGCTGCAGCGCCCCATGGCAGTGCGCAAACTTCAAGTTTGCTCGAATCTGCATGTGGAGCCCTGGTGGTGTATGAGGTGCCAAGATTGACTTGGACCAGGAGTTAATGTTGCCGCCCCTTGGTCGAAAACGTGTTTGGCAAGGCGTATTTCAGGGTGCCCAAAAGAAAATATTCTTTTTCTATGTGGTGCTGCAGGATCATGGACTTGAACCCCCGCTGCGGACTCACGGGGAATGCGTGTCTCATGTCTCCGCGACCATGATGGAGGCTAGTTGGGAGCTTTGCACATGACATCCTAAGGTATCACTCCGTTTGCAGTTGTGATCTGCAACTTTTCGTGCCGAGCTTGGGCGAAGATACAGCGGATCGTTCTGTGCCTGGGGCTAGTGCTCTCATATCTTCATGGGGATGGCCAGGTTAGCATTGATGCGCATGGCTAACCAGCGTGTCGTCTACGTCGGACTCTCGGCCGCCGCAGAACGCCGCAGGCACCAGGCACCAGGCAGCACCGTTGACTCTCAACTTGCAGTGTAGCCAAGATGGCCACAGCTTTTGCTCTGCGCAGCTTGCCGGTGCAGCCCTCAGCTGACCTCAGCTGCTTGAGGCATGTGTTGGCCATGCTCTGCTGCAACCATAGCGCAGGCTGTAGCGAACCTGATTGGCAACTTTCTCAACATGCTGTCGGGCTTCTCAGTGGCCTTGTGTTTGAGTATGTGGCCTTCACACCCCATGGCCTCAGGCCCATCCGAGTTGCATACGATCCCAGGGAGTCGTATATGCTGGTGTCTCGGGGGAACTGGGGCAGAAGGTGCTTCGACAAGCTTTGTGAGCGGTTCCGAGGGACATTTGCTCCCGGGTGGCACAATCCACCATCAATGTGCAGCGCTACAACCTAGCCCCTTTCATACAAATCGCAGCAGCCTTAGCTCCGTTCTCGTGGCTTAGAGAAGTGTCTGCTTTCTGTGTGACATGTGCGTGTGAGGTGTCTGACACCCAGCCGCACTTTCCAACAGCTGATCCGTCAAGGACACGGCTCCGTTGAGCCGTGCCAGTTTCATGCGACGATTCCACATCCACTGCTTGTGTCAGGAACCCCGTCTATCAGTTCGTGACTTACATTTTTCGTGAAACCACCGCAGCTTTTGGCAGCACATCAACTAACGCAAGGTCCATGGTCGACGTGGTCCCCAGAGATGATGACAGCGATGAGCCCGCCGCTTGATGCCCCTTGATGCCTCAGGAATTTCAGTCAATGTGCTGCTGCCTGGGCAGGGTGGGCCTCAAAGGAGTCCTTGACGTGTTCCTCTTTGCGAACACCAGGCGCAAGCGTGAGCACGCGGCGCAGAAGCGTTCACGATGCGGCCCGCTGTGGCCAGGAATGGGCAAATCTTTAGATTGGACGGCGTGTTCAACAGCACGGCCCGGACCTCACCAACTCCTAAGAATGCTGGAGGGGGGCTTTGTTTTCGGTTACATCCTATGGTGTCTTAGGTGCTCACCAAGCAGACGGTGCGGAGCTTGTCCGATGATCAGCACAACTGATGCAGACTGCAGTTCCGAGCTTGATCTCGCCAGGTTCAGCTGATGCTCATGCACACAAAGGAGGGGAGCTCGGCCGTCAGATGGAAGTGAAAGGCACCTTCAAGTGCAGAGCCGCTGGAGGCTCTTACCCTCTGGGCTGCTCGACATGCGAAAATGCCGCAGCTTGGCACTGCGATAAGGGCAATGACAATGAGGTTCTAAGCCCTAAACCCTCAACTCTAAACCCCCTATACCCTAAACCCTAAACCCTAAACCCGTTTCAGGGAATAGTGTTCATGGTGCTCCTTGCTCTTGTTTGTGCTTGCGACGACTGACACCTGCCCAGAACTCGGCTCTAAGGCATCTTTATTTACCGTGAGAGGTTTGCAATTCGGAAAGCTCTGCTTTTGCAAAGGCCTCTGCTGAGGGGCTTCACGTCTAAGGATCCCCAGAATGCTCCGGTCGCAGGCTTAGTTGGCCTCTGCTTGGGCAGTTGCTTGCCAGCTTTGCCGAGCCACCTGGGCGATCCTTTAGATGATGATCCTTTTTGGGGGGCTTCCTACCAGTATATGATCCTTTTTGTCGGGGTTCCCTTCAGAATACGATCCTCTTGATTTTTTTTCGAGGCGGGAGGGAGGTTCGTCTCAGAAGGCGGTAAGAGGGGGTACTATAATCCCTATTAAGGACTGTTAGTATAAGGGGGAACATCCCAAGTACCACCCTTAGAGCCACCTAAACCCGAAACCCCGAAACCCTAAACCCTAACCCGTAAACCCTGAACCGTAAACCCCAAACCCCAAACCCTAACGCCTTGCCCATCTGCAAAGGCTCTCGGAGATGGCCCAGGAAGCAAAGGACGCGGTGGCGCGCTTAGAATTCCATGGAGCTTTGGAGCACAGGGCCCTTTCTCCCAATGGTCATTTCTCTAAATTGGGGTCCCGTTTTGGGGTTGCTAGTACAAGGTGGCCCCGAATATTTAGGGTGCCCAAAAAGGGACCATCAGAAGGAGAACTGTCTCGCCGCAGGGCTGCTGAAGCATAATTTGACTTTTGGAACTTCTTCAAGTTCACGAGCTGTTTATCCGAGTGTGCTAGCAACAAGCCACTCCTACGGCCACTCAGGACAAGGGCATCATCTTGACGCATGTGCTGGCTCGCAACCAGATAGGCCGCACGGCGCACGGGGTTTCCGACAGTTCGGCAAGGGCGCTTCCGAGCTTCTGGCATACTTGGGGTTTAGGGTTTAGGGTTTAGGGTATAGTAGGTGTAGGGTTTCGGGTTTCGGGTTTAGGGTTTTAGTGGTCTTGACTGCTTTCCCTGCGTCTTCGTTGGCAGTTTCTGGGGCGCTGCCCCTTTGAGCAGGACTGCCTTCCGTGGCGGCGATGTCTAGTGGCCCCGAGGTCACAACTTTCTGCAGCACTACATGATTCACCACAATGTTTTTAGAATTCTGAATTGTCTGCAGCCCGACTGAAGCAGCAGTGGTTCAGTTTTTGATTCGTCGCCCTCAAACTTTCTTGCGAGTGGCCTGCTCATGCGAAAGCAGTGGCCTCCTTGCATGACACCCCCTACCGGCCTTGTGCGCGTGTGAGCGACTAAACCCTAAACCCTAAACAGACTTTTTTTTATTACAATAGATCTTGGCCAATCGCCAGGGCTTTGGGATCTCGGATGAGCAACGTGGCATTCGAGCCTCGCGGCGTCTGGCTCCAAGGACTCGCTACGCTCGTGACACAGACGTCCACGATGTACGGTTGCAGCTTGCGGCTGCTGAGGTTTTAAGCTGCATTCTGCTTTAGAGATGGGTCCGGATCTTGGCAACCTCTGTGCAGCAAAGCTGTTGTTGGTGTTGAGCCGCTCGTCCTCAGGTGCGGACATTCCTCAGAGCCAGATGAAGTCGGCTACATTACCGACGCATGGGGCCAAGTTGGCGGCCGTGCAACCTTCGGACCAGTTCCACCCTAAAAGTGTGACATGTCAAGATGCATCCTGTCGGTAGATCGCATACCAAGGATACGACATGATTTGGTACTGTAACCCTATCATGGTAGCTTAGCTTATAGGCTTATAGGTTCCTTACCAAAGAACCCAAGGATTCCAAGTACCGGATTGTTCGACAGGCCGCTGCAGCCCCCGAAGCGCAAGCAGGCGTCGCAGCAGAGATGGCAGGAGCCGGGGGAAGAAGTTGTGGCTTGTGGTACGGAGGTGACAGTACGACGTGTTCTCTGCACTTGGAACAAGATTCTGTTGAAACATTGTAAGGGGCTGGAAGGAAAAGCGGTACGTGATGGGAATAATTCAGGGATGACGGGCTGCAAGGTTCAATCTGGTGCCACTTGCAGCGAACTCCTTACAAACCATCAAGTTTGAGCAACAAGCAAAATGGACAAAGAGTTGTGAAGCCACGTGATGTAGTGGTGGCGGGCAATGAGCTCTGCATGTGAAGCTTGAGTGTGCAGGAAGTCAGGCCAGTTCTCGGTGATCGCGCAGCTGTCGTATTGAATCGGTCTGCATGTTGCAATGTCTCCGGTCCCCTTACTGCTTTGAGTGGTGCATAATCCTGGCCCTGGCAGAACCAGAACTCGTTCATATCAGTGTTTCTCAATCTTGCAATTTTCGAAGCCTTCCGAGCGCTACACCAGCTGACGTAACGATTCCTGGTAGGTGCCTTGCAGCTGCTCTTGCAGATGCCGGTAGTTTAGGCTACCGTGTTTTTTTTGGGGGGGGATTGGTTCCTGCATAAACTAACTTTGAACCCCCCCCAAAAAAAAGGGGGGGGGGAGGCAACAGGGCACCACTGGGCCACCAAAGCTTAGCCCCAATGGTGGAGGAGCTGGCGCCGCGACCTGCGTCCAACGAGCCCGCGCCGGCCGCGATGTCAATCCTGGTGCCTTGGGGTTTGGGGTTTAGGGCTGGGGTTTAGGGTTTAGGGCCAGGGTTTAGGGATTAGGGATGTTTAGGGTTTAGGGTTTAGGGTTTAGGGTTTAGGGCACCATTTGCGGCAATTTGCGGCGATTTCGGGGGGTTGTGTGTAAGCTAGAACTGGGATATGCTCCGTCAGCAGTTGTTGGGTTTCCGGTTTAAGTGTGCCGAATTCTTGAGAACATGGCCGCCAGTGCAGCATCAAACGCTGCGCGTCGCGAGAGAGAGCCAGCGCAAGTGCCAACGGGCCTGGCCTGCTTAGGCGTTTCTGCCGTATGCAGTTTCAATCCCGGTATGAGTGGCCAGACGCAGTGTCTCTCCAAAAGTTTGTTTCAACGAATTCCACTAAGCCCGGAGGCTTGTCAAAACATGTCGAATAGATCATTGCCGTGTTCTCCTACTTTTTCGGGCCCAAGAAGCTTCAATAGCCCAGTTTGTCCTTGGTGGCCCAGGCCGCTTCAGAGACCAGCCTGGCCAAGGTCGGGAACCCGTTGCATCTGGCATGTCTGCGTTGCCGCTGTTACCTTCGAAGCATGTCACAACACATGTGCCGTTCAGCACCCGCAGCTGTCATGCATGACATGAACTCTGGGTTTCACGAGTTGAGCTGAAGTGTTCTGCTTGGAAGCTACGGTGGTAAGTCCCTTCGCTGCGGTGGCACTCACGGATTTGCTTTGTGTTGGTAGGCGTCCCCCGCGCCTCAGAAGCCCGCGCCCTGGGTGGGTTTTGCATCCTTGCTCTCGATCAGTTGAGACAGTAACGGCGAGCATGCCTTGGGCCGGCGGCCGCACCAAGAACTTGCGACCACTGTAGCCCTGCTACTCAGGCCTGCTGTTCGCGAGCTCACCGCTGAGGAGGAGGCAAGCCACAAGTCTGGTTTTTGCGAAGTAGGGGTGGCCCTTCGCCTATTCTCTATGTGGTCACCCTTGGCCTGCAAAGGTCGCGCAAAGACGTGCAGATGCTGCCTCAGTCTCTCTGAGCCTCTGAGCTCTTGCGTCAGACGATGGGCTTCTTTTCACGTGAAGTTCATGTGACACGCCTCCTGAGAAGCAAGAGTCTGTGCAGTGTTGTGATACTCCGCTCTTTCAAGGAGGCTCAGAAGCGGCGCGAGCGAAGCTATAATGTGGCCGCCAAATGGGCTCGACACTTACACACTCAAGCAGATCTTGAAATCAAGGTATGGGCAGTTCTCAAGGTTAGGGTCCCTTTTTGGTCCTATAAACCATTCATGTGTCATGCATATGACTGGAGGCCCAGTCCGAGAAAGACAGCGAGTTGATCCCACTGGGCCAGGCAACAGCACGCACAGGGAGTTGGAGCATCTCGGGCTCTTCGGAATGTGCGTGGGACCGCCATGTATAGTCTGGGATTCTGGTTTTATGTTACCACAGAAAAAAAAGGAATAGAGAAATGGGAAATGTATCTGTATATAATCGACAGACATATACACATAGGGCGGGGTACTCTTTCGAGGACCAGGGGGGCAGGGTCCTCTGTTACTATCCAGGCTTGCACGACTATGCACGACTAAGCGCGCTTGGGGGTTGCCAGGTTATCATGGCATCCGGGAAGGAATGAGTAGGTTCCTGCGGGATGAGGCTTGGAGTTTGAGGGCTTCTCCCCCCTGCCCCCTCGGCGCCTCGTGACGAAATCACCAGATCATGTCATGAACTCATCAGGACAACGAAGTAACCGAAATGAAGCTACCGACGCCAATTCCTCCACAGGCATAGGCTTTCGGGTCGTCTTCGTAGACGTCGTAGCCTCTTTGTGTGCACGTTGCTGTGGCCATACTTAAGACATTTTACTCATGGCTGCTGCTTGAGGCCACCCTTGCCGTACAGATTTCCAGTCTCCGAAAGTGCCTCCCCTGTCGTACTCTGATTGCTTTTGGTTTAGGGTTTCGGGTTTAGGGTTTAGGGTTTAGGGTGGTGCGGACATGTTCGGGCCTCAGCTGAAGGTGCCTCCCCTGTCGTACTCTGATTGCTTTTGGTTTAGGGTTTCGGGTTTAGGGTTTAGGGTTTAGGGTGGTGCGGACATGTTCGGGCCTCAGCTGAAGAACAGCGGAGGAGGCAGCGCTGGCAGTCATCAAGTCCGGTTTCAAAAAAGGGTTTAGGGTGGTGTTGCGCAAGGCTTTTTTCCGCATCTCTGTCCGGGCTCTTGAAGCGATCTCCGGTTTCGCTGAAACGGTGAGTCTTTCTCGTTTTCTGCGGGGCCTTGCGCGAGAATCGCGGTTTTTGCATCGTTTTCTGCGGGAAAAGGCAGATGGTGTGGCGTTGAAGGGAGGGGTGAGATCAGGTCCCACAGCAAAGAAGGAATATTATCTAATGACGCAGGAGTGGCGCAGCCCTGGGCATGCGCATTGCATGGAGGTTTGCGCCCGCCAAAGGAAAGATAAGAGAGGGAGGGAGAGAGAGAGAGAGAGAGAGAGAGAGAGAGTGAGAGAGGAAGACGTGGTCGGATAGGGTGTTGGGACTGGGAACGACGAGGGCTCGGGGGCCGCCAAGTACAATAAGCGATAGGGGTTTGGGGGCCGCTAGGCAACCAACGAGCCCGCTCTAGGGCAAAGCGGAGGTGGCAGGCCCAACAACGGCCCTCAGCGGGTGAAAGTTGCTTGCTGACATACGGACCGGGGCGCGCCTATGCGCGGAGCCCTGCTCCATGCCCCAAAGAAAGAAAGACGTGCACAGGAAGGAAGAGAGAGAGACGTGCTCAGGAGGAGGGGCTTACCCCGAACCCCTAAACCCTCGGAAGAAGATGGGCAAGGGACCTCGGGTCCTGAGCCTGGGACCCGCTGAGAAGAAGAAGGGGCAGAAGGGGTAGAAGGGGGCGGAGGAGGGTGGAAAGACAATGTTGCCCACACTACGCGAGAATTAAATGCCCATGGCACGCTGCATCTGTACATATGATGTTGCAGCCAAGTGCAAGGCGAACCCGTTCGACGAAAACGAGGCGTTCCCTCGTGCGGAGCAGCGCTCAGCTTCGACGCTACATGTGCAGTTCAGAAGAGGTGCTTGCATGGAACGCCTGGTGTGTGGCAAGGCAAGAAGACGCGGCTTTGCACAATATGCTGCAATCCGCGGCAGGTTGCTTGCTCACACCTTGTCTGTATGACTAGCTGCGATCGCTCCCCCGAGCCTTCGACTTGAGCCTCACGTGGTGTAGGAAAATTCTGTTTGCTGACGGTGCAGAGCAGCATGGACTCTGATGATCAGCCAGTAATGCTGAGCACGTGAGAGTCGAATCTGTGAGCCAGGTGAGCCAACATCGGCAAGGACTCTGAAGGTTAAGGCGGCATGTTGTCAGAAACAATCCGTACAAAGGACGCTTAGATGAAAGACAAAGACGGTCAAGTTTCAACAGTGACAGCCTATGCAAGCCTATATACATCGACACGGTCCCCAACGAAAGCACGGATCTCGTAGAAGCTCATAGCCTCGTAGGAACATCCCCTGCCGCGCGGCTTTCCCAAGATGACAAAAAAAGCTGTGGAGCGCTGCAGAACTCGGGGCGCACTGTAGGGGCCTAAATCATTAGATTGGGGATTTAGGGTTGTTAGAGTATAAGAAAACAGGGACCATAAGGGAGTATGTATTTCTGACCCCTGTATGACGTGATTTTGGCTCCTGTGCACATCGTAGAGGGACAGGGCTCCCCTGCGTCCTGCCCGTGCCAGTCTGCAGCTCAGAGAAGCCCTCTCGTTCCCCGAAACTGCGCTGCACGCAGCGCTTTCAAGTAGGTTCATGTCTCTGCCTGCCATCCTCCTTTTTGAAACAAAGCCATGAGAGCCACAGATGCTGTGCGGGTGCAGCAGAGTACTGCTGGTACTTTAGAAAGTGCCGTGCACTTAGGCTGAGCTGGTCGAACTCGTGACGACATGGGCGCCTGGCACCCTAGATGGGGGCGCAGTCTGCGGTTTCACACACCGAATGGTGCACCCAGGTCGTGGACAGGACCGATGAGTTCAGGCACCTGCTTGTTGCTGGGCTTGAGACAATTGGGTAGGCCCCTACTAGAGTCACGTGGTTCCGGTACACCTTGTGGAGCGGCCCTGACACTTGGGTAGGCAAATTCTGCGACAAGTCGCTGCCAAGAGTGGCACGCCAGGCTCGGGAAGACAAAGCACACGCTTCGGATCGTGGGTCCGATTTTTCTGAAGCCTTACAGTTGAGGCTTTGGGTGTTGGATTGGTGTTGCCTAGCAGGTTGAAATATCTTTTTAGGACGTTCTAGCTTTGCAAAGTAGGCCCCGGCGGCCGTGACCAAAAGCAAAGCTCTAGGCGGCAACGGGGCACCGCAGAAAGCTGCAGAGTCTCTCTCTGGATGCAGGCCTGAACCTGGAGATGACCCCTCACGCGCAGCCAGATGCCAAGCGCACGGGGCGTGGGGCCAGCATGAAGTGGGGACACTTCGGTTTTGGGATCTGAGGTCCGAATTGAACCGGTGGTCCGCTGAAATTGGCGGAGAGATCCACGAAGCCTCCCTCAAGGTCAACGAGCTCAGGCACGGGCTCGGGGGGTTCTAGGGTTTAGGGTTTAGGGTCGAATTTTGGAGGCTAGTGAGAGTGCATTGGGGATGCCTTCTGCACGGCTGGGGGAGGAAGATGTCCAAGCAGAAGAGCATCTTCAATGACAAGACGAATCAAATCCAGGACCAGAGACCCCCCACTCATTTCTATTCCAGCCTACCCTTTCTTAAGGCTGAAGGGAGGGTTAAGGGTTCAGGGTTGTTACGGTAAAACAAAACGGGGTGTTACGGAGGAGTTGACCTACACGGTGAAGCAGAGCATCCAGCTTCTGAATCAGAAGATCGAAGCCCTGGAGATGAAAACCAAGGGCTCCGGGCCTCTGCCCCAGCCACTTCCTGGGTGCTTCCGTTTAGAGTTTAGGGTTGTTCAGGGTCCTTTCTAGGACATTACGGGCAGGTATGGCCTTCTTGGGTGTCTCAGATTGTGGACTAGTACATGTTAACCATCATCCATGTCTATCTATCACTGTGCCTCAATTTGCTAGGCCACCTCTGTTTGCTTTGAGCGGCAGGCAGAACGCTCCTGTTCACATGACTGGGGTTCGGCCTCTTCGTAATCATGACTATGGAAAATGGTGTCACGACTCTTATGGGAGGCATTGGCGCTTCTATGTTGCCCTATTATGCATTTACTCCCGTAAACTACGATGTCCAGAAGCAGTGGGCTGTCATAAACAGTAACACAACTCATCGGATAGTTGTTTGTTGCCGACTTGCCACGACGCACAACTGTCCACTTGCAACTCCTTCCCACCTGCTAAGCCCAGGGCCCGGGCTTCCCAGGCCCAACAAGAGCTACCAAGCACATTCCTCCGCCCTTGTGGATGCGCTCAAGACCAGGTCGGCTTTGGGGAAGTGGCGGGGTGTTGAGCCTTTTTGGGTGCAGAGCTTGCGCTGCCAAGGTTGTGATTAAGTATGATTAAGTCGAACGCATGGCAGGAACCATGTACGGTTGAAGGCCAATGTGCCTTCCTGCACTTAGATCTGTTCACTCCGCGCTATACATATATATATATATAAAGATAGATCAGAATCCAGCCCAGTTCCTGTGAGCCACATTCTCGAATGTGGCAGCCGGGTCGTTGACAGATTGGAAGCCGCGACGCGAAAGTTAGAGACAAAGTCGAAAGAGTCTGCTTGACTTTTGCCTGGCTTGGAAGGTTGCTGCAAGTGACGAAAGAGTTCAAGGATGCTTTGGAGGACCCCACACAACCCCCAAGCAGCAGAATGCCCACATGCACATGAGGTGTGATTGTGTTGCAACATGCTGCAACCAGTTTTGGCGCTGATAGCACGGCAGAGGAGTCTGTAGAGAGTTTGCAGATGGCGATGTGGTGTACTATCAGCGCAGTAGCAGCATTTTTTTTGGAAGCTCGCAGGTGCAGCAACCCGTGAAGGTATCACATCGGTTTCAGCTGCATTTGCAACACTATATGGATAGCTGAAAAGTAGGTGTTTTTTTGCTGATTCTGAAATGCGACTCTCCTTGCGTGAGTTGCACTCCATTGGATGTAGCCAACGATCCTCAGATGATTCTTTCCCAGCGCACAGAAGCTGGAGACTCCAAGAATATGTTCGATCTGTCAGGACCGCACCAGGGCACTTGAGCAGCAGGCAGGATTCGATGTGTGCGTTCGTGGCCCATCATCAGTCGTCGTGATAGCGTTTGGTACAGGTGTGCGCGTGGGTAGTGCTGCAAGCTAGAGCTGAACTCAGCGGCCGGGCAGGACAAGAGGAGACAGATGTACTCAGCCGGGGCGGGCTTCGATGCCGGTCGGCAGAGGCCAGTGTCTCTTGAAAGGTGTTTTGCGGCCATTTTGCCCTTGAGTCTTGTTAACTGCTCGGCGCAGAGCACATGCATGGGCTTTGGAAGAACTCGTGAGGCCGGCACCATCTGGCAATCCAGAAGACCTGGAGGGCGGTGGTGGCGCGCGCGCGATGTCTATGCAGCAAGGCCCGGCTGAGAGTTTGAGGCGCGTGAGTCGCATGCCCTCCTGTTGTCGTCCGGCTTCTAGGTTACCACAATTCCAGGGCAGAGGCAGTGCAGAGCGTTCAGAAGACCATCGGTGAGCTGGCCCAGATGTTCCAGAAGAAGCTTATCCTGCAATAAGCTGCACAGCAGCAGACGGCAAGTAACATAACTTTGAAATTCCGTCTTCCAGGATGGCCGTCATGGTGACCGCGCAGGAGGAGATGATCCAGCGGATTGACAGCGACCTCGACGATACCTTGGACAACACCAAGAAAGCCCAGGATTCCTGTCACATCGCGTCGAGCACTTTGTGCTTTGATTGTATGCTCCCTGAGGGGCTTGCGTAAGAATCCTTGGTGCGAACCAGGACAACTTGCTCGAGTATTTCCACTACATTTCTTCGAATCGTGCCTCGGTGCCCAATCGTGTCTTGATGGGGAGCCCTGAACCCTAAGCCGGCAAAAACAACCTAGGCTCAACCCATCTCAACCCTAAACCCTAAACCCTAAACCCTATGGCTTGTGTCGCAGAGCAGGGCTGAGAGCAATTTGCAGCCGAGGTGCTCTCATCATCAAGGTCTTCCTTATTCTGATCTTCTTTGTGATCTTCTTTGTCGTGTTTTTAGCGTGAGTTGCCAAGGGCAGCCCCGTGCAGTAGTGAACGTGTGCGAAGAGAATGGTAATTGACAAAGGACAGCGCCCTTGTACATTTTGGTGCTGTAGTTTCTGAACCTACACTCCACATTCCCAAGTCAAGCTCAACTATGTGTGGTAAACCTGTTGAAGATCTAGGATCCATGCGGCGCGTGCAGTGGCCGCATCCCTCTCGCACCTGGTGATGAGCTCCAGCTCGTCACAGCAAGTGCAGCACCAGCCAATCACTTCAAGCAAAACTCTTGTTGCTTTTCTAGCTGAGACGTGCTGAGACATCAACCGCAGTGGACAGCGTTTATTGGGCACTCCAAAGGAGTGTTTGGGCCGGCTTGCAATGATCTTGTGCCCATTGGGCGCGTGACCATCCTAGCTAACAGGAAGTCAGGGAAGCCTAGCAGTGCCCCATCTGGCCTAAATCTTCTTCTGTGGGCCCAGCACATCAAATCCAGAGGCTGCGTGAGCCAAAAATGGAGAGTGGCGTCTTGGTCGCGTTGATGTGTAGCTCGCCGCTCTGACCTTTGAAATGGCCACGAGGGCATGGCTTGGCCATTTCGGCCGGTGCTAGCATCACATGGAAGTGCTCGACAGCAACAATAGGCAGTGTGAGGTGTGAGTAAATTGGCACATGATGTTTCGACCTTAACACAGTGCAGACCATGAAAGTGCAAGAGATATGCGGTCCCGCTCGCCCACAAGGAGCTCGCAACATGTTTGGACACATGTGCGCATGGCAGCTTTCACAGTTCCAAGCTGGCTGGCAAATTGAAGTTGCAAGGGCAGATGGACACAACATGTCAACGAGTCAACCGCTTCATGTTGTGTGAGTCAGGGTGAGAAGTGATGTGGAGCAAGTGGCTCTGGCAGTTTCTCTCGGTTTGCGCAGGAAGACGGAAGGGTCCGGAGGCGTCTTCTTCTGGCGAATCAACCAGGTCGCGTGGATTTTTTCTGGATTCTAGCTTGAGGTTTCGAAGAGCACGCAGTGTACAGGCGAACTACAGCGGAGCGGGTGCATCTGCGGAGAAGATTGTGCTCTCGGTGTTGGAGAAGTTTGGGCTTGGTCGAGCTGCTGCGCCGGCGGGCCCTCTGCTCGGACAATTTGTTTCCCTACTATTTGCTTATGACCCCCCAAAAAAAGAAAGATGTTCTTCCTCATTAGATTGTTCTTAAGCAAGTAGTAGCTAAGAAGGTTGCTGCTGCTCTTTGGGTTTGCCTTCTTAGCCGGAGTCAGGTGCTCGCCTCATCTGGGCCAACTGCTTTGAGCCCAAGCTTTGGGTGACAGCAGGCCATGGGTCGGAGCAGCAACGGCTCATGCATCGTTTAGGGTTTAGGGTTTAGGGGCTTTCAGGCACTACGTGAGAGAGTCCTGGTTCCAAAGGGGCTTAGGGGTTTAGGGGTTTAGGGTTTAGGGTTCAGGGATTAGGGTGTGCTTGAGCATGACTGCCAGGACAATGCCTGATCAACCATTTCCCTCGTGCTCTGGATGAAACGGTGGCATGCTCATGCATGCTCCGGCAGTTGCTTTGGCCCCCTAGTTCCCTACATCAATAATATTAAAAATATTAAAAACATTAGTAATAGAAAAGAATTAATAATGCTAATACTATTAATACTATGAATAAGAATCATAAGATTAATAAAATGAATAATGTGAACATGAACAAGATTAACAATGACATGAAATGCGACCTGTTTTGGGCACTTAAAAGGGCCCGCGGTAACAAGTATGCCAAAAGGGATTGAAACACAGGAACCCCAATTCAGACCGTTTGCCAAGGATCCGTCGAGCTCTCTCACAAGCATCGCCTTTGCGCGACTTTGACCAGACGTGGAAGCAGGCTCCCACTTTTAGATGGTAGAACCTGGTAGAAGAGGAAGGGTGAGTTTCTTCAGAGAGTTGCAGGTACCTTCCGCGAACTTTCATACTTCCACAAGAAGAAGCGCTGTGGCATCAAGAGTTGGGGAAGCATGGACGCCAGGAAGGCACGTATTTGCACATGGCTGCTTGCAGGGGGGCAGGGCAGATTGTTGTTTGCAACCGGGTTCCTCCTTGGGCGGCTCAAGGCACCGCGAGCATCCGCGAACGTGACTTATGCGGGTTGTCACTTATCAGAAGCGGGCAGGGTTCCAGGATGGTCCGCACTTTGCTGCCATCCTTGCAGCTGTGCCGACACATGCAGCGTGGTATTGCAGGGAAGGCCTTGCAGGACCCAGTCGGGATCACGGCGTTTCTTGGAGGCCACAAAAGGTTTGCGGGCAAAATGAAGACGCGATATGAGGATTTCATTGTAAAGGAGATCTCAAAAGAGGGTGAGGTCGTGGAATCGAGCAAGGAAGGCAGCTTGCCTTTGGAGTTCAGGTCGCTTAAGGCTTCCACTGGCAAGCATGCACGTATGGTCCTCGCAAAGGAGAACAGAGATGTAGCGGATGCTGTTGCCATGCTGGCTAAGCATTTGCGCATTGATGCACGGAAGATCGCCTTCCATGGCCTGAAGGATCGGCGAGCTGTCACATATCAGCATATCAGCGTACCATGGGAGCTTCTAAATGAGGAGCTCCTGGCATCCTCAATGTCGTCCTCGACCTGGGACCGTGCCGTGCACATCAGCAACTTGACCAGGCAGGATACTCACTGCCATCTCGGATGGATGCTGGGAAATGACTTCTGCATAGCTCTGCGGGCTGCTGAGCTACATGCCCACGCGGTCCCTGTAGATCCTGGGGCAGCGCGAGCCATGCTGATGTCTCAAATTGAGGAGGCATCACGAAATCTTTGCAGCATTGGTTTCGTGAATTACTTCGGTCGGCAGCGGTTCGGGCCCTCTGCCTGCAGCCCATTGATTGGCAAGGCCATGGTTTGTGGGCATCACGAGATGGCCTGCCGGCACATCGTCTGCTCCATGCGTGAGGATGCAGTTGGCTATTTCGAGCACTTGTTCGCGCGACGCGAGTTCAAGAAGGCACTGGCCGAGACGCCAGCCCGGTGTGCTGTCGAGCGGCGGGTCTTGCGGCATCTCTGTGCCAGTCCAGACGACTACCGTGGGGCACTGGGCTCCATACCACGCCGACAGCGCCTGTTTTTTGCACGTGCCTTTGCATCACTGCTCTGGAACAAGGCGCCTTGAAACCCTAAATGTGGTGTAATGATGTAATGCTATTCAGTTTGAGCCATTTTGAGCCTCGGGAAGTTTCAGTTGCCTGAGACAGAAACCTTGCCAGAGCCCTGCCAGGTGGTCTCAGCAAGGCTGGAAGCCTTTGGCCGAGAGGTATTTCCTGGAGACCTCGTCTTGATACGTCGGGAAGAGGGCGAGCAAGAGGAGAGAATGCCGCACAATCAGTCGAGGTACGTGGCCAAGGGGCAGCGTCCGGACGTTCGTCTGCCAGAAGTCCGAACGATTCGCCCTGGCGAACAAGGCGATATCCCCTTCTCTGATGTTGTTCTGCCTGTCCCGGGCGATCAATGCGTTTATCCGGACCATCTTCCAACCCAAAGGCTTTACGCAGAGGTGATGCAGGACAACCTCTTCCCATACAAGCTTTTTTCCGAACTGGAGCAGTCTTACCTGGAGGGCTCATATCGGCATGCGATAGCAACTCCGCTCTCATTCCGCGCCCGATGTGTGGGTTACGTTGAGCCGTGCAGCCGACTGATGGTATCGGCACTGGACCACATCAGAGGACGCAGACTGGAGCCAGGTCATGTTCTGGAGCTTGCCAGTGACAGCGCAGTTGCCGAACCAAGGCCCGATGTTAGGACAGGAGTCATTGTTAACTTGGCTCTTCGTGCGGGCCAGTATGCCACTATTGCCATGCGAGAGTTTATGCAGGGCCCTCCCAGCAACGAGTTCTACTCCTCCGGGTAATGCCCTAAGCACACTCGTGATGCAGCCCCGCTGGCGAGATGCTGTGACGGTGAAGAAGCCTGAGCGCGCCCAAGTAGTGAATGTGTTGGCGCGCAGTTTCGTATTTAGAAGTTATGTATACTTGCCGCATCTTGTGGCATTGTGAGTGAGGAAATTTTTGTGGACCCTCCTGCCATCTTGTCATGAACCTCCCGGGATGTGACATTCAGCATTAGATGTCGATGTCTGAAATCTACAGCAAGCTTGTTTCTCCACCACTTGTCTTACTTCCATCCTGGCCCCTTTTTTCACAGCACAGGGTATGGGGTTGGGGACTAGTGATGTGTTCTTTCCCTTAGTCTACAGTGTCTACAGTGCCCGTCTGATTTCTGACCTATTTCTGGTTGCCAGTTGTTAAAGTTAACTTGGGTTGCCACTTGACACTTTCAGTACTTAAGCACTGCTGTTGAATTCGCCATTCGGCGGGAAATCGCTTGATCAGCTTTTTTGAACTACCATGAGGCGACATTGCGTTTGATAGTTGATTTCTTGAGGGGACGGGGGGAGGGAGGGAACTGCGCTGGGCGCAGGCGGCTGCGCCTGCCCTAGGACCAATACTGCCAGGTCCAAATAAGATGGCAGGCACAACGCCGCAAACTGATATTCGGGGTGTGTTGACGGCTAGAAGGGGTCGAGACTCGGAAATGCCAGGGGGAACAGCCCGTTCACCACCCCTTTTAGTAAACCCCACCTCTGATTGACCCCCCCCCCCTCCCCCTGCCCCCTTCCCCTCCTTACGGTCAGGGTGCAATGATGGGAACGCCGACGCGGGGGAAAGCGACGTCTTCGGCGCGCACTGGATCTTCAAGCCTGGCCGAGGAGGAGGAGGCCGAGGAGTTCAAGCTACTCGCATGTTTAGGGTTTGGGGTTTAGGGTTTAGGGAGTGTTTAGGGTTTAGGGGTTAAACCCTCAAGCCTAAACCCAAAGCCCTTGTAGGTTGCTCTGAGGTTCTGAGTTGCCAAAGTGCAGCCGACGTTGATCAGACCTTCGCAACCATCAAGAGCTCAACTTCGACCAAGACGCCGGCTGTTGTGAGTCACTATGTCTGGCACTCAGCATTCTGCTTGGAGGTTCAGCGTGCTTATAACCCAATTTTAGGTGTAGTTATAGCCCACTCATGAGCCCCTTAAGTACCCCTAGGAGGGTTATAATTGGGTTATAAGAACAGTTATAATTGGGTTACTAAGTACCATGAACCTCCAAGTGCGAGCCGTCATGTGGAGCAGCAAACGCGGGCCCATAGTTCACACATGTTCCCGAGTCCATGCCGCGACCAGGTTGAGAAGCCGCTGCTTGTAGATGGAAAGAAGTGCGACCTGCGCTTGTATGCGTGCTCTGGCAGCCAGAACTGGGTCGCTAGGAGCACGGTGAAATCTCGAAGTTAAAGTTTTCAGCTGACACGCTGGATACACCGCACGCTTGGAGAGTGCCTCCTGCAGCATGGGGGTGCCTCAGGCTCGTGACATCTTTTGGAAGCGAACGGCCTAGCAGGACCAGTGCCGCTTGGTGGCAATGATTTTTAGGGCAAAGTACGCAGTAAGATGGCCGAGGAAGGGTATAGAGCCCAAAGCAAGCCCTGACAAGCCCTGCGGCCACGAACTCAGCTTCGGCCTTAAAGCTGCAGGGGGACCAACTGGGATGAACCATACTCGAAAAGGCTGAAGCTTCGTGGGCTTCCCGCCAGAACCTCCAAAAGAAGCCTCCCAGTGCCTCCCATCGCCGTGGGTGTAGGTTTTACAAGGCCTTGCGCCACTCCCTTTAAATGGCGCGATAATAGGAATGATAACAATACAGGTTCTTAGCGCAATGGCCCACGACTTGTTACCATGCTTTCGCTCATCGCCTCGGGCTGTCAGGAGGACGTGAAGGAAGCTGGTGATCTACGAGCCGCTTGGGGCAACTATGCGCAGTGCAGTGGCTCTCTATCATGCCGGCGTGACCCGAGGCATACATCTTCTCCGAAGGTCTTGTTCGATTCGCGAGCGAGCCGTTTGCCATGTCTCGTGGTTCGCTTGGCAACTCATGTGTGCACCTCACCAACAACGAGGCCTGAAAAAAGATGTGCGTGCCTTGCATCAGTTTCCGCGGCAGTGCTGCAGCACGTAAATCCTGCTGTCCATGCAGGTGAATGCGTGCCCAGATTGGAATTGGCATCCAATGCTTCTTATCAACGAACCCACGCCTCAGAATCAAGAGTGTCAATAGTTTCAATACAGACTAAGTCAAGATTTGGCGCTTTGTCGGATTTGTGGCAACAAGGCGAAATTCACATGGGCCTTGCCTTGGCAATTGGCGGCTATCCGATTTGATGGCTTGGCTTCGCCGCTGGACTGCAACCATAATTTAGCCTAGGAAGGACTCGGACAGTCTTATGGCATCATAGATTTTTCTCAGAGGCTCTCATGTAGGACTTCTTGTTTCAGAGGCTTTCAAGCACGAGCGAGGGGTTCGGAAAGCAGTCCTGAAGCTACTTTTGGAAGGTGCTTGCCCACAGCCAGGGAGGCCAGATCCTTCGGACCCGTGGCTTTGTCATGTGTCATACGATTTCAAGGTTACATGATTACATATTGCATGATTACGCACCTTTACATGATTACATAATCTGCTACTATACCGTTGTGTCATCATCGTGGTAAGTTCTGTTTCCGGCATCGGGTGACCTGCCTTGAGGAAGTATGGCAGCGCATCCGCGCGCTTGCCTGGGACGTCCTCTCCGCCCCCGGGCCAGCCACTCCATGTGTTGCATGCGCAAGATTCAGAAGCGCTCTTGGGGTGTTGGCTTGCGCATCAGATGGGTTGAGGGTTAGATGCCTGGCGCATAGCGCAGACAGGTCCCTGATCGTGGATGCCATGTCGCAGTTGCCGTCCGAAGCCCACGGCCGATGCTTCGAGACGCTGGGCTTGCACAGTGCTTAAGCTGGCCGACAATCCCACTGGTTCTTTGTAGGGAATGAGGGAATGTCCACATTCCCTCATTCATTCCCTACTGAGAACCAGCCAGACAATGATGACGCACGTGTAGATGCGGAGTGCTGACAAGAAGGCTCAGAAGTTCTTTTGATCAGGTTGTTTGGGCTCGATGTATTGTTGGATGACCCTCAGCTGCATGTTTTGCAGGGTAGCATGGATATCCCCTACATGCGGGCAGCTACGTATGTTACTCACCTGTGCTCTTTCAGATCGTCAAGAGTTTTGTTCAATGTGGGGGTTTACAAGAATAGGTGACCCCCAAAATAGACCCCAAGTAGTAGGATCCCCTTATAATAACAAGAACCCCAAAAAGGTACCCCCAAACATCGTAAACTCCCATATCAGTTTTCCCCTAAACTCAAGTCTTATTTTTGGAACCCTAAACCCTAAACCCTAACCCCTAAACCCTAAACCCTAAACCCTAAACCCTAAACCCTAAACCCTAAACTCCAAACCCTAAACCCTGAACCCTAACCCCGAGATCCCTAGATCCCAGTCTGACAGGAGCAGTTGCGGCCTTGGCTCTGCGAGGCGGGTCGCTGCCCTCCGTAAGTTCTGCCTTGAGAAGCGCTGGAAACTTGCTGTTTGTTAGTAGGGAATGCGTGAATAAGGTACCATATCTGATCCCTTAAAGGGTACATAGGGGATATATATATATATATATGGTCGCCCCCCTCCCCCCCCCCCCCCCCAATGGACCAACCTCTAACCCCAATGGACCCACATCGACATGTCCAAGGTTCTCGAGACACTGTACCCTGCCATGCTTTCCCTGTCCACTTCTTTGTGATTTTTGTGCTTCCTGTGCATTTTTTGTTTTTTTCGTGCTTTTTTGTGCTTTGTGTGTTCTTTTGTGCTTTGTTCTGTTTTTTTTGCACGTTTTGCACTTGTTGCACTTTTTTGCACTTTTTGCACTTGTTGCACTTTTTTTGCACTTTTTGCACTTTTTGGTGCTTTTTTTCTAATTGCAAAAGTCCAAAAGTCCAAAAATCCAAAAATCCAAAGTTCTCCGGACAATCTCCCAGGAAACTTTGAATTTTTGGATTTTTGGACTTTTGGATTTTTGGATTTTGGACTTTTGGATTTTGGATTTTTTGGATTGGAAAAGCACATTCAAGAGGACAAATATTTGCAAAAATATTGCGAAATTAAAAAAGCACCAAAAAGTGCAAAAAGCACAAAAAAGTGCAAAAAGTACAAAAAACGTGCAAAAGTGCAAACAAGTGCAAAAAGTGCAAAAAAAGTGCAAAACGTGCAAAAAAGTGCAAAAAGTGCAAAAAGTGCAAAAAGTGCAAGAAGTGCAAAAAGTGCAAAAAGTGCAAAAAAGCACGAAAAAGCACGAAAAAGCATGAAAAAACACCAAAAACATAAAAAAAACACAAAACCCAAACATCTAAAAATCCAAAAGTCCAAAAATCCAAAATCCAAAAATCCAAAAACAAAAAAAGCCCAAAAACCCAAAGTTTACTGGGAGATTGTCCGGTGAACTTTTGATTTTTGGATTTTTGGATTTTTTGATTTTTTGACTTTTGGACTTTTGGACTTCTTTTCCATTTCGCGGTTGGTCCATTGGGACAGTTCACTACCCCTGTATTGGACCCAAGCCCGAATACTGTCTTGAATTCTTCTGCTCAACCTCTTGTTGGCTTTTCGAGTAGGATGTTTTCAAAACCTTATTGGCTTCTTGAACAGGCTACTTAGATTTTTTTGATACAGTTTTCAATCGAGTAGTTAAGACGTTACTGCGATTCGAGCAGGCTTTGCTGCAATAATCACAGGGGGCAATGCAATATTAAGAGCTTGAATTAAAAGATCAGAAGAACTAAATCGTTATCACAAAGAAAGGGTGTTCATGAGATATAGACTTTTTCTTAAACAGCAGGTACTGTGATCCCAGAATGGTTCTTATTAAAAAAAAAGATATTTCAGCTTCTTTCAAATGCAAAAGTCGATATTTGCACATATAGGCCTTCTCTGTTAAAGCCTCCTTGGCAAAGGCCTGTGCGTAACCCATGTACGTGCTTTTCTCAGTGATTTGAATAGGCAAGACTTTACCTGGTCCTCATATACAGAAACATCATATTCAAAATCTTATTGAATATGCTATTTAGTTGTGCGATGAATGTAGTGTTCACGTTTCGAGTAGGTAGGACGCATTTGAAATTCTGATAAGGGTACATTTGAATGGTCGCCCTCCTTTCATTCAAAAAAAAGGAGAACGAATATGAGCCAACCTCGAATGTGAAAAATCATAAAAATCATCAAAATCATCAAAAATCCAAAAATCCAAAAATCCAAAAATCCAAAAATCCAAAAATCCAAAAATCCAAAAATCCAAAAATCCAAAAATCCAAAAATCCAAAAATCCCAAAATCCAAAAATCAAAAGTTTCGTGGGAGATTGTCCGGAGAACTTTGGGTTTTTGGATTTTTGGATTTCTATGCATAAGACAAGCATTGAAAAAGCACAGTATATGAAAATAATGCAAAAAAGCCAAAACAAGTGCAAAAGTGCGAAAAGCCAAAAAAGTGTAAAAAGCCAAAAAAGTGCAAAAGTGCAAAAAAGCAAAACAAGTGCAAAAGTGCAAAAAACACCAGAAAAGTGCAACAATGCACGAAATGCACAAAAAGCACAAGAAATAAGGCAAAACACGCAAGAAAACACAAAGCACGACAAAAACAACTAGTTTTTCCTGTCCTTTTCATTTCGCGGTTGATCCATTGCGGGGGGGTGAGCATATATATATATATATATATGGAACCTTATTCCCCCCATCCCTACGAACCAGCAGTAAGGAAAAGTGAGCGGCTCTTCAGGTGAATGGCATGCCCTCCTTGGGCGTGGGTGGGAAGCTGGATGTCTCTGCTCCGGCCTTGGTCTACTCGTGGCTTGCATGGTCTCCTCGATTCCTGCATGCTTGGCGTACCCTCTGTCCCCGCAGAATCCGGCGGTCTCAGTGCCAAAGGGTTTTTTTAACATTAAAAACCCATTTCGGGATTCTTAACGTTAAGAAACCCTCAACACTAAATTGGGCTCAGTTGCTCAGACACAGAGACAGCACCGAGTTAATGTGTTTTTAACATGAAAAACTCCAAAGTGCAGTCACTCCGCGACCGGCAGTTCGCAAAGAGTTCCAGAGAGCAGCTGCCACACTGCAAAGGTCGACACCGAAATGCTGATGGCCATGTTCGAGATTGTGTTGGACAGTGTGCTTTTTCTGCAGACAGGAAAGTTTGGGGAAGCTGGATCCTCTGAGGAACTCTGTCTGCCGCTAGTTCTGTGACTGCTCCCTGAGATGCCGACTGCAGCCCCACGAGCAGATTCTGCTGCGACGTTCGAGCTCCTCACTCCTCCCTGAGTGACCGTGGTCCTTCGGACCTTCGTAGTTGGGACGACCACAGCTTCGAGATCCCAAGCACCCGCATGATCCTGCACGGCAGCGCCGGCAAGAATGTCAAGAAGTGCGTGGCAAAGGTCACAATGCTGAGTCTGCCAAGCAGAGCCTCCCTCCCATTCTAGCAGCTTAGCCACGTCCTGCGTGCGAAAGCAGCCCGAAACATTGCGAAACCAGCGGCTGGACGGAGCGGCAAAAAGATCTTGTCGCAAGTCTTTGCACAGCACGCAGCCAGAAGCTGCATGCTGGGGCGTGTTTGCTGCACCAAGTGTTCCCATGCATGTCTTATTCTCTTGCTGTCGCATTCGCTAGTTGCCACATTCATCATGCCGAGTCATGCCCTGCTTCAATTCACACGGCTCAAGCAGGGGCTGGGCGCGTGCCGTAACCCCTGTAAGCGGCGTCTCGCAAAGCTTGCAAAATGCAAGCGGGCTTGGCCAGGCCAGTGGCTGCTGGACTTGGGTCCGTGCGCCACCAGCATGGCCTGCAGAGGGCAGCCGTCGACGTGGCTGCCCAAGAGCGCGCTCGCAGTTCTTTGACACCCCGTTTTGGGCACTGCCTGGTGTTGGTGGGGTCAATGTTCAAATTTTCTGAAGTCTTGTGCAGACGAAAAGGGGCCAAGTGCTCCAGTCTCGAGGAAATGCGCAGAAGCAGGCTGCATGGATGCTTTGCAGGGCGCTCCCGCTCTCAGATGTTGCAGCAGCGCAGAAGGCCCACAACCAAGGGCGAAGCACAGTCGGGTGCAACCACGGTGAAAGATGATTGGACAACGATGAGGAAAGTCCGCCGCTTGCTGAAAGCTGGGACGAGTGTAGTGCTGATTCTCTTGCTGCTGCTCTACATCACAAGCTTTGTCGAGGGCGCCATGCACAAGCTGTTTGCACATCCAATGACAGCAAAGTCACCGGCAGTTGCCTTGATCATCGGTCTAGCAGTGGGAGGGCTGCACACGGTGGCAGGACCTGACCACTTGGCGGCATTGGCGCCCCTAGTGATCGGCAAAGGCCGCTCAGTGTTTGCCGCCTTTGGCCTTGGAGCTCTTTGGGGCTCGGGACATGCCACCGGACAGCTGATCATCGGAATCGGTTGCCTTGCAGTGAAGATGGGCCTGTTGCAGATGCATGTAGCTCAGGTTCTAGAGCAAACCAGCGGCTTGCTCGTGGGCGCATCTCTGATAGCAATTGGGCTGCTGGGCTTCAAAGAAGCCAGGGATTATGATGCCGAAGACGAAGCCATTTCGTTCGACCAGAACTATGGGTGGGCCACATATGCGACAGGCGTCGTGCATGGACTCTCGCTGGATGCCATCATCTTCATTCTTCCGGCTTTCTCCTTGCCACGCTTCTCTGCCGTGGTACACGTGCTTGGGGTCGTCTTCGGCACGTTGTTCTCCATGGGATGTTACACGACAGTCCTGAGCCTGTTCTTCCGCAAGTCCCCCAAGCTGAAGTTGATTTCCTCCAGTGCGTCATCGATCTCCCTGCTCCTCGGCATCTGCATCTTGATGTCCTGCGTCGGAATCGACCTGCCCCTGCCTGGGCTATGATGGCAGTGCCGCCTTTGTGGCTTCCAGAAAAGAGAAGTTCAGCTACAGGCTACTCCCTGGGCTTTGCGCGTTGGAGCTTGCAGCTGCAGAGCTGAGTAGAACCCGGTGGGAAGCTGTTTCATACATCGAATCAGCTGATGTGACAAATATTCTTGCGCATGCACTGATGCAGACAGAGGATCGAGGTTCTCCAAGTGATGAAAAACAAGGCTGCACGTCCATTGCATGTCCAGTTAGCTCGAAGCCCTTTGCTAGTGTTTTCTTTTTGATTTACGTTGCCTGCAGGTGAGAGCTCTGCTGCTTGTCATGTTAGATGCCCGTTGTCTCACTTACTGCAGCCCGTGCTGAGTGGTTGAGCAAGCTGGTAGTGCCACGCTTCAGTGAAGAGGACATGCAAGTCGCTATGACGGCTCGAGCGTGGGATTAGGGTGCCGACCCTGACGTTAAGCTTGCAAGATGCAAGCAGGCCATGCGAGCCCGTGCCCAGCCTGGGCACTGGGTTCTGGACTTGCGGCAGGGTCCGTGCGCCACCAGCATGGCCTGCAGAGGGCAGCCGTCGACGTGGCTGCCCAAGAGCGCGCTCGCAGTTCTTTGACACCCCGTTTTGGGCACTGCCTGGTGTTGGTGGGGTCAATGTTCAAATTTTCTGAAGTCTTGTGCAGACGGAAAGGGGCCAAGTGCTCCAGTCTCGAGGAAATGCGCAGAAGCAGGCTGCATGGATGCTTTGCAGGGCGCTCCCGTTCTCAGCTGTTGCAGCAGCGCAGAAGGCCCACAACCGAGGGCGAAGCACAGTCGGCGGGTGCAACCACAGTGAAGGATGATTGGACAACGATGAGGAGAGTTCGCCGTTTGCTGAAAGCTGGGACGAGTGTAGTGCTGATTCTCTTGCTGCTGCTCTACATCACCAGCTTTGTCGAGGGCGCCATGCACAAGCTGTTTGCACATCCAATGACCGCAAAGTCACCTGCAGTTGTTTTGATGATCGGTCTAGCAGTGGGAGGGCTGCACACGGTGGCAGGACCTGACCACTTGGCGGCACTGGCGCCCCTGGTGATCGGCAAGGGCCGCTCAGTGTTTGCCGCCTTTGGCCTTGGAGCTCTTTGGGGCTCGGGGCATGCCACCGGACAGCTGATCATCGGAATCGGTTGCCTTGCAGTGAAGATGGGCCTGTTGCAGATGCATGTAGCTCAGGCCCTAGAGCAAACCAGCGGCTTGCTCGTGGGCGCATCTCTGATAGCAATTGGGCTGCTGGGCTTCAAAGAAGCCAGGCAATATGATACCGCAGAAGAAGCTACAGGCGACCAGAACTATGGATGGGCAACGTATGCGACTGGTGTCGTGCATGGACTCTCGCTGGATGCCATCATCTTCATTCTTCCGGCCTTCTCCTTGCCACGCTTTTCTGCCGTCATACACGTGCTTGGGGTCGTCTTCGGCACGTTGTTCTCCATGGGATGTTACACGACAGTCCTGAGCCTATTCTTCCGCAAGTCCCCCAAGCTGAAGTTGATTTCGGCCAGTGCGTCATCGATCTCCCTCCTCCTCGGCATCTGCATCATGATGTCCTGCGTCGGAATCGACCTGCCCCTGCCTGGACTTTGAAGTCCCGAAGTGAGCAGTGCGGCGATGACTCAAAATTCGTCCCAGAGCTTGCAGATGTGCCCGGAGATGTCAGTGTGGGGATTGATTTAACTCTGGAGCCCTGAGAGGGGTGAGGGGTGCCATGGGAGTCGAAATTGAAGGCTCCGTTTTAGAGCCAAAAGAAACCGTTTCCGAGCTAGTTCGCACCGCTTGGTACAGATGGTCATAGGGGGTCGCATGACAGGGTGAACAGGGGGTCCATGAGCAGGTCCCGTGGGCTGGATCAGGTTCTTCCTGCGGTCTTTGCAGGAGAAGCCAGATGATCCGGGGCAAGGCTTCACAAAGTCCACACATGTCCGTGTCACAGGGTCCAGAGTCAGGGGTCCATGAAAGGGCAAAGGTTCTTTTTACCGGCTTTCACAGCGCAGTCCATGCAGAAGGGGCTCCATGGTGGGACATGGGACATGGGCAAAGTGGTTGAAAAAAGGGGTCCAGAGACCGGCATGGGGGAACCATACTGGGGTCCAAAGGTAAAGCTCTCGAGCCTAGGCCCGATCCAAGGCTCATACTGTAGGGGTCCATGTCAGGAGAGCAAGGACCATGATGGGCGGTTCGTGGGGTCCATGAGGGGTCGCCCACAAAAAGACTGCATCGGGGGTTCATCGGGCTCGGAAGGTCCTGAAGGATGGCGCCATAGACGATTTTTGCGCACTACAGTCAGACTGTTTGTCCGAAAATGTTTGAAACGTGTTTCTCGCATGTATGACAGCGGCTGCGCTTTTGCAGGCGCAGGTGCCCGTGCGTTGTTGCATTTTGCTGGCGCATGCTTCGGCACAAGCACAGGCGCTTGAATGCACGCATCCACTCACGCATGCGCGCATGCAAGTGGAGCCATTCCCGCTCGCACTGAGGGTGGGAGGCCAGAACTGAGAACTGAGAACCGAGCATTGTGGATTGTTCTGTTCGCGGCTGTGCGGGGAGGGACGTGTGAAGTGGTTCCTGCCAGTCTACACGAGTGTTCGATGCCCTCAAGTTTTCCTGATGACAAGGCCTGGTGCAAAGGTTGTTGCACTGAGGACCTCCCAGTTGTGATCGCAGCATGTGGGCATTGGATTCGCTGGATGCCTGGTAAACATGCCAATATTGTCCGCAAATTCTCATGCCGCAACTTTTGGGCCAAGTTATCATGGGCAGGTGACACGCTTCCGGCGTGTTGGCTGCGCCGCAGTCCGTGTGCTTCAATGCACGCACCCCAAAAGTGCTCACGCTTGTGTTTGTCCCAACCCCAAAAACGTATGCACTTGCGTTTGCCGCCGCCCAAAAATTGCACACACCTTTGTTTGTCCACACTTTTGTTTGTCCCCACTCCAAAAGTGTGAAGCACTTTTGTTGCGATCTTAGACTTCAATCACGATTGCTCAGAACACTCGCATCGTCCCCAGGGCCCAAGTATCTTTAGGATGTCCGTCCCAATACAAAGGCGAGAGGCAAATCGACGGCAGAAACCAGCACCTCTTGCTTGCCAGAAAAGCACTCCGCCACGGACTTCGTGCTGGATGAGAGTAGCGTCCACTCTAGGACAGTTGGCAACAGTTCGGCAAGATCAGACAGACAAGTTGAACTCCGCTCTGTAGTCTAGCTCACCTCGTCACTGGGAGGCGGGATTGAGGCTAGATCCTGGGACCTGCAGGGAGCTCAGCACTGAGGGAGCTTCAATCAAGCTGACATTCATGCTGCTGTGCAACTGTCAAAAATCAGTAGCGCTGTTTCAGAATGAGAGCCACCAACCTCAACGGTCCAGACCGAAAAGACCTTTTAGGCCTGAAGTTGTTGGACGACCCGCCTTGCTCAGTCCTCAGTTGTCCCATTTTGTTGGGAGGAGAGGCCAGCCGTGTTTCGGGGGGTAGCGCCTCAGAACGCTGTTGGAGCAAGACGTTCTCTGCTCCTGATTCAACTTCCATGGATGCAGACCTGCTCTGGTGCATAAACCAACAGACGGATAGAAAGTTGGAGCTTTTGCGGCTCAAGTCGCAACAACAGTGGAGCCCCTTGGCGCCTGAGCCATGGGCTCTATTAGGTTATGTGGTTTGATGATTACTTCTTTCCTTGCAAAGGCCGCGAGGCCGGCAGGGCCGGGCTTCGAGGCTTCGGCTCTGCCAGCAGCCCTCGCGCAAGAAGGAGCGTCGGACACTTGCGGGCAATTTCGTGCCGAGAAGGTTGTGGGGAGCACTCTCTGTCGCTGTCCTGAAGGCCTTGTCACCAGTCACGAGTGCAGTCCTGTCAGGGCGGGTGAGGGAAAAACCGAATTCCATGAGAACGATGGCTTCATAGTCTTCCACGAGCCCGGAGAGGACACAATAGATAGAGTACCCATGAAAGACTGCCGGTGCGACCATCCCTGCTTTTCCTTTAGAAATGTCGTGCTCAAGCATGAGACAGACGGAGCTGTGTGCGAGTGCAAAGAGGGTCGCCATCTTTTGGCCGTAGGGGCTTGCGGCGCAGGGTGGGGCGTGACGGAGTTCCCCTTGGCCGGGGCTTCGAAAAACTGCTCGTGCGAACTACCCTTTGACTTCGGGGCAATTCGGCCTCGGAGCCCCGTCCACGTCTCGGCTTTGAACTTCTGTGCAGCCGCCGGGAATGCATACCGTAAAAAGATTGGAGAGGCGAGCCCGTTCTTTCAGAAGAGCCAGGAAAGCAGGCATCGAAAATTAATGCCCAAGACTTTGAAGCGCCTGCACCTGACCCCCGAGCTGTGCCAAGCGGTAGTCGCGGGCTCCTTCAGCAATTCTGAAAAGAAGAAAGCCCCATGGCTGGAAGAAGCGGCGGAGCTGTCCGAGCACGATGGCTCCAAGGGCTTCGGGCGCTTAGATCCACTCGTGGGCAGCACGCTTCGGCACCACCTGCGACAAGTTTGCCACGACGAGTGCACTTTGATTGTCGAAGAGGTTGTCAACACTTCTTGGGATGTTTACTACGACTTTGCCAAGGGCCTCAGCACCGAGCAGTCCTGCGCGGATCGCGTGGTGCGCAGGGTCGAGGCCGAGGTGCTGGGCTGCTGCGGTCGTGCCTGCGGCTGGAGTGGGCGAAGCTGCACGAGCTGGCCCTTCCTCTCCCAAGATAACCAGGCTGCTTGGCTGGCGGAGTGCTGTACTGAGTACAACGTCCTGAAGAACTCGAGCAGGGAGATGATGTGCAACAGCGTCCTGACCCAACAAGATGCTGAGCTCGTCTCTGAGCATGACCTCTCAGCAGAAGGAAAGGATGCTGCGGCCACCTACCTTGGCCAAGATCCGCGCCTCCTTTGGACCGCTGAAGGTGCCGCGTCCGATCTTGGGAGCAAGTATCACTTCTTGGATCCGCCCCCCAGAGCCGGCCACGCTGTGGCAGAAGAGCTGCTGAGGCAGGAGCCCAACATCCGTCAGAGGGGGCTCACGAACGGCTGGTTTGTCATGGAGAGCGCAGAGACGGAGAGCTCCTCGCCAGTGGCCACTTCCTTTTTGACTGTCGCAGCGGCGGCGGATTGCGAGACGGGCCCCCTGGACATGACGAGGTGCTCAGCAGACTTCAAGCGGTGGCAGCATGAAGCATGCGTCGAGGGTGCAGGCTGGCAAGCCAGGAAAGTCAGCAAAGGCAGGGGGCGCAGACCGGGCTGCAAGCAGTCCGCAGCCGTTCATGTTGCCACGCCTCAAGAGTGTCTTGAAGCAGACCCCAACGGATTCAGCAAGATCGTCAGGGGTGAAGAGAGGTTAGCGGGGGAGGAGGAGGCCCGCTACTTTGAGTACAACAAAGGCCAGGACGGCCCGCCCATCGCGTGCTACGTGGTCTCCGAAAACTTCCCGTGCAACTTCGAGGACGTTGAGTCTGGAGCCTGGGTATTGGACAAGCTCGTGTTCGTGAAGCCTTTGACGTATCACTGAGCTAGCGTGAAAATCACCACTCGAAAAGCTGCTGGGCTCGTTGCGTGCTTGCCTCTTGCCTTCCGATGAGCGATTGGTAGCGGCGCAAGTATGAAATCCTGCAGGTAAAACCAGCACATGCAACCAGATGCGCCGTCAGACAAGATACCTTGACAATCTTGTTTTCCATGGAGTTGCTTAGGAACGTGGTCACGGACGAGGCGAAATGCTACTGATGCTCCAGCTGCAGGTCGCGAGCCAAACGAGGTTGGGGCTATGTGCGCCAGGCTGGTCATGCTGGCAAGAGCGCGGGAAGTCCAGCAGCAAAGCGGTCAAAGTCGAGGGAAGTTAAGAAGAAGAGGAGGTGTTCAGCAGGACGTGCGTGCCTTTGAAAGTTGTTGTTAGGCTGGTGATGGTGGCGCGTCACCCCGGCCGCGGAGATTGTTGGACGGTGACGTAGTTGGTGAGAGAAAGATGCTCACGCCTGTGCCGTTTGCTCACCCTGGCCTGCGTGCTAAGGTTCTTGCAGCTTCAAAGAAGAAGCGCCAGGCAGATTGCAAGCATCCACGCTGAGCAGGGTCCTCTGTACGAGACTCCAGGGGTTCATCCAAATTCCATTCAAAACCACGAATTTCTAGGCCTTTAACATCTGCTGTTTGTGCTGCAGAAGATAATCGGCTGCCATCCTTGTTGCTGTAGTCTTCGACGACACCACAGGTCTGGCTTCGAGATATTGACGATGCACAAAATTCAAGGTGGAAACGTTCGCATCCCCGAATTCATTCAAAGTTTAGGGCCAAAAGTGAAGATCGCTGTCAATCAATCCAACTCCAAGGATTGTGCGCATGCTAAAAGACGCCCACTATTTCCATTAGTACTATTATTGTTATTACCAATGAGTTCTATGGCTTTGTCAGTAGTATTCTTCTTGTCATTAGTAGTAAATTCATTATTTCATGACTATCCAATCTGCAGACGTTCCACCAAAAAGCGTGAGTTTTTCAAGCCTAAAGCCAGGGATTTGGAGTGGAAGCCCGTGATTTTGTATCGAAGTATCAGCGTAAAAAAACCAAAATCGCGAGGTTTTGGGAATACGTCAGTTAAAAGATGGGCCTCCAATCCCAAACCAAATTGATTCTGGACCCAAATCCAAAGATTTTAAGATCTACAGTAAACTGAAAGAAGCAAGAATTAGCATGGAAGTCGCGAGTTCGCTGTTGCTCGAATTCTGATAGTTTGGGATGATAAGCTAACAATTTCATGAAATCTGAAGGCATAAGGTCTGTAAACTTCAAGCCTTGAGCTGCTTACTACTACTACTACTACTACTACTACTACTACTTCTTCTTCCACTACCACTGCCACTGCCACTACCGCTACCGCTACCGCTACCACGCCACTACCACTACCGCTACCACTACCACTAGAACTACCACTAGAACTACTACTACCACTACCACTACCACGACGACGACGACGAGACGACGACCAAATACTACTATTACTACTACTACCACTACTACTACTGCTGCTACTACTACTACTACTACTACTACTACTACTACTACTACGACTACTACTAACTACCTACTACGTACTACCTACTACCTACTACCTACTACCTACTATCGAAAAACGCTCAAAACCCGAATTTTGGACGTCATTTTTTTTTTTTAAGTTGTTCGTTGTGCGCTGGTTTAAGGTTTTGGGTTCAGGGTTGAGGCTTTCGGGCTTTGCAAAACTCTGGCTGTTTTGGGTTTGGGGTTTAGGGTTGAGGGATTAGGGTTGAAGCTTTCGGGCTTTGCAGAACCCTGCCTGTTTCGGGTTCAGGGTTGAGGGTTCAGGGTTTTGGGTTGAGGCTTTCGGATGTTAGCATTGGCATGAAGGTTTCAGCTTCTGGTGAAAAAACAGGAGATGGAGCTTTGGCATGAAGGTTTCGGCTTCGGGTGAAAAACAGGAGATGGAGCTTTGGCATGAAGCCTTGGCAGGAACGTAATTACCCCCCACCCCCCCCCCCACCCACCACGCACTGGGAACATGGATGTTAGCATTGGCATGAAGGTTTCAGCTTCTGGTGAAAAACAGGAGATGGAGCTTTGGCATGAAGCCTTGGCAGGAACGTAATTACCAACCCCCCCCCCCCGCCCACCCCCACCCCCCCCACCCCCCACCCCCCCCCACCACCCCCCCCCCCACCCCGCCACCATGCCCCCCCCCCCCCCCCCCCCTGCTACTGCTACTGCTACTGCGACTGCGACTGCTACTGCTACTGCTATTACTACTATTGCTACTACTGCTACAACTACTACTACTACTACTACTACTACTACTACTACTACTACTACTACTACTACTACTACTACTACTACTACTACTACCACTAGTGCTACTGCTACTGCTACTGCTACTGCTACTGCTACTGCTACTGCTACTGCTACTGCTACTGCTACTGCTACTGCTACTGCTACTGCTACTACGACGACGACGACTACTACTACCACTACTACGATGAACCTTCGGACGTACAATAGTAAGCACTATGAAGAACACTATGAGGAAACATTGAAAGAAAACACTAATTACAAACATAGAACCACACACAAAGACAATGAACAGAAGAGCAACGGTAAACGCTAAAGATAGAACACATAAAACAAAAGAACAAACACACAAGCAAACACATAAGGAAAACTCGCAAAACTAGTGGACAAATCCATCGAACATCAGAAAAAAGCAAACCAAGCACAGTCTAAAACAAAAGCCCGGATTGTTAGGTGGTTCCGTTCCAGAGAGATGCTTGGGGAACGAAAAGCGCTGCCCCTGTTTAGGTTTTCTCACGCATTGCGCAAATGTTAGATCTTGAGCTGGTAGTAACTAAGAGGAACCCGCCGACCCAAACAAGGTGGAGCTGGTGGCCAGATCATCTTCTCGATAGCCCTACATGTCGTCATGCGGGAGCAAATTACTGTGATTGGGTAGTGATTGGGTATTTTGCGCGATGTGTGGCAAACATATTGCAGGGTACGTCTTGGATGTGTTTGGAATGGTTCTCACTGATTCCTTCCTCATATATCAGATGGCTAGAGAACGAGTCATGCTGAAACGCCACTTGCTTTCAGTGAAAAACCAAAAAGTGATTCAACTACTCGAGAAACATCACTTTCCAAAGAGGCGGGGAAGGGCTGTTCAGCTCAGTCTCGACACTGCATAAAATTGCCCGAGGCCCTGTTTCAATGCTTTAGGGTGCGACGCTGCAAGACTTCTCTTCCAACGGCCCAGGTGTCCGCGCAGAGCGCCAGAGTGAGGTGCGAGTTTTTGGGATAATCTTGGGGATGGCTCAAAGAAGTCCTTGTTCTCAGGGATGTTTGCTGTACTGTGCAGTCAGTCTCAGCTTGATTCTCCCCCTGGGACCCTGGTCGGCACGCAGGGCATGGGAATTCTATTGAGCCTGTTGCGGCATCCAGTCATGATGACTGAATGGGGCTGGGTGGGGAGCTTGTGGCTCATATTGCAGGCAGCACGAGCTCCAGTGCACCTCGGCCATGGGCTCCATCAAGCTATGTGGTTTGGCGATTACTTTCCTTGCAGAGGCCGCCCGAGGGCCAGGCTGGGAGGCATCCGGTTTGCCAGCGGCCCTGGCGCAAGAAGGGGTGCGCCGTTCTTGCGAGTATTTTGGTGCCAAGACGGGTGTGGGCACGCTTTGTCGCTGTCCCGAAGGAAATGTCACCAATATCAGGTGCGGCGAGCAGGGTGTTGGGGCGGGGCTAGCAGAATTCCAGGTGACCGATGGCTTAGATAAGCCCTGCAAATGTGATCATCCCTGCTATGCCTTCGACAAGGCCTTCCCGAAGCGGGGGACACCAGGATCTGTGTGCACTTGCCTCTTCATAAAAAAAGGTTACAAACAGCAAAGGTTGGCTGTGGGGGCTTGCGGGGCAGGGTGGGGCGCAAAAGAGTTCCCTTTGGCCGGGGCTTCCAAAGGATGCTCATGCAAAACGCCCTTTGACTTGGGGAAAATTCGGCCTCCAAGCCCCGTCCTTGTCGCGGCCTTGAACTTCTGTGCAGCTGCTGGGAATGAATACGGCAACAGAATCGGAAGGAACTTCGGAAAGCATATTCGGGAAACTTACCAGAGGCATCGAGAAGGGGCTGCCGATGCCTTGGACCGCCTGCACCTGACCCCCGAGCTGTGTCAAGCGGTAGTCGCGGGCTCCTTCAACAACTCCCAAAAGATGGAAAGCCCATGGCTGGAAGATGCAGCGAAGCTGTCCGAGCACGATGGCTCCAAGGGCTTCGGGCGCTTAGATCCACTTGTGGGCAGCACGCTTCGGCACCACCTGCGACAGGTTTGCCACGACGAGTGCACTTTGATTGTCGAAGAGGTGAAAGGAGCTTTACAGGATGTTTTTTTCGACGAGTTTGCCAAGGGCCTCAGCACCGAGCAGTCCTGCGCGGATCGCGTGGTGCGCAGGGTCGAGGCCGAGGTGCTGGGCTGCTGCGGTCGTGCCTGCGGCTGGAGTGGGCGAAGCTGCACGAGCTGGCCCTTCCTCTCCCAAGATAACCAGGCTGCTTGGCTGGCGGAGTGCTGTACTGAGTACAACGTCCTGAAGAACTCGAGCAGGGAGATGATGTGCAACAGCGTCCTGACCCAACAAGATGCTGAGCTCGTCTCTGAGCATGACCTCTCAGTAGAAGGAAAGGATGCTGCGGCCACCTACCTTGGCCAAGATCCGCGCCTCCTTTGGACCGCTGAAGGTGCCGCGTCCGATCTTGGGAGCAAGTATCACTTCTTGGATCCGCCCCCCAGAGCCGGCCACGCTGTGGCAGAAGAGCTGCTGAGGCAGGAGCCCAACATCCGTCAGAGGGGGCTCGCGAACGGCTGGTTTGTCATGGAGAGCGCAGAGACGGAGAGCTCCTCGCCAGTGGCCACTTCCTTCTTGACTGTCGCAGCGGCGGCGGATTGCGAGACGGGCCCCCTGGACATGACGAGGTGCTCAGCAGACTTCAAGCGGTGGCAGCATGAAGCATGCGTCGAGGGTGCAGGCTGGCAAGCCAGGAAAGTCAGCAAAGGCAGGGGGCGCAGACCGGGCTGCAAGCAGTCCGCAGCCGTTCATGTTGCCACGCCTCAAGAGTGTCTTGAAGCAGACCTCAACGGATTCAGTAAGATCGTCAGGGGTGAAGAGAGGTTAGCGGGGGAGGAGGAGGCCCGCTACTTTGAGTACAACAAAGGCCAGGACGGCCCGCCCATCGCGTGCTACGTGGTCTCCGAAAACTTCCCGTGCAACTTCGAGGACGTTGAGTCTGAAGCCTGGGATTTGGACAAGCTCGTGTTCGTGAAGCCCATGCCGTACAAGTAGGCTTGCCTGGATTTCGGAGAGCTGCCGTGTTTGATGCGTGGTTGCCTCTTACTTTTCGATGAGCGATTGGCAGCGGCGCAAGAAAGAAATCCTGCAGGTAAAACCAGCACCTGCAGTTACCAGTTACCATATGCGGCCTCAGATAACATACCTTGACAATCGGTTTTTTTCATGAAGTTGCGTAGGAAGGGGGTCATGAATGAGGCGAAATGCCAGTGATGCTTACGGTGCAGGTCGAGAGACGAAGGAGCTTGGGGCTGTGTGCGCCAGGCTGGTCATGCCACACGTTTTTGCACAACAAACTGCCTTGAAAATTGTTCTGCACATAGCGTGGCAAGAGCGAGGGCAGTCCAGTAGCAAAGCGTCCAGGAAATTAATAAGAAGAGGAGGTGTTAAGCAGGACGCGCGTGCCTTTGAAATGTGCTACTCTTGCTTGTTTGGTTGGTGGTGCGTCGCCCTCATTTGCAGTAGAGGAAGAAGCTCAAACTTGTATCTCTTGCTGTGGCCGGCACCCTCGCCTGTGTGCTAAGATTCCCACAGCCCTCGAACATGAACTGCAAGGCAGCTTGCAAGCATCCAAACTGCCAAGAGTCCATGCTCTGTGCGGAAATTTGTACCTATACGGTCTATACGTACGAGCTCAAGAATCCTGGGGTTCATCCATATTTCATTGCTTTGTGTCTTCATGACAACAGTTTGCCAATCAAACTCCAAGGATTGCGGGCATGCGGAAAGACTCCCATTTTTTATTACTATTAGATGATCATTATTATTATGATTACTGTTTATTTCTATGTTTTTCAGTAATCATCTTCTTGTTTTTGTCAATTGGAGTGGACGCCCATGATTTTGCATCGAAATGACAGTGTAACCCAAAATCACGAGGTTTTGGTAACTCAACTGAAAAGGATGTGCATTTGTTGGGGGAGGGGGGGGGGATTTGGATTTTTAAATAGGGTTTAGGGCTTGCTCTATATTCCACTAGCAAATCCTCTATGGCTCCTTCTACACGGTTCTCCGTCTTCTGGCTTCCCGGCTTCGTGGCTTTCTGGCTTCTTGGCGTTTTGGCTACGTGTCTTCTTGGCTTTCTGGCTTCTCGGCTTTTTGGGCTTTGTGGCCCCATCTGCTGCGTCGGCTTATTGGCTTCCTGTTTTTTTTTTTGCTCTCGCTGATGGTGTTGCACAACCCGAACCTTATCTGCACAATGCAGCCTCCTGGCAGGTTCCGATGTTGTCTGGGACCGGCAGCGAGCTCAGCAGTGGCCAGCTGAATGAACCTGACATAGCGGCGAACGCACCTTCCTGGGGCCTGTACACGTGTTCCTTCGCTCGGCAATGCACAAGCTGATGATGAAGCATGGGCGAGCTTAGCTTGCCGATGTTCTTGTGAGCGTTCGTGTGTTCACTGCTACCATCGGTAAGCCAACGAGGTTTATGGAGAGTTGTTGGCTAGAAACTGCGAAAATCAGGATTACTATTTCGCAATGAGATGTCCCAGCCTCAACGGTCCAGACTGAAGAACTTGCATTTTCAGGCTAGAAGTTTTGGTACGATATCGCCTTGCCCAGTCCTCAGTTGTCTTGTTTGTTGGAGAGCAGCAGGTCATGTCTGCGCGCAAACCCTCTGGAGCGCGCGGAGATGGGCCATGATGAGCTGACCTCCTGAGCGATGCCGCCCAGGTATTCGCATCGCACAGGTTGCAGCCCGTGGCAGTTCTCTAGAAGCTCTCAGAGAGGCCCGCCGAGATTTTTTTGCATGTAGGGCCGTAGGGCATGGGAATTGGAATGCTGCAGAAAGCATCCAATCTGCTGCTGACGCAACATCCACGCAGATCGAATGGAAAGCTTTCGGCTCATGTCGCAACAACTGCGGAGCCCCTGGGTGCCTGAGCCATGGGCTCTCTCAGGCTATGTGGTTTGATGATTACTTCTCTCCTTGCAGAGGCCGCCCGGCCGGTAGGGCCGGGCTTCGAGGCTTCGCCTCCGCCAGCCGCCCTCGCGCAAGAAGGAGCGTCCGACTCTTGCGGGAACTTTGGTGCCGAGAAGGTTGTGGCGAGCTCCGAAGAAGCGCTGTGCCGCTGTCCCGAAGGTCTTGTTACCAATTTGGGGTGCAAAGTTCCAGGGCAAGCAGAGTTCCCGAGGTCCCAGAACCTTTGTTTCGGTTGCAATGAGTGCAGGTGCGCCCACCCTTGCTTTTCCTTCCATTATGTCCAGCCCAAGACGATGGCACGGGGAGAAGGCAAAGTGGCAACCGAAGGAGCAGTGTGCGAGTGCGCAAATTCGTCAAGTGGAGTGCGGCTGTTGGCTTTGGGGGCTTGCGGAGCAGGCTGGGGTGCAAAGCAGTTCCCCCTGGCCAGGGCTTCGAGAAACTGCTCGTGCGTAACACCCGCAGAATTCCAAAGAATTCGGCCTCAGAGCCCCATCCAGGTCTCGGCCTTGAAGTTTTGTGCAGCCGTTGGGAAGAAGTATCACACATTCAAATACATAAGACGGCCAACAGCTATGTTGTCTTCGAGGAGCCAGGAGGCATGGCAGCGGACGTGGGCACCCCATGTGCTGGAGGCCCTGCGCCTGACCCCCGAGCTGTGCCAAGCAGTAGTCGCGGGCTCCTTCAGCAATTCTGAAAAGAAGAAGGCCCCATGGCTGGAAGATGCGGCGGAGCTGTCTGAGCACCATGGCTCCAAGGGCTTCGGGCGCTTAGATCCACTTGTGGGCAGCACGCTTCAGCACCACCTGCGACAGGTCTGCCACGACGAGTGCACTTTGCTTGTCGACGAGGTGGGCAAAACTGCATGGGATGTTTACTACGACTTTGCCGAGGGCCTTAGCACCGAGCAGTCCTGCGCGGATCGCGTGGTGCGCAGGGTCGAGGCCGAGGTGCTTGGCTGCTGCGGTCGTGCCTGCGGCTGGAACGGGCGAAGCTGCACGAGCTGGCCCTTCCTGACCCAGGATAACCAGGCTGCTTGGCTGGCGGAGTGCTGTACCGAGTACAACGTCCTGAAGCACTCAAGCAGGGAGATGATGTGCAACAGCGTCCTCACCCAACAAGATGCTGAGCTAGTCTCTGAGCATGACCTCTCAGAAGCGGGACGTGATGCCGCGGGCGCCTACCTTGGCCAAGATCCTCGCCTCCTTTGGACCGCTGAAGGTGCAGCGTCCGAGCTTGGGAGCGAGTATAACTTCTTGCATCCGCGCCCCAGAGCCGGCCACGCTGTGGCAGAGGAGCTGCTGAGGCAGGAGCCCAACATCCGTCAAAGGGGGCTCACGAACGGCTGGTTTGTCGAGGAGGGCGCAGAGACGGAGAGCTCCTCGCCGCGGCCCGCTTCCTTCTTGACTGTCGCAGCGGCGGCGGATTGCGAGACGGGCCCCCTGGACATGTCGAGGTGCTCAGCAGACTTCAAGCAGTGGCAGCATGAAGCCTGCGTCGAGGGTGCAGGCTGGCAAGCCAGGAAAGTCAGCAAAGGCAGGGCGCGCAGACCGGGCTGCAAGCGGTCTGCAGCCGTTTATGTTGCCACACCTCAAGAGTGCCTTGAAGCAGACCTCGACAGCTTCAGCAAGATTGTCCAGGGGGAGAAGAAGTCACCGGGGAAGGAGGAGGGCCGCTACTTTCAGTACAACAAAGGCCAGGACGGCCCACCCATCGCGTGCTATGTGGTCTCCGAAAACTTCCAGTGCAACTTTGATGACGTTGAGTCCGCAGCCTGGGATTTAGACAAGATCGACTTCTTGAAGTCTTTGCCGCAAAGCTAGCTTGGATGTAGTGTCGCAAGTGAGAAATCTCACATGTGGAGTTGCCAGATGCGGCCTCAGATGAGAGAGGTCTTAAAAAGGATGTGCATGCCGCTTTCTTGGCCTTTGAAAAGCATGCTACTGTTGCTTGTTGGGCTGGCGGCGCGTCACCCTCACCAGCCCAGTGGTGTTTCTTTGTCCAAGTTTGTATCCTGCGCCCGGGCCTATTTGGCTAAGGTTCCTGCAGCTCTCATAGATGAAGCGCCAGGCAGATCGGCAAGATCCACTCTGTGCCGGGTCCATGCTCTGTGAGTCTGCTCTCGCGTTACTGCCACCAGCCTGCCTGCAGTGCCTAACCCCTAAACCCTAAACCCTAATCCCTGCAGTGCATCTCTCTGAGTCAGCTAGGCGGGTGGCAAAAAACCCTCAACCCTAAACTGCTTACTCTTCAAGTTCCGGGGGCACAGTCGCACCGAGAACCCCACGCAAACAGAGCAGCCGCCCAGGCTCAAGCCTGTGCTGCTCGCACTTGTATGTTGCTCGTTCTTTGCGTAATTCATTGGACCCATGCTGCCCATGCCCACCGACCGGTCGCTGACAATTCCTTGGCATATTCCTCTTCGAGAAAACGTCTTCATGCAGATCCGGAGCCAAGATGCACCTTCGAAGCCAAGCCGACTCTTAGCTTCGATTGTATTGGCTTTCTTCTCTTGCAGGCTTTGGATTCAGAGCGTGCGGTAAGAACCTTGAACACAAGAGCCATGCCAGAAGGGATGCCCCTGTGAACTATAGTAAAAAGCGACGCCAATGTGTTGTAGAAGGAGTTCGGATTAAAGCTCATGTGACGGAGACAGCATTGAGGAGCCATGCCAGCTTCAAAGTGATCTCTGCGACTTTCGATGATCCAGACTTCACCTTCTTTGCCTCTCGGGAGTTCTTCCTGTCCCGCCAGGCTGACTGCGTAGAGAAGCTGCACCCAAAAACACAGAGAGCTCCCACCTTAGTCAAGGACAAGCGTTACCAACATGATCAACGCTGCTGGGTAGCCCAGTGGTACCCTTTACCCTTTTTTTGGTTCTGGGTTCCCTTCTAAAGGAACCAACCCCAAAAAAGGGTGCCCTCATCAGAATATGGTTACTGGGCTACCAAGGCTTCAGGGTGAAGCAGATCACCGCTGGTTTGGCAGCAGTCGCCAAGCAGCAGACACAATTTGGCAAGGCGCTGCTGGAGCAGTTTGACAAGTCGAACTGGACAGAGCTCCCAGCAATCGAGCTGCATATGTACCCCAAGTATCCGCGGTATGCGAAGTCTCAGTGGCAGGTGCTCTTGGTGCCGAAGGCGCCTGAGCTTTTTGGCGCGACCGTACATTTGTGTCAGCCGCAGCCAAAGAGATGCGTTGCCAAAGTGACCTTTGAGCCTTTGCCCATGCGGCTGAGGAGGTTCTGGGGTGGATCGGACCCAGACGACCCACTGCGATCGGCACCGCACCGATTGCTTTTCGTTCTGGAGATCTTCCTGCTGCTCGTCCTTGGCATCGCCAGCTGCGCCACAGCTCTGTATTTCGTGACGTACGCGTCTCTTGCCATCTGGCGTGGGAACTGTGAGAACGACGAAGGCGGCCACAGCGCACAGTTACAGAGTCGCTCACAGATCGTGGAGCAGCTTTTGCACGAGAAGTTGCCCAAATCCTACAAGCTGCGTCGCCATGCTGAGGTCTTGCAAGATATTCAGCACGATGACATGGCTGTTGATGTCTTGGATGCCGGGCAGGAGGTATTGGTGCTTGAGGTACAGCGTTATGAGGGCCGAAAACGCGGCTTCCTGGAAGGCCTCTGGGACAGCGGCCCTGCAACTCCCGAAGTGTGGGGTCGCCTGGACGATCCGAAAGGGCCCAAAGGATGGATCCTGCTTTCTGAAGACTCGAGAGGAGTTATGGGGGTCCTTGGTGACCGAGCCCCCTACCGTGCCAATCCAAAGCTGATGGTCCCTATGTTCATTTTTGTGCGCAGGCAGCTGGTTCTTGCAACGAGCCACGCCTCAGCACAGTGGCTTCTCCTGCAGAGCTACGTCGGCCTCATGCCCTTGGCCATCCTGCTGTTCATCGCCGCCAGCCTCACAGCCATGCATGTGCGGGTGCTGACGCAAGCACTGTCAACGCAGAAGTGGGGCATTTGCTGCGATCAAATGTTGGAGAAGCACAGGCAGCGCCTCCGACCTGACAAGAGCAACGCCGCGCTGCACTTTGTTGTTTGCGTTGTGCTGGTGGTGGTGGCCATGGTCTTGGGAGTCTTGGGTGTCATCCTGGCAGAGCCATCAGCTTCAGGGTCATCAGCTTCAGGGTCATCAGCTTCAGGGTCATCAGCTTCAAGGTCATCAGCTTCAGGGTCATCAGCTTCATTTGCTTGGGCGCTTTATTTCGCCATGCTGGTGGCTGTCTCCTTGCACGCGTATGACTTGAGGGCTTCCCTCCGAGCTCTCAGCACATGGAGAGAGCCAGCGCTGGCTTGCGAGTTCACGGAGTATCCACACGAAAAGCTGCCCCCCTCAAACATCCCGTTCGCGACCTTGACGAGAGAAAGGGAGCCTTGGCGACAGGACGTCACACGATGTTGAGTTAGCTCATGTTAGCAGTCAAGGAATTGTTTGTTGTGTTCTTGCGCAACACCTGTCCTTAACGGGGCTGTCATGGAGTTTGTCATGCTCATCCTGCATGTTCAGTCCAGAGATCAGACCCCAAGTTCAGAATGCTGAGTTAAGTTTAGATTGTTTAGATCGGACCCGCCTTGATGGCTTGGATCAGAATGTGTGGGTTTACGAAAAAAAGGGACCCTACAAAAGACCCCCAAATAGTAGGATTCCCTGAGAAAGGGACCCAACAAGGTACCCCCGTTATCGTAACCCAAATCGTGAAGCGCCCAAATAAATCATCAGGCTAAACCCGCAAGAGCACTATAGGGTTTAGGGTTTTGGGTCTGCCGCTCCCAGCCCCCCCCCCCCCCCACTGTCAGTCAACGCTGACACGATGCCGGAGAAACCTTCTTCAGGAATTGACCACAAATTTAAGAAAGGTGATCATCTAACATTTTTTCTTCAGATACTCGAATAACAATAACAGCCTAACAGCGCTAACAGCGCTGCATGATCCTGCACAAGGGAACCCTGTACAACACCATGCAGCAAAGTTACCGTAAAGCCTGAAACCGTCGTCCTACATCCTGCCCCGAATCTGCTCATCCGCTGTGCGCGCACGGGCAGAGCCGAGGTGTAGAGCTCCTCTGAAGGAGCATGCGGTGTACCATGGGTTAGCGCAATACTTTGAACGCCAGTAGGCTGTAATTATTGGCTACGGTTTCCTATTTTGGGAGGCCATAGTCATAGTGCTTTGGGTAACTAGGCGTTTAAGGTAGCATCAACAGTGACAGCGGCATTCGTGATACTGACAGCAATATTGAGTTGTTGATGCAGCAAATCTTGCACAGATTTCATTTGCCTTTAGGGTTGATTTCCGCGCACCCCCTGTTTGAGGTTGATAGTCATTCCAGTTAGAACAAACGACCTAGATTCTGCACCACCCCAATTCACAATTCGCGTTGGCTCCGATGTTGAGTGGGGTGTGGCATCCACCCTGTCAGCACATTACACTCACTTGTGAGTACGATCAGTGTTACCAATACCATCAATAACATCATTGTGAATGCGTCCGTCTTCGGCAGGGGGGGTGCTGCGACCCCAAGCCTTTCAGGAATTGACCAGCAGAACTGTCGTTGCTGTTGGATTCCGATGGTGGAATGATGAGGAACTGTCTCTGTTTTTGGCGGGCCATATCAGAGCCTGAAAATTCATGCGCGCGTCACGTACACTGCGAAGATAGCTGATATCTTTTTGTCTGTGTGTGCGTGCGTGCGTGCGTGCGTGCGCGCGCGTGCGCGTGCGCGTGCGCGTGCGCGTGCGCGTGCGCGTGCGCGTGCGCGTGCGCGTGCGCGTGCGCGTGCGCGTGCGCGTGCGCGTGCGCGTGCGCGTGCGTGGGTGTGTGTGTGTGTGTGTGTGTGTCATTTCGTGCTGTCTTATCTCCGTCTCTTGCATCTCTATCACTTTTTATATCTATATGTATATCTCAATAGTTTTGTATCATTACCTTTCTCTCTAGCTCGCTCTCTCCCTCGCTCTCTCTCTCTCTCTCTGTCCCTCCCTCCCGCACTCCATATACATATTTGTATATATATATATATATGTTTTTGTGTTTTCCTTCAATGTGTACATATATCCCTCGCAAATGCGACGACATTTACATAGATCGCCTGTAACTGTCGGCGCTTTTGTCAAGACACAAGAAGACGCGAGGCCAAAAAACACGACCGCCACATTGATCACGACAATGACATGCGCCATGCACGTTTGCTATTCCATAAGAAGATGCGATGCCATAAGTGACGACAGTGGTAAGATGAGAGGCCAAAAGCGACCACAGTTACTCCGATCGCGACCCTGACGCTCACCATCCTTGTAACTGTCAGTACTTTTGCAACGCAAGGATGCCAAAGCGAAGCTTTCTCCAACTACACGCACATCGCGACACCGCGAACGCTTGCCAAAGCTTCGCGAACGTCTCGCGAACACAAAGGCAACGATGCCACGAGCCCTGCACCCCAACCCTTGAAACGAGAACCTTGCGGAGCATTCGGCAAAAATGTAGTACACAAAATGCAGAACAGTCACGGTATTTGACATCCGCAACAACAACAGTTGACACCCGCAGCAAATTCAAAACCGCGTCAAGCCAAAGAGCCCAGAGACAATGCGAATTGCAAGAGAGCCGAAATGAAAACCCCACGGTGACATCCGTTCCGTATGCAGGTGTCATATAGAGCAAGAAGACATAGAAGGGTGATGTATCGGGTACCGTGTAAGTGTAGCTGATCTTCCCGTGCCATCCGGCACTGTCTGCCCGGCTCACGGCAGCATCGATTCCAAGAATTTGCACTAGCTACAATTCAAGGAAACTATACAACTCAACGAAAATCCTTCCAGGCTCCCGTGCCATGTGTTACTGACGCGCCATTGACGCGCAATTCACGCCGCGGCGCGTCCCTCCGGCCTTGTCCTACAGAGTTCATGTCTGCAGCTCTCCAGAGCAGGTGGGTCCAGAACTTTCTTCAATTGCTTGCTGTTTGCCAGGACCGTAGTTTCGTATTTTGTTTTCTCGGCTTGGAAGCGATGGAAACCAAAGCATGGTTCTGGCGCTGTTGTGCATTTGAGAGGGCGCTCAGGGACCTTCGCTTGAAACCACGTTTCCTTACCTCGCTTGCACCTGCCCTTTTTCCTCGCCTCAGCCCCCCCAATCTCGAGTGTCTTCACGGACACCGAACTACCCCCCACCATACATGGGGATCTTGAGCTCAGCCTTCTCCGATGCTTTGTACATTCTTTTTTTTTTCGTATTCAGTGGATACAGTACGCGGGCTGCATTTGCCTTCAAAAGTTGTATGCCTGCATCTGCAACGCTATGAAGAATTCGAGCGTGTTCAGATGCCACTACATGCCGGCCTGGACTTTGCTAGGAGACTGAAACTTGCGGAGGGTGAGGGTTTAGGGTTTAGGGTTTAGGGTTTAGGGTTTAGGGTTTAGGGTTTTTAGGGTTTTTAGGGTTTTTAGGGTTTATAGGGTTTATAGGGTTTATAGGGTTTAGGGTTTAGGGTTTAGGGTTTAGGGTGTTCGGAAACTCAGGAGCTTCAGTACCTTGCGGCCGGCCTCATGACATGTCTGATATGCGCAGTGGGCCTAAGCGTCCTGGCTCTCATATGCCTGGACGCTGTGCAGGTTCGCGGCACCTTGGTTGCTGGAACGGAGATATTTGCTGATCTCGTTATGCGAAAATCTCATCAACAATCGACGTAATATCCGCCGGGAATGGGAACGTCATGGAAGGTTTAAACCCGATCCGCTAGTTTCATATGTGGGTGTTTGTAATTCGCATGTTGACCGAGGCAGCTTGGTCGAGTACTCTTTCAGCAAGGGACATCTTGTGTATTTGGGAAACACCATAGCTCTGCACAACACCCTTTTGCTGCATGACGGCACCGACTCCATGGACTTCTCCTTCGAAGCAGGAGAAGGCACAAAATGGATCCAGGCCTATCTTGAACATCCGCAGCTGGAAGCAAACGACAGTGCTGCGCTCGACTTCTACCAGGCCCATCGAGTGCGCGCAGAAGCTGGAGGTAGAAGCTTCCTAGCCGGGGCGTTTACGGCAGATCTGCCAGCCGGGCCCTTGTACAGCAGGATAGTGCTGCGAGCGGCGGACAGTGTTTCTTGGTTCAATTCCACTGACTCGAACCCGACCGAATACATCTTTCACATAATTCGCGTGGGAGAGGCCCTCTCACTTACGCTAGATGGCGAGGTTTCCTCAAATAGGATGGGCAGGCCTGTCCACTTCTCGGAGCGTCGTCGATGGCTCTACCAGGAGAAGCATCCTGACTGGTACATTCCAGCCCTGGATGAGCATTTTCATGCCAGACTGGAGGTACAGCTTCAGCCTATTTGTTTTGCACCCCTTCAGAACGCTCAGAGGGCCGCAAAGCTGACAGCATCCCACGCATCTCTCGTCCAGTATGCCACTCGGTAGGCCCTTGAGACATGTTGGATTTTCCCCTATTTGGTTTAGGAGGATCATGAATTCAGGAATATGTTTCAGAGGGTTTTCAGGGCCATCCGAGGCCAAAACATGCCGCAACCATTGTGGCGAGGAAACTGCCGGTGTCGGCACACAGTGCCTGGCAGAACTGCAGGTTCAACCCGGACCGAATGGCAACTCGGCCATGTGCCTCTTCCTGCGCAACACGAGCGACGAGCTCCACCTTGACACTACCAAGGGAGTCGTGTCTGAAGAGTCTGAAGACTCGGGCTTGCTGCAGTGGCTGCAAGACACCGGCAGGACATGCGCAAGGCTTCGGACCAATCCGCTCCATGATTTCGAATACCTAAGCCCAGTCGAGCGGTCTCTGTCCAGCCGGATCTCAACCACCTTCAACATTTCGCTGCCTGCAAAAGAGATGTTGCAGAGCACTGAGCTGCTGATCGCTCCAGCTGATGCTGAGATTCGGGCTGTGCCACTCCGGATCGTTCCGCATGCACCGCGCTTCGAGTTGAGCAGCGGCGTGGGCTTCTTCCTGCCACCTTATGCCGTGGACAGCAGTACGAGAGAATACGCAGCCTGCTTCCTGCCTGACCTGGATTCTGTTAAGGCCTTACCGCTGGATTCGCGATTTCACATAGAGACACAGGAAGTTGAGATAGGCAAGGATTGCCTTGGCCACCGAGTGTTCCAGAAACGCTTCTGGGCTGTACACAGCAAGCAACGCGACTACTATTATCAGCCCTGGAATGGGCTCTATGATGTCCTCGTGCATCTTTCACCCGAGCGATGCCTAACGGAAGCGGTCGACTTGAACAACCTCACGGCCTTGCGTATGATGAATGACAAGTGGGTTTTCAACGCGGGCAAGAAGCAGAGCTGTGGCGTTGTGCAGATGGCTGTGCGGTTGAACCGCTTGCAGCTGATCCCAGAGCTGCTGGAGCATTGGGATGGGGATTGTCAAGGTTGTGAGGAGACTCCTTTGGGCGTCGCAGCAGCAGAGGGCAATCTGGAAGCCATCAAGATGCTCATGAAGAGCCCGCAAGTGGGAGTGGACACGATGGATGCAAATGGCTGGTCGCCACTCGTTCGGGCCACGCAACATTGCAATCCGTCGGTGGTGAAACATCTGGCAGATAGCAAGAGCAACGTCGTGAACCTCTTCATGCCCAACACCACGTCCCGTTCTTAGAGCGGCTCATTCAGTAGCACAGTCGATCAACTCCGCTAGTTTTATGGTCTCAGGGCTAGCGCCGCTTCCGCCACCAGACGCAAAGCAGCAGGGCAAGCAGACAGGCAGCAAGCAGCAGGCGTCGCACACGAAGGTAGTTCGGCCGTGGCATTGGGTCGTTGGCATGAGTGCGGGTGGGGAGGGGAGTGGGTCCAGAAAGGCTTGTCAAGGTTGTGGGCACAAGGCAGGGTAGGGGGTCGGGGGTAGGGCACCGGGGGGGGGGGGGGCGAGGGAGGTGGGGGTCGGTAGCCCGTGGAAAAGGTTTTCGCCATGCATGTCCGACCCAAAGACGTTTCCCCAAAACAAAGCTTGAATTGTCGCTCAGATGCTTCCAGTGTCCTACGCCACCTTGGCAATCCGGAGTCGATGATAAAAGCAATGAGACCCTTCGGCCAAAGACATCCCAGCCTCGAAAGTCGCACAGAACCTGCAGTATCCCGCACAAGACGAAACATCTTTATGGCAACCGGTTTTCGCCATGCACCTGGGCAATACGGGGTCGATGAGATAAACAGTGCGAAACTAAAATTGTCGAAGTGCCGCATCGAAGCACGAAAAAAAGCTCTGGCGCTCTTTGAGGAGAGGGAGCAGGGTCTAAAGGGTAATTACGGGTAGAGGGTGGGGTAGTAGGGTAGGGGGTAGCGGAGAGAATCTGGCGTAGCTCCGGGTTAAAGGCGGTCGAGGGAGGGCGTCATGAAGCGGAAGTACAGGGCAAAAACGGGTAGGGAGGGGAAGGGTGTGTCCCGCCGCTTGGATGGTTCAAAAACAGGAAAGAAGAAATGCTATTTGTTGGTCATCCAGCAACGAAAAGTCGCGTGTGCTGCGCCAAAGCTCGAGCCGGCAGCGTGCATGCCTCTGCTGTCTCTCCCTGCGGCACGGCCCCCTCCTCCTCCATGCCGACATCTGCGAGAGCGGAAAAGCCTTGCCGGGGTTGGCGGATGTGGTGTGATTTTGCTCGTGTGCGTTTAAGCATCGATCCCAGGTGCTTGACTCCGTTGCTCTCGATCTTTGCGTGCAACCGGGGAGACAAAGGGAGCCGACCTTGCCGGACCACAGACGATGAGACGGCTTACCTTAGAAGTCCTCATGTGGTCCAGCTCATCAAGGTTTTGCAAGATGCTGGTGCGAACCTCTCTGTAGCAGATACTTGCCTGGAGGTTTGCTTGACATTCCGCGCATGTGAGGGTGCCGTTGGGTCTGCTTCCTTGTGCTACGTCTACGTAGCACTCGTAGCTGACGCGGTGTTTTGGTTGTGCCCGCGCCTCCTACTCATGCGCTGTTTCTCCATGTGAATTCAGCTGTCGTGGTGAACTGAGGCTCAGGGCGACTGCAAACCGCAGGCAGCGCTCGTGAAGGACGGGCTCGGGCTAACTCTTGCTGAACACAGACTTCCTACCGCCATTGTTTCGTAGGATTTGTTCTGCATTCGTCATTAGCCCTGCGGGAGAATCGCGTCCCGACTCTGATCCCGGAATGTCCTCATGTATCATGGCCAAGTTGACATCATTTAGATTGCCGTGACATGTGGATAAAACCCCGCCCCTAGCATTAAAAACACATTTCGAGTTTCTATTGGGGGAGGGGGGGGGGGGGGGCCCGCCCGTTTAATAATAGGGGGAAGGGATTAAATTGCTCAGGACTCGCAAACTCGCTTTACGAGCTTTGTGTTTGTCCCAGCACAAAGGCGAGAGGCAAGTTGCCAGCAGCAAGCCAGAAAGCAGTTCCCCTCCCTTGTCAGAAAAGCTACGCACATAGATTTCGCCCTGGGTGAGAGACGTGTCCACTTTAGGATATGCCCACAGCAAGCTTGCAACACTCTTGCAACAATTTGCAGCAAGTTGGAAGTCAGCGCCCACAAGGCAGAGTCGACACAATTGGCCAAGAAGTTAGCGCGTCAACGACGCTTGCGTCTAGATTTAAGGGAGCGTGAAGATGCGCGCCTGGATGCATTTTTGGGTCTTTTGGTCATTTCTGACACTACCAGCAAACTGGCTCGTTTATGCATGCACGACTTGGCATCATGCCCATCATGATGTGGCCACGACCAAATCTTACCCGCAAGGCCATCCAATGTGGAAATCTTCTGGCGGTGCCGCGTCTGCTAGAGCTTGGGGCAGATCCCAACAGGGGAGGCACGCCGGGGCCGCGATGATATGTTCAAATGCATGGCATTGTGCGCTTGAGATGGGACATGAAAGAACCGCAGCTTTCCAGAGAGCTTGGCGGCCGCTAGAGCCTGCTAGAGCGGCCAATTCTCATGTCTGGACTAGGGCATGAGATGAGATCTCCCCCGATCACTTGGACAAGAATGAGCATTAGATCTCCCCGATTGGGTGCAGGCCAATACGAAGGCGGCAAGGTGAGCCGACCTCTCATGGTCCTTGCCGATGAGCTTCTTGTCTTCAATCGAGGCTTAAGCGACGGGGAGGACAAGCTTTTTTTGGGGGGTGAAGCTGCCATTGATCTTATGTGATTGTAACAATTGTATCATAGGAGCCACTAATGTTCAAAGCGTGCACTGATGGTAGATGTGGTTTAAGGCTTGGGCGTGCCTGTTCCGACTAACTGCCAGGTCCCAACTCACAAGTCCGTAGAGCTTCAATCTGGCATCATTGCCCCCTGTGTGGGAACTTCGCAAAGAGCCCATCCAGCTCATGCAAGCTCTTCATACTAGAGCAGTTGAGGCACTTGGAGTACGAAAATATCGACTCGACAAAGTTCGCCGAGCTGGCAAAGCTTTTACTAGATGCTGGCGCCGATGTGAACTGGAGAGGAGGAGAATATGGCTCGACCGTTTTGATGCAGGACGGGGCTTTTTCAGATCCTGGACCTGCCAGGTTGTCATGTTCCATGCTTTGTTCGAAAGCGTTGCTTGTAATGTGGATCTTCTGTCAGATGCCGGCAGCGAAGAAACCTGCTGCATGTATCCGAAGAATGCCTTTGTCACGTCAAGAGTTCTTGCTGACCTCTTGAGTGCTTGGACGAGGGAGCATGTCAAACGTGGAATTCGCAGGGTGCTCGTCACTCTAGGAGGTAAAAACCACGCAGCAAGCATGCATCGCCGATGAGCCCGGCATGAACTCAACATTACAAATGCTGGTAATATCAAATAACCTTAATAAAAACGCAATACTAAAAAGATGAAGAGTTGTTCGATGTCTTGGCGAGGCGGCGGGCAAATGCCGGGCTGGCGCGGTGAAGCTCCTCCTGGAACATGGTGCGGATCCTGCTGTGGAGGAGCCGTGGGTGTTCGGAGTTTTCTTTCTACATGCTTGTGGTTGTGATTAGTTGTCAGCACGTAGATGTTACCATGCTCAGAATCCTCTGAAGTGATGTGAAGTGTAGGTGTGCCTTGTGTTGTGCTTTAAACTGACGCAGTCTCTTCTGGCATGCGCTGACTGCTTTGCACCCACCCGGCACCCTCTGTAGCCTGCAGGATGACGATGGAGCCACAGCCATGGATTACATAGACCCAGAATATCTCACAGATGAATGTGAAGAGGACGAAAAAGGTTTCGATGAAACTCACCGCCTGTTGGAGCAGCACAGGTCAAGATGAGTGTGGGCAGATGCGTCGTTTGGGCCGCTCTTGGGAACAAGGCTTACGTGGCCCCAAAGCCTTTAGACGCTCGCCTCAGTGTGCCTGTGGTCAGCGCCACTCCGGGTTGTCGGCAACAGGACTTCTGGCAGCTACCTGTGCAGCTCGAGCAGGGGCAAAAAGATGTGTTTTCATTGGATTGCTCGCCTGTGTCTTTTTGTTCGCGGCGTGCAGCTGTTATGGCCTGATGTGCCCGATGTGACTAGCAGCTAGCATCCAATTAGCACTTGTTACCCCATGATGGGTGGCTAAATCTTGAGTAGCAGCAGCCTGACGAGCACAATGAGTGCAGCGGCACGAGCCAGGTTCTTCCGCAGGCCACTGCTGCCCATGGCTTGCTCGTTCCTGATCATTCTGGTCCTCCGTCTTCCAGACACCAGAGGCGCATACTACAGCCACTACTTTGGCCGAGATGCTACAGCTGCTTCCAGGAATGCCCAGGGTGTGAAAACGCCTTCGTGTGCCAACGAGACTGTGCAGCAGGACAGCTGTAGTCGCACACGTCATCAGCACTGAATTCCGTGCGGTCTGCTGCCGGTTTGTCACTAGCTCAATTGCGCTGCTCGTTTGTGTGGGCCTGCTCACTGTTCAGCGCTCCCTCCCTACTTGGAGGTTCATGGGTACTTTTAACTCCAATGACAAGCCTACTTATAACCTACTCAGGGGACTTGGGTGGCTTATAAGTGCAGCTATCATTGGGGTTATAAGTGCCCTGAACATCCAAGCATCCCATAATTCTCCATCTTTGCATCATGAAGAACCTGCTTATCCCGCCTTATTCCTGCGCTCTGTTTTTTGTTGTGTGTGTGTGTTCTTGCCTTTTCATGATTCTCGCAACGCATTTCGTTCCTGGGAGCAGCCTGTGCCCGTTCTTGGCACGTGTGATCATTGCCTCGGCCATGCTGCTTTTCGAAGCTTGTGTTGGTTCTGGCTTGGCTTCTTTCGGGCTACTTTTACTATATTGTCATATTACGATATCTTTTCTCTATATTGTCATATTACGATATCTTTCTATTGTTATTTTCGTTATATTATTGAGATGCTATTGAAGCATTAATTATATTTATTCTTCTGATTGTTGCTCTTCTTTATATTGTTCTTACTATTGTTATCATTCATTTTAAACATCGTTTGTTGTTATCATTGAGAGATCTCAAAGCATTCCGCAATTCTGCTTCGCGGCTGTGTCTTTCCCTTCACACTTGCCGCCCACGCCTGGACGAGCAGCACAATCAGGTCAGTTTGGCATCACCACTTGGACTGCACCGAAAGTAGGAGAAGCCTGAGTGATGCGGGCCAGCGTGGCTCAGCATGTTCAGACTGTGCAGGCCGCGACCTGACGGCTCAAGCAGCTGCTGGACCTGGTGGAGGCCGGCTGCAGCTAGGCTTGTCTTGGGCGCCCTTTGCAGCAGAACGTCAGCGTATGACCAAGTCTCTGAATCGTAAGAGTTTGGCTCAGATGGCAAGAACTGTGCAGGCTGTATGGCATGGGCTCCATCAGGCTATGTGGTTTGGTGACTCTTTGTTTCCTTGCAGAGGCCGAACGGCCAGCAGGGCCAGGCTGGGAGGCTTCCGCTTTGCCAGCGGCCCTGGCGCAAGAAGAGACTTCTCATTCTTGCGGGCAATTCGGTGCCGAGAGGGTGCCGAGCACGCTCTCCGAGATGTTCAACATCTTCAAAGCGGCACTCTGCCGCTGTCCCGAAGGTCTTGTGACCAATTCCGCGTGCGAAGTTCCAGGGCAAACAGAGTTCCGGGACAAAAAGCCGCACACACAGAGCTCAGTGAGAGAACTTTTTGGCTTGGAACGATGCATGTGCGCGCACCCGTGTTTTTCTTTCCGCAATGGTCAGCCCAAAGAAGGGACTGGAAGAGCGGCAACAGAAGGAGCTGTGTGCGAGTGCACATCACGGCTTACATCAGGGCGCGCCTCAGCACCAGTTCCAACATTGGCTTTGGGGGCTTGCGGAGCTGGCTGGGGCGCGACAGAGTTCCCGTTGGTTGGGGCTTCCAAAAACTGTTCGTGCGAAGAACCTGCAACATTCCAGAGAATTCGGCCTCAGAGCCCCATCCAGGTCTCAGCCTTGAAATTTTGTGCAGCCGCTGGGGAGAAATACCGCGCGCACATGGGAACGGAAGCATTTAGGTTTACGGAGCGGTTCAACAGCACGCAGCGGGAAAGGGCTCCCCATGCGCTGGAGGCCCTGCGCCTGACCCCCGAGCTGTGCCAAGCGGTGGTTGCGGGCTCCTTCAGCAACTCTGAAAAGAAGAAGGCCCCATGGCTGGAAGATGCGGCGGAGCTGTCTGAGCACCATGGCTCCAAGGGCTTCGGGCGCTTAGATCCACTTGTGGGCAGCACGCTTCAGCACCACCTGCGACAGGTTTGCCACGACGAGTGCACGTTGCTTGTCGACGAGGTGGGCAAAACTTCATGGGCTGTTTACTACGACTTTGCCAAGGGCCTGAGCAGCGAGCAGTCCTGCGCGGATCGCGTGGTACGCAGGGTCGAGGCTGAGATGCTTGGCTGCTGCGGTCGTACCTGCGGCTGGAACGGGCGAAGCTGCATGAGCTGGCCGTTTTTGACCCAAGATCACCAGGCTGCATGGCTGGCGGAGTGCTGTGCAGAGTACAACGTCATGAAGCACTCAAGCAGGGAGATGATGTGCAACAGCGTCCTCACCGAAAAAGATGCTGAGCTCGTCTCTGAGCATGACCTCTCCGAAGACGGAAAAGATGTTGCGGCCACCTACTTGGGTCAAGATCCTCGCCTCCTTTGGACCAAGAATGGTGCAGCGTCCGATCTTGGGAGCAAGTACAGTTTCTTGGATCCGACCCCCGAAGCTGGCCACGCAGTGGCAGAAGAGCTGCTGAGGCAAGAGCCCAACATCCGTCAGAAGGGACTTATGAACGACTGGTTCGTGAAGGAGAGTACAGAACCGGAAAACTTCTCGCCAAAACCCACTTCCTTCTTGACTGTTGCAGCGGCTGCAGATTGCGAGACGGGTCCCTTGGACATGACAAGGTGTTCAGCAGACTTCAAGCGGTGGCAGCATGAAGCCTGCATCGAAGGTGCAGGCTGGCAAGCCAGGAAAGTCAAAAGAGACAGGGCGCGCAAGCCGGGATGCAAACGGTCTGCTGCCATTCACGTTGCCACGCCTCATGAGTGCCTTCAAGCAGACCTCGGCAACTTCAGCAAGATGGTCAGGGGGGAGAAGAAGTTTGCGGTGGAGGAGGAGGCTCGCTACTTTCAGTATAACAAAGGCCAGAACAGGTCACCCATCACGTGCTACGTGGCCTCTGAAAACTTCCAGTGCAACTTCGAGGACATCGAGTCCGCAGCCTGGAATTTGGACAAGATTGTGTTCCTGAAGCCTTTGCTGCCCTAAGCAGGCCTTGTCACTGGAAAAGCTCCTGTGCTCGCTGCGTGCCTGCTACAGTGCTACGTACTCTTATATAGCTATAGCAACAACAATAATAATGTAACAGCCATGATGAAGAATCTAGAAATCAGTATTGATGATATGATATGATAAGAGCGAGTGATTGTCAAGTCGGGAAAAGTGCTCATGAGACAAGGCCCCTGAGTCGAAAGCCAGACGGATTTGAGTCGAGAACAGGGCAGACCCCTGAGTCGAAAATGTGATGGAAGGTGCTATGCTGGATTGTACTTGATGGGCAAGCCGCGGATGGGGAGGTAGATGAGAGAGAGGTTTTGGGCACCCCTTCATTTTACCCCGGAAGGGCCAGGAAAGCCCCCAGGAAGCCCCCCAAAGGCCCCAAGAGCCACCAAAAGGCTTGAGGCCCTTAAAGACGGGGAATCCAGGAGCAGGCACGAAGGGTTTCCCTGACCTTCAAATGAATAAGGGCCTCTACCGGCCCTGACACGCCGAAGGCCCGAAAAGGGCCGAGGCTACCCCGAACCCCAGCTTAAACCCTAACACCACAACTTTAAAAACATCAAAGCAAGCATCAAGGCACAAGAAAATAAATTCCATAAACCCTAAACCCTAATAGAGTATAATTTGGGTGGCCGGGGTGGGTTGACGGGCAACGCGAGTGCGCGGCCCGGGGCGTTTCACACCCGAGCGCGCGCCCTCCCCTAACACACCCTAAACCCTAAACCCTGCTTAGATTCGCAGAGCCATAGGCCGAGCTGACCTGCCACCAGGACCTGGTTTGGCGCTGAGCCATGCTCCCTTGTGTGCAACTCCCAGAGGGTCCATTTGTAGTACCATTCTGGAATTATGGATTTAGGGTTTAGGGTTTAGGGTTTAGGGGGTATTCCAAGACCCTATTTAGCATGGTTTTTGGAACTTAATTCCACAATAGTAATACAAATGGACCCTCTGGGACTGTTAACCAAGTAGCTTGGTCGATGCGACTCCGCCCTTTGAATTGGAGAGTGGGCAGACGAAGGTCAATCTCAGCGAGGACATGGACATTTGCGCGAAAGCCGAGGAGTCGACAAAAAGCAAATGCAATGGTGTGTACTTTGTGCGAAGTGGTTTTGGATGTCCCTCGGTTTCCACTTGCCACAGTTGCGCAACATCTCAAACATGTTCTTTGTCCCGTACAGTGTCCCACTTGGCTCGAGCCATTTCGGTTACACACTTGTCCTACTTGCGTCCAACTGGTGCTGGTCGTACCAGGAAAGCATCATGGGGAAGCATGGCCGCTTCGGATGGACCTTGTGGATCTGCGTGGTCTTAGCCGAGGGGGGGAGCCCAAGGAAGGCCCCACAGGCCCGGATGGCCCAGCAGGATGACTTTGAGCTGTGCGCGCACCGTGCGCACATTGCCCACGCGAGGGTGCCAGGGGTGCCAAGGTCGAGTTTGGTGTCCACAACGTCTTACATCACAAGTGGTTGTGAGCCGGGAACCCAAATCCCCATCGTCACCGAGAGCCAATGTGCACAGGACCCGGCCGCTTGTGAAGGCTTCTGTTGCCCTGCACAGGCCCTTTGGTGTGCCGGTTGTGGCAATGCCTCGCAGGCAGGCTGCCACGACTGCGCGGGAGGCTTCGTCAACCTTGACGAAACAGGCAGCCCAGCAAATACTCGTTGCGAAGCCTGCATGGACACCCCAGGCTGGGTGAATAAGGCAGGGCAATCCTGTGTGCAACTGGAGACTTCTGATTGCACAGATGAAGAGTATCATTTCCTCTCTGCAAACATGGCATGTTGCCAGTGTGGTGGGGGGCATCGTCAAGCAACGACTTTCACATACTTCACCAGGACATTGGTGTTGGGTGAAAGACCGAGCGACACCCTTGGCCACCCTGTTCCGCGGACGGCGGCCCATTACTCTGTGAATGCAGATTGCCCGCTTCTGGACCACAACTTGACACTGAATGCATCCACTGGCCAGGTGGAGCTTTCTGGGTCCTGCGAGACGGTGGGCTGCGGCTCTGATGAGCCATTCACCGTGAGCTGCCTCGTCACTGCTCACCAAAGTGAGGTCCTAAACTTTACTTCGAACCTTGTAGTGCATGCAAGCAAGCTCGTCTACGGCTCGGACAACATTTTGCTTGTTCCACGAGGGTCAGGCGTAGCAACGTTTGACCCTCAATCCAGTTTCGGAATGGTAGGTGGTGACGCGTTCTCCATGGCTTGCGTGCCGTCAGCAGAGACCCCATGGTTGAGCTTCGATGCTGGAAACGGCACAATACGAATAGCGCCCGACTTAGCACCGAACAATACATACGGCATCACGGACATTAACGTCCCAGGTCTTGCCTTGAGTCATGGCAGCGGGCTGCACTGTCAAGTGGTGGGAAGAATTTCTCAGACACAGCCCGTCGAAGCCTCGCTGCTTATCTTGGTGCCAACGCCTTGGTCGTCTGTTGCTTGGACGAATCCACACATTCGACAGACCATAGGTGTGGAGGCACCGCCAACAATCCCATCAGATGCTTCGAAGCGACAGTGGAGCCTCCCTCCCACAAGCTTCACAGCAGCATGCACCTGTGATGTTGAAGATGTGGTCTTCGCATTTGATGTGCTGACTGGCCAAGCAACACTTGATGGTCATGACGTTTTCGCTTTGGAGCCCACAAGTGGCATTGTGCTGCCGAATGGGAACTCAAGCTTGTCTTACCTTCTGGACAAAGGCGATGCCAATCGCCACAGCCTAAGCTTGAGCTGCGTCGTATTTGGCCACTATGACTGGCAAGTCGGGCGTCGAATCACAGTCAAGGGCAACCTTTCAGTCCAGATAAATGATGACACATGTTGGAAGCCATTGGTCTCAAGCGCATGGCGAGTGGCGGAGCAGGTGGAAGCTGAGAGTTGCAAATCCGAATGCCGGAGGAGGGCCAACTGTTCGCATTTCACAGTCGACGGTGAGACATGCTTGTTTCTGAGTGCTCGTTGCAATGCCCTCTCTGGTTGCCAAGTGTATGCGAATGTCACTGAAAAGATTCCCCGGTGCTCTGAGCGCGTGACTTGCCTCCACTTCAATGTGGACAACCAGTTTTATGCTGGCACCTATTGCCCAGCCATTGCCGACAGCAACGGTGATGCAATCTATTTGCACGATGGGGTCACGCAGCGGGATGCTCATTATTTGGTGCCTTTTCGACAAAGCCAGTACAACATCACCAACATCACCTGTGAAGACGGCAGCTTCGTTCTCAAAAGCTCAGATCCATCCGACGACTTTCTGGACCCAGATGTGAACAATTCTCGCCTGGAGCTGCACGGGAAGGATCTCGCATGCATCAAAGGAACAGCAGCAGGGGAGTTGCTTGCGCTCGTCTTTAGCCACGGTAGGCAGCTGGTGTCCATTGCTTCCCACAGCTTCGTAGGGGCCAATGCTTCGTTTCTCGAGCTCGATGGTGGAGAATGCAGCGCGCCAAATCTGACCTCCAACACCATCGACGGTGACCCTGGAGCCAATGGAGAGTTTTCAGCTGTTATCGTGGATGATGTCTCGACGGTCGAACCAGCTGATTTCTCCTTGCATCCCTGTGAATGCCTTCCGCCAGCGTGGGAATCAGAAGCCCAGGAAGAAAGCTCAGCAGAGCACAAAGTGCAGCAGTTCCTGATCGCTCAAGGTGCTTACACTTGCAACCAGGTTGACTTGCTGCAATTCTTTCAGCTGGATGATCGGGAAATCCCGCTCGACCTTTGTGCTGCATCTTGCCGGGCCCTTGAGGACTGCAACTTTTTCTGGGCGGGTGCAGCTTCGGGGGCATCGCAGTGCAAGCTGTACAGGGAGTGCCGCTTCCTGGTGCGAGAGGTTGGGGCAGAAGGAAGCCTCTACGGCATGCCACCATCCAGGGAGATGTGCAGGAAGTCTGATCCCGAGGCGTGCTGGTCCACAACCGTGCGACGCCGGATGCTCGGAGCCTCCGTCTCCTCCATTCTTCAGCCAGGGGGCCGCTGTGTATTCCAAGAGCAGCTGGAACACTGCGACTGGCAGCTTCTCATCGGTGGCACTGGCATCCAGGAGTGTGGGAAGTGTGACTACGCCTTTGCAGATTCGCACTCTTGGCGGCACAAGAAGCCTCTCCAAGGGCCCTTCAGGCCGGGGACCACGTTGGAGCTTTCATGCTGGCATGAGTATTACAGCGCGGTCCCAGGGGACAATGAGGAAGGAGCTCTACAACGAGCGCAGAATCAGCTGACCTGCCTTGGTGGTGAGTGGATCGCTGAAACTTCGAGTTTTGCATGCGCAGCTTGCGTGCAGCTGGTCCGGGCTCCCTACGCAGCCCTTCAGGATGCCGAGAAGCAGGAGTTGTACTTTGCCGCACGCCATGAGATGCAGTTCCTTATAGATACCAAGACTAGCCACATGCTCGATCGGCATGGCAAACTTGTGGCGGCTAGCTTAAACGAGAGGCGTTGGCTGGGAAGCGTAATGCTGCATGATCCACATGAAAACCGTTCGTGGCTGGCTGGCGCCAGCGCATTCCTGTCATCCAGAGATGTGCTCTCGAGTTACCAGCATTTCTCTGTGGATTCCACTGCTAGTGAGGCTGGAGTTACCTTTCGGGTGTTGGCGCCGCAAGGCGATGAGCTGAGTGGAAAGTGCTTTTGGCCCGAAGATTTTTCTCCGAGGGTTGCAGGCCATGTTGGCTTTGGAGATTGTGCAGATGATAACGCGAGGTGGTGTGTTAGCCCAGAAGGCCTATGGAGCTCCAAGTCAGGTGCATTGTGCTTGCAGACCACCGAAGAGGGGCGGGAAGTTGGCGTGTCCCTTTGCTCTTGGGATAGGGCCACAAGATACGTGACGGAGGCCGTAGGGAGTGCGAGTTCCATCCAGCTGGAGGTAGCAGAGGAGCTAGGTTTTGCGGAGGAACTCATCCCGGAATCTGCTGAAGATGAGACAGAGGACGTGGCAGCGCAGCTTTGTATCAAGACAGTGAAGCGCACAATGCCGCGTGTTCCCATTGGCTTCGTCCTTGAGTCCGGGGAGGAAGCTGCCTGCCTGGGCACGGTGTTGGAGATTGAAGGTGCTGTTGATTCTGACTGTCCCATTGATTCCACAGAGGGATGCTTGGAACACTGCGCCATTCACTGTTGGCTTCACCAGAAGTGTGCTGGCTTCTCCCACTCTTGGTTCTTTGACGGAAATTACAAGCCATGCACCTTCTACGAAAACATCAGCGATACAGAGTCTGAGGCGGGCAGCGTTTGCGTGAGCAAGATACCGAAGCAAGCTCCAAAGCTGTGCCACGTGCCAAAAGAGAAAGCCAGCACAGGAGGCTTTCTGTTACATATTCCAGACCCTAAAGATGGACAAGTGTGGAGACTCGAGTCTTCTGAAAAGCGCTCGCAGTGCTTGTCAGTCGATGGAGGAGAGTTTGTTTCGGAGACCTGCTCCGATGGAAGGAAGCAGATGCTGGATATCCCTGAGCTTACCAAGTTCGTGACGGTGAGTCTGCTGGACGCGTACACCGCGCATGCGCCTGAGCGGAGCAGGAGTTCGTTGGATTGAGCGCGCTTGCGAGCTGCAACGACTTTCCGATTCGCACGTTCTCTTTCGTCAGTGACCGCATGAATGCTGAAACGGCTTGCACTGCCGCTGGCACTTTTGGCCAAACATACACTTCAAACGTTTCGGCCATCGTGGACGCAGGTGACTTGACTACGTTGCAGCCATTTGGTTGTGAGCCCGGCTACTTGCTTACTTCAGTCTTGAAGGAAGAAGGCTCAGCGAATGTCACCATCAAGTGCTCTCCAACGGCCAGCCTGGGAGCTTGCAATGTTTACACAACCCCGCAGGTGGAAAACATTTTGGACCTGATACCCATGGCCTGCAACAAACATGAAGGATTGCAGAGCGCGTACCCAGAGACTTCGGGGGACGCAAGGGTTCGCTATGGATACACTTGTTGCACGGTCGGCGCAGTTCCAATGGGCTTTCTCCCCTCCGGCTACGTGGTACCAAGCCTTGCATGGGAAGGATTGTACTGCCCGCATGAACGAGACATCTCAGGGCGCCTTCGGTTCACCCAGCGGAGCTCCTTTGGCCAGGATGAAAGCGAGAGAAGCTTGGATGGCCACTTTTACTACAACGAGGTGACGAGCGAGTGGTGCCCACAAGCTGAAGGTCTTGTCCGATACGGCAGATTTTGCTTGGCAGTGGACACTGCATCTGATCCTGGTTCAGATTGCCATCCCCTGGTATTCCGAGCTTGCAATTCGTCTGAACCCCAGCAACGCTGGAGATGGATGTACGGGAAATATCTTACAATTGAGCCTGAGGGAAGCAGTCCCAAAGTCGTTGACTTCAGCAATCCAGAATCTCAACAACTCCACGCCTGTCCCTGGGACCCCAAGGGCCCCAATGCGAGTTCTGTGCTGTTCTTGGATCCCCAAGGACGACTCTCACTTGGTGGGTCGAAACTTTGCATGGAGGCACACGTGTCCAGCTTCATCCTGTCCGGCGGCAGCTACATCATGAGACACAGCGGTACTGCCTGCGAAGGAGCGACGGACCTTGACGAGGAAGAGTGTGCGATCGCCGCCAGGGCTTTGGGCCTGATGTACGCATGGGGGTCCGATTATGGGAGCGAGTCTCGGTGCCATTTCAACCCAAATCAGAATGTGGATGGCGCCGCCGGGGCCGTCTTCTACAACCGTGATGGGTCAAACCCGTTTCCGTCGTTTGTCCATGGCATCTGCCGAGATGAAGTCCTAGCCGTGTCGGCCCCTTGCAACTCGGAGAATCCGCACCAGCAGCAGTTCAGCACGCCCTTGCCAAGATGCGCCAAGGCCAACAGCGAATTCCCACTCGGTGTCCAGGGCGAAGCTTTGGAGGACCCAGGACCGAGCTCAGCATGTCCTCCAGATGCCGCTGGCTGCAGTGACGCGCAGAACTCATCCCGCTGGCAAGTGGTCGCTGCCAGCCCCTTTAATGGAGCCTTTGCTGGAGCTGGAGTTGGAGCTCCGAAGAGGATGACGGAGCGGAAAAAGCCCACGCTGGTCCAGTTCGTTGCAAAGCAATATGAGCAGAAACCTGAGTGTCAGGCTTTGACCTATGCCAATGCCGAGGAACTCCCCACTGACAATCCCTGCCGCTGGGTGTCTGGCCCAGTTCCTGACAGCCCGGACGAAGCTGAGAAGCTTGCAGAGGAGGGACGCGCAAGCTGGTGGGCAACCGAGATGGACGACAAAGGTGAGGCCGCAGAGGAAGAAGGCCAAGCTGGGTATACCTACGACAACATTTTCGGCTGCTTCAAGCGCCAGACTGACAGGGACTTCCTGTATGACATGCTCTCGGGTTCATTCGACACCTCGACGGCTGCTATCAATAATGCATATGAGTGGGGCAAATTTGTCTCGTGCAGCTGGATTCCAAACGCAGTGGCCGCCGTTTTGGGCGTCGGGATCAGCACTGATGTAAAAGCACCCTGCGATAAAGCAATGTCTGCATCACAGGGCAGCATCGCACTCGCCAATCAGGCTCTTGCTTTTGGGTTGCAGGGTGGGAAGTGGTCTCAGGTCAAGAAAGACTGCGGCGGCCAAAAAGCGTCCTTCTCGCGCATATTCTGCGACTTGTACTGCATCAAGGACTCGGTGATCGAGGGAGACAAGATCATCAATGACAACATTCAAGAAGCAACCTCAGTCTTAAACACCAACATGGATGCCCTGATGGAGTACTACACAGGACTGGTTGGTGACAAAGTGGATGAACTTCGAGAGCTTGTAGAAGGCTCTGAGTCCGAGCAGTCCATGAAGGCCATGGTTTCCAGCGTGCTGCAAGAGATGCACTCCGCCGTGCAGCCACAGCTTACCACGAGCTCCAGGGCAGCGATCTCTCGATCGCTGCAGCGGTTCAACGCAGAAGCACAGGACATGCTTGCTCAGCTTCCGGCGAGTAACATTTCGGTGTCGCAACTGCGGAACTTGCGGAGGCAAGTTGGGCAGCTGCGCGGAGTGCTGCGCCTCCGCCAGACGAACCAGATGACTTCGGTTGCAACTAACATTGCTAAGGCAGTGATCCACATGAATGAGGTGGCCTTCTCCCGCTCCAAGCTTTTGGGCGTTTACGTCTGGAAATCCAAAGGTGCCAAGCAGCAGCTGCAAGATCTCAGGGCGTTGGGGGAGGCCAAGACGGCCAAAGCAGACATCCTGCTTGAGTTGGAAGAGTTGCACGAAGCTTCCGACGCCGATCTCCTTCTTCAGCTCGATGAGGCTTGGTGGGCACTTCGACGCTCAATCGACAGCTATTTAGAAGAAGCCCAAGAGCAGGTCAAGGTCTATGCAGAGACTGCCGCATTGCTCAGTGGCTACACCTCTTCCTGTGGCCAGAGCTTTCAAGACCTCCGACGCGGCTACAAGCGACTCATGACGGTGGAGAGGAGGACACACTCTACCCTGCGGAGGTCATGGGATGCAGCCGTGAGCACCTTCGGGTTGCTTGCAGCCAAAATCCAGGATGGCAAAGCTTTTCGACGTTTTGCAATGTTGGATATTCGAGGGGCTGACGTACTTGGCGAACTCAAGAGCAGCAGCAACAGCACCCTGGTGGCCAGGATTTGCACAGGGGAGCCTCCCCATGAGCTGTTGGTGTTGCTGGAGCACAAAGTCAGAAATGGAATCGCTGGGCAAACCTCCTTGCAAGTGCATGCTGCTGTGGAGGATGTGATGATGTTGGCAGATCGTTTGCATGTCGCAGGCATGGCTGAGCAGCAATCGGAGGTGGTGGAAACCGCCATTGAGCGAATCACCTCCTCCTTGCAACGGCTGCACCTGGACTTTCCATCTATCGTGCAGGCTGTGACTATGAAGCTTAGCAAGGAGCTCCGCGAAGCGGGCCAGTGTTCTACGTGACAGCATGAGGACAGGATGCAAGTAGCTGAGTTTCCCAGTGGGAAATGGAAGGACGTTATATGATCCCACACTCAAAGATAGTGGCAGCATGTGACATTCTACAATTCACAATTTTTCTAAAGTGCAGCAGCTGACACGGGTTGACTGCGCTTTGCCTTGTGTGCATGTCTATGGCACATAATGACCATCAGCCAATATCAGCCATTTATTCCGTTGAACTAGATAAGCATTATAGTAGCTGCATGGCCACGAGAGCTGTCCCTGGCAGGCTTGACGTTTCGAATGCCTGAGAGAGAGAGAGAGAGAGAGTAACTGCATAATGTTCTGTTTTACACAAGCCCGTATTGTGCCAGGGCAAGCCGCTATGAGCAACAATTGCTTTTCCTGCAGTGCCATGCACCAGACAGAACTGCAGAAGAATTGTTCCCAGTGCCTTTAGCGCCGTTCCAAGCAGGTCATGTCTCAGTCTTTGCAGTGACATTGCAGATCTGGGATAGGGTTTAGGGTTTAGGCTTTAGGGTTTAGGGATGTTTAGGGATGTTTAGGGTTTAGAGTTTAGGGTTTAGGGTTAGGGTTTGTGTCTGTTGTGCTGTCTTTGCATAGTAGACTGAGAAGCGAAATTTCAAGCCGTACCCAGAAGTGGACGGTGTGGTGATCAATATCCGCACATGTCCCCTGGGCGTGGCTCCCGGCTGATTGGCTAGAGCTCCGGGTCCAAAAAGGGCTTAGGGTTCAGGGTTCAGGGTTTAGGGTTTAGGGTTCAGGGTTTAGGGTTTAGAGTTTAGGGTTTAGGGGGGTTTAGGATTTTGACTATCGAAGCAGGACTTGATGATACAAGTTCTGTTTGCTCTTGCGTCAGAGTACGATACTGCATGTGAAGATATGCCCCCGAAGTGTGTGCGCGCGACTGTGTGCTAAGATCCGAAGGTTCAAGCTGACGAATGACAACGGCGACCGTCTCAGCAAAACCCAGTTCGCCAACATCGAAAGCGACCATCGAAAAAAACAAAAAACCCAGTCCGGGAGCCTTGACAGCCTCCGGAAGCCTCCGGAAGCTCCACAGCAACCTTCAGGGGCTCGAAGGTGCTGCGCGGTGGCCTTCCAAACGGCAGGCCCACAATCTGCCCCAGGAGCCTAAGGCCAACAAATCTCCGGAGGCGCCCGACATCGCCACAGCAGATGGAGAAAGGCTCCATCTCCATAAACCCTAAACCCTAAACCCTAAAAAAACTCGCAAACGCCTGTTTCGCTCTTGTCTGAGCCCTGACCAGGTGCTGAGGCATGAAGAATGGTCATAAAGCAGTCTTGAACCCAAGGCCCCGCACTTTGGGGAAACCCGGGCTAAAGTATACAAGTCAGACTGTGCGCTGTAAGCGCCTACCCTTTTTGTCCACCTCTTGTCCGCATGAAATTGGGCTTGTGCAGTACAGTTTCTCGCAAGCGGCGTCCCCACCTTTGACAAGAGGAAGAGCCAGTAAATCCTGGACTCGTCGAATTCGAATCTGGTTCAGTCGCCTAACATGTCGTGGCTTGGTACAGGCCATGAATGATTACTTAGTCTTGTTATATCTCGACAAGAAGACCAGCGATGCTCCACCAAACTATGGATGTGTGAACGTGGCGAGTCCTAAGCGGTATGCGGAGCTAACAAAGCAATGGTCAGTTGCAGCAACCCAAGTGCATGACCAAGGCGCAAAAATCGGCATATCCCAAATTCCATGCTCCGCATCGGAAGTTCAGCTTTGTACAGTGCAACAGATGAGCCGCCTGCACAGGGGTACTCAATGTTTAACTGAGCCCCAAAAAATTGTAGCAGCAAGTGTTTGGGTGAGTGTTGAAGGATTCATCTTTCAGCGGCTGGGTGGACGTCCAAGCTCGCGGGCGCTGCTTGACTGGCGCGCAAAGACTTAGAATGACCCGGAGGGTAAACAATGAGAGAAAGTTTTGCATGAGTACGCGCGCACCATGAGGGAATTGCTGTTTTTGAATGTTCCCGCTTTTTTTGCCATGTGGTTATGGCAGTTTTGCGATGTTGCGCGTGACCACTTCTACAGTTTCCACTACGATTGCCCGAAGTTGCCGCCATCGACAGACTTGGCACATGTGTCCGGATTCTAGGCTTCAGAATGCGGCTCAAGCATCCAGCAAAACCTTGCTGTCCATGCCATTGCACCGACATCAGTCAAGGGGTGCCTGGGCCGAAGAAACTCCCAGAGCATGGAATCACGAATGGCCCCGGAAGCCCCAACTGTCAGGCTTGAACTCCACAGCAATTTTTTTTCGCGGGAGGTAGGCAAATGACAAATTTTGGTTTCGGATCGCGTGGGGGGGGGAGGTGCCCGAAGAGTGCTCAACTTGAGGCCCCAGCATGGCTCCTGTCGCAGCTTTGCTTTAACAGCGACTGACTCCACGAGGCTCCACAAGAGACTCTAGGCTTCCAGGCGATTGGGGTTAAGCTTCATGCACCGTGCACAAGCAAGTCTCTTCAAGGGTGGTATATGCAAGGCAGCCATATTCTTGTTTCGATTCGGATACCTGCAGGAGCATCAGGTACTCGTAGCTTCTGGTAAAGGGCAAAGGGGCAAGGTTTGCCCTCTCTGTGCGGCACAGCGCGTCCTGCTACCTGCTACCTTTTGAGGCCAGTTGTAGACGATCTTCGTCTTCCGTTCTTGTTTGAGGGGATTGCAAGCTTTGGGTTCTACGCATCACTCCGATCAAGCCTGAAAGTCAAGAAGCTGGGCACAACTCGAAGCGGAATCAAGATGCAGAGATTGTAACATGTTCCCCTTTGATTTCATCATTTCCTGGATCCAGACAGGCTCTAGAAAACAGGCTTTACAGATGCTTTACAGGCTTTCGGCTGTGTGCGGCAGATTAAATAAAGGCTCCGCAGTAGCACGGGCCTTGCCGGGCCACATGCAGCAGTTCCTGCCAACTTGGATTCGCCGGGGGTGGGGGTCTGTCGGGATTTCCAGCCATTGTGGGTCAGGGATGGTTGGTGGACCTCACCATGGGCCACCCGAACTCCAGGTTCGAGCTCAACATGTTTGAGATGGAGGTTCGCTGCTGGTTAACTTAGATTGTGTAGCAGCCGGGAAACTATTGATAACAACCATTCAATAGCAACTAAACTTGAACTGCAGATGCACGACCTGAACATCCAGTTCTACACCAAGATCCGGCGGGCTGCCGAGATGCCACAAGTTCTGGTGGAATGTCGCATTCTCCAGCTTTCAACAGTTTCCGTCCAGAGGGTGTAGAGTCCCAAGCCTAGTCGTCAATTGCGCGTAGCTCTGTAACCCGGGCTTGCCATGTTCGCCTTGATCGCCATGATGTGTGTGACGCATGTTGGGTCCCAATGGGTGGACGCCCGCGGGCTCTTCACAGGAAGTGGATGGTTTCAAACAAGTGCTGTGTCATATGGTGGCTGGAAAATTGTGGTCGCAAGACACGGCGAGAGACCGTGGATCAGCTTCGATGGTGGGTCATCTTTTGCTGCAAGCACCGCTGATGCTGTATCATGGAACAGCTTTAGCATGTCATTAGATGGCACCACGATTGTCGGGGGAGCCGGTGGGAATTACATCCATATCAGCCGTGACAGTGGATCAAGCTGGAGCGTGGTTGACCCCGCCGGAGGTCCTATGGGCTGGACAAGTGTCAGCTGCTCCGAAGATTGTTCGGTCATCGCTGCAGTCGCAGGAGGTGGCAACATTTGGACGAGCACTGACGCAGGGACAACTTGGACCGAAGACTCAAGCGTTGGCAGCTCCAAGGACTGGCAATCCATCGCCGTCTCTGGAGACGCTTCGAAGATTGTGGCCGTTGCGTTGAATGCCAACATATGGCTCAGCACCGATCGTGGTGCGACCTTCGTGGAGCAAGCTGTCGGTACAAACGAGGAATGGACCGATGTGGCCGTATCATGCCGTATCAGCAGACGGAAGCAAGATGATCGCATCTGTTCGCAACGGTGGCAAGCTTTGGAGGAGCACCGACAGCGGCAGTAGCTGGTCCCAGTTGTCTGTGAATGCGTCCGATCTCACATCCTTTCTTCGTGTGGACATGTCAAATGCTGGAAGCGTGATGGTTGCCATGCATTTGCCTCCTACCAATAGTTATCTGTTGGCGGTCTGGAAGAGCACTGATGGCGGCGACACCTGGTCGGAGGAAACAGGTTTCTCACAGTTTGGTTTCTCGCACGATATGGACCAAATTGCCATGTCAGGTGATGGCTCCAAGATTGTTACGTTGGGGGGCGGGGGTGCGGTGGCGGTTTGGACCGGGCCTGCAGCCGAGACCTCCACAACAATTACATCGTCGACAACCTTGTCGTCAACAACCTCGTCGTCAACAGCCTCGTCGTCGACAACTTCCTCATCAACAGCTTCCTCATCGTCGTCAACAACGTTCTCGACGACCAGCTCTACAAAAACGGCTACAGCTACCACAGCGACGTCCACAACCTCGTTGACGGTCACAGAGACCACGCAGACAGTTACAGAGACCACGAAGACGGTCACAGAGACCACGCAGACGGTCACGGAGACCACGCAGACGGTCACAGAGACCGTGACCGAAACGACCACAGTGTCGCTTTGCTTGATTATCCCCCACTGCAAGTGATCTGTCCCCCCACACTTTGGTAGATAAAGTGCACACCTTGCCGATTGGACGCCTTTTCTTGATTCAGGCTGGAGCAAGCTGGCAACGGCATGGGTCTGAGCACAAACTGTTTCTCGAACATCCGGCAGTAGGTTGTCTTGTTTTGCCGTAAATGAAAGAACCTCGCAACATTTGAACATGGGCCGCCTTGATATCCCAGGTATGGTGGCGACCTTTGCACTGTTGGTGCTGCTCTGTCAACAGACAGGGTGAAGCTCTGCCAGACACACAGCCCCCTCCCTCCCCAGACACCCTCAGGTTTGAAGTGTTCTGTAAATAGCCTTAGGCGTTCAGAAGTGATAGTAGTCTACAAGCAATAATAGTCAAAGTCTATACTGGGATGCCTTGAGGCTTGCGCTGAGGCCCATGGAGTTGTATGGAGGGTTGCCTCGAGGAGCTTTGTGTTGTCTTCTGGGAGACTTCCCCTATGTGAAAGGAGTGGGAAGCCCCTCTCCACCGCACAATCTTGGGCTTTTCGTTTCTCCTTCGAGAAAGCCACATTTGCTTGAGAAGCGTACGACACTCCCAGATCCTGTCAGCATCATCGTCTCTTGGATTGCTGCTCACAGCGTTAAACATCGCGGGATACTTTTCGCAGATGGCTTTCAGAACAGCCTAAGTTGGGAGTAAGAATCGGTTGGCGCTTGGCCAGAAGCTAGCCACAAAGAAGGCTAGCTTTCAGCTCGCAAAAACAGTCTGCTGATATTCTCTCCCTCCTAATGTGCAGAAGCGCATCGAGTGGGTGTCCAAGGTTGCTCACTTCCTATGAGCATCCTCGCCTGACTATCAATGCCGCAAGAAGAAACAGGGCTTGTGTTCGAATTGTAATACGTAATTGTAGCAACGATGAGAATAATTATACTGCCAATGGCCGTCAATGACAATGATAACAGCCATAACAATGATGGTACTAATAGTATCGATCGTGACAAACATGTAGGAATGATAACAACTGCGATTATCATGTTCCGAAGGCAGAGCCTGCAGGCAAGTGGCAGTTGTGCAGGCAAGTGGCAGTTGGAGTCTACTAACATCGTCCGCTCAGGTGTTGGGTGAGAGGAGCCGTCCACAAAGGCCACCTCTTGTGATGTTCTCGAAACCGGTGATGATCATTTAGGGTTTAGTAGGGTTTAGCCCAGGGTTTAGGGGTTAGGGTTTAGGGTTTGGGGCATCTCGCCGCGCAGCGGCAATAGATACCGTGTGGAATGGCGCCCCAACACACCCAGGTACGTATATTAGCTTCCACATCTGGAATTGTCATGCAATCGGTGGCTTGTAAAGACATCAGGATAAACAAAGGCATGAACATGGGCGTCCGCAACTTTGCTGTTTTTGCTTTTCCGTTTCTTCATATAATTCTAGTCCTGACGGTGCACATTCATGAAGAAGTCTGCAGTAGCCACGGTTTAGGGTTTGGGGTTTGGGGTTTAGGGTTTAGGGTTCAGGGGGTTAGGGCTTTAGGGCTTAGGGCTTAGGGCTTAGGGTTTAGGGGTTTGAGGGTTTTAGGGTTTTAGGGTTTTAGGGTTTTAGGGTTTTAGGGTTTAGGGTTAAGGGTTTAGGGTTTAAGGGTTTGCCCTGAAGCAAAAAGGGTTTAAGGGTTTAGGGTTTTAGGGTTTAGGGTTTAGGGTTCAGCACTCCGGGTCGAGCAGTTTTATGGTACAGCTTTATTTATGGCTCTGATGTAACACCCACCCACCCAAAGAATCTAACATTGAGAGAGCAAAAAACGGCCAAATTCGGAGAATAAAGCGGCCAAATTCGGAAGACAAAGCGGCCAAATTGAGAAAGCAAAAAGCGGCCAAATGCGGAAAACACAGCGGCCAATTTCGGAAAATAAAGCGGCCAACTTCGGAAAAGAACGCGGCCAAATTCGGAAAATGAAGCGGCCAAATTGAGAAAGCAAAAAGCGGCCAAATTCGGAAAATAAAGCGGTCAAAGCAACAATCGGCCGAATTCGGAAAGCAAAGCGGCCAAATGCAGAAAACACAGCGGCCAATTTCGGAAAATAAAGCGACCAACTTCGGAAAAGAACGCGGCAAAATTCGGAAAATGAAGCGGCCAAATTGAGAAAGCAAAAAGCGGCCAAATTCGGAAAATAAAGCGGTCAAAGCAACAATCGGCCGAATTCGGAAAGCAAAGCGGCCAAATGCAGAAAACACAGCGGCCAATTTCGGAAAATAAAGCGACCAACTTCGGAAAAGAACGCGGCAAAATTCGGAAAATGAAGCGGCCAAATTGAGAAAGCAAAAAGCGGCCAAATTCGGAAAATAAAGCGGTCAAAGCAACAATCGGCCGAATTCGGAAAGCAAAGCGGCCAAATGCGGAAAATACAGCGGCCAAATTCGGAAGACAAAGCGGCCAAATTCGGAAATTCAGTTAACTTTTAAATAAATAAATAAAGGTATATATATATATATATAGGTAGAGAGGGTTTAGGGTTTAATGAGAGTTTAGGGGTCAGGGTTTAGGCTTTGAGTTGCACTTCCCATATACAGGCTCATCTTCATGTGAAGACTTGCCGAGTATAGACAGATATCTTGCTGGAGCACGCAGTAGCCGCGTACGAATGCAGACAGTATGAGCCCAACACTCAGCCGTGCTTGCAGGCACTAGATCTCCATTCTTGGACGCATAAGGCTAGGTCAAGGAAGAGCAGGAGACAGGTCAGCCGTCTACCATGAGCAGCTGCTTTTCGTTCCTTCAGGCAGATGTCCAAGTGTAGCGTTGGGGAATCTGACTCCCCAAGTTCCCTACAACAGCAAAGGTCTCTGCTCGCCCCTAAATGAAACATGCCCCTAAAGCTCAAAAGCCCAAAAAACAAAAACAAAAAGCCCTCACAACCGAACAAACCTAAAGCCCTAAAACCCCTTTCGGAGCCACGGGTCAACTTCAAGCCTGGTCAGTGACGGTCTTCGATTTCATGCCAGAAACTCAGACTTGAAGGGGCCCTTGAGGCTACGTGGAGATCCGTGCCCATGCACGATGCAGTGACTACGATCGATAAGGCAAGTTGGGCACTGCATGGCACTGCCTGCCGGACCGTCCCAACCTTCGTGCCGAGCAGAAACTGGTACTTCAACTCAGTTTGCTGTTTTTCGGACAACCGCTGATGGTCGCAGGCTTGCGCTCTGGACTATTCACTTGCAGATGGGGAAATGAGCGCCGCGAAGCATGTTTGCAAGTGCCTCTACGCAGCTGCCATTCTCCATAAACCCGACTGCTCATGCTGACTAGTGCCTTTCACCTTTCAGGAACATCTAAGGCTGGTGCCGGCAGTGGAGTGCCATAAAGTCCCGGACTTTGAATGTGAGCCAGGGCTGAATGCAGCATGTGCGGTTTCGGGTCTAGGGTTTAAGTTTTAAGGCAATGGTTTGGTTCCTGCCTGCGCTTGTTTTCACTGCTGTGCTACGAGGCTCAACCGGTGGATAGCACGGGTGGCACCAATAGAAAGTGCATTGCCTTGCCTTGCTGGATACTACAGGCTGCTGCTCACGTGCAATACCGGATGGTCGTCCTTTCTCTGTACAATTCTTTACCACTTGTGGGAGGTTCCGGTTGGTTTGGCCGTGGGCATGCTTGGGGTGATCTCTGGGAGGTGCGCCAACTTTGGTTTTAGACAGTCTTACTAAGGGTTTAGGGTTTAGGGTGTAGGTTTAGGGTTTACAGTAGGTAGCTCTTCGCCCGCCGGCCAAGACGAGGCGACGGCCGAGTGCATGCAAGCATTGCAACGCGCTGTGCAAAGAGGACAAACAAGCGTGGCATGCATGGTATTGGTGTCGAAGCCAAGTATGTTCTGTGGCCACTGTCGCGGCACCGCAACCCTTGAAGTTGAACGAGAAAGCTTGCAACATCCCGAACTCCCGAGTAAAACAGGTGCTTCCAGTATGAGGACTTGAACTCCTTGCCTTGGTCTCCATGTGCAAGTGGATTCCCAGAACTCATTGATCCCCCATCGTCCATCGGTGACATGATTTGATTTACGCATGCCCAGAATGGTTCCGAGCGGTTCCGGACTGTACACGGCGATGTCAAAATTCGGGCGTGAACATTTCCTAGTTACTTCTGAGACTAGCGGGAATATGTGTAAAATCATTTCTACAAGACCTGGGGTTCTCCAACACATAGAGAGGCCTACGCACGCACAGCGCCTAAGTGTTTGTTTCGAGCATACGAAGCTTATGTAAATATTTTTGGCAGTTGCCAAACAGCTGCAGATGCTGTCATTCATCCTCTTCTGCATTTGGAGACCACCTCCTGGTCAAACTGGGCAGCACCAGCACTCGAAAGATGTGAAGCCTGCCCAGACTTAGCAGACTTAGGGGCCACTGTGGACTTCAGATCTTGAATCTTGGATCTGCAATCTTCGGCTCAAGCTGTTTGTTGCTGAGGCCTTTGGGGTAGCTTCTTGAGATCCCTGACCCCTACCAGTCTTCTGCATTCATGGGTTCGCCCCTTGCTCGGCTCTGAGTTGCCGCCTTTGACGCGCAATGCTTGAAATGCGCCTGCGCGTGAATGCGCTCTGTCCTCGTGAGGCCAGCCAGCAGGGGATTGAGGCAGCCGGGGTCCCTGGGCTGCGTTGCACGAATCACCCTTGAACTTGCTGGCTTTGCTGGTCTCGGTTTCATCTGCAATAAGGTACTAGGCGGGGAGTCGTGAATGGCAAAGTTTGCCAGGTGTGAAGTACAGACTGGGGGGGGGGGGGGGTGGGGTCAGGCTATGTAGTGTACTGTGCAGGCTAGACCAGGAAGAGTGAAGGAAAGAAGGCAACAGGGAGAGAACAAAAGCAAGACAGAACCCTGAACCCGAAAGGCCTAAAGCCGTGTCCCTGTAAAGCAGCTGCGGGTGGCAAAAGAAACCCTGAACTCTATACTAGACCCCGCATTGCTGTGGCTAGTCGGTGGGAAAAATACAACAACCACAGCAACCACAGCAACCACAGCAACCACAGCAACCACAACAACCACAACGACCACAACAACCACAACAAACAGCAAGCAGCAAACCGTGTAGGACACTTGTGTTCGAAGTGACAACTCGAGCGAGTCCTCTCCTCGTGTGTTTGTACATACCGAAGATGTTCAAACCACCCACGAGCAGGCGATCTTTGCCACTGCTTCGCAAGCGATAAAGGATGCTGCGCAAGTGCAAGGGCCTTGCTGATACCTCGGCGGTTGTTGTCACAAACAACCAACAGCCAGCTACACACCGCAGACAGCAGACAGCAGACAACAAACACCAAGCCACAAGCAACAATCAACAACAAACCATAGATAAGACACAACAAACCAGCAGACAACCCCAACAACAACACAACCAAACAAGCACAAGCAAGCACAGAAGCGCACAAACAAACAAAACAAACAAACACAAACAAACGCAAGCAAACAAAACAAGCAAACACAAACAATAACCAAAGCACGTACAAACCAAACAAGCCAGCAGCCAAACGAACACACGAACAACACACAACAAACAGTCAAACAAACAAAAACAAACAAACACACAAACACACACGCACACAAGCACACAAGCAAACAAGCAAACAAAAAAAAGCAACAGAAACCAGCAGCAAAGCACAAACAAGCTAACCACAAACCATGACAAACAACAGCAAGCCACAAACCACGGCAAACAACAGCAAACAACAACACTCGACAGCAATCAGCACCAAAGTGCACGGACTGCCCAAGCACCCCAGATTGGAGCAACTAAGGGACAACTCTTCAGTTGGGACCAACCTTCACCCTGTTTTTATATCCTTTCGCCTTCGCTTGGACAGCGGAGATCGAAGATCAACTGCCGCCACGATGTTGGGATTTTCGTAGGCAGCAGGCTAAACATGCGCAGCTGAAGCGGAAAGCCACGCCCGTGCAACACCCCCCGTGAGGTGTTTTGTTGTGTTGCCGTGATCTCAGAGCCCGGCTGAGGCATCGTGGCGGAGTTCGCCAAAAGGCCGCTGGGCTCATTGCTGGCCAAGGAGCCCGGAGCCGCTGAATTAAGAGATGTACCTGAAATCACACTAAGCATCCCTGTATGGTCAGTTCTCAAGCTGATGGTCTATTCTTGGGAACCCTCAACCGCCTTATAATCAGTACCCCAAACGGGGCCATAGTATGGAGAAATCACCATATGGCTCAAAATATATTCCTTTGTGACGGGCTGTTGAGCTCTCTGGGTAATGCTCCGCTCTTCCGCCTCGCCTACCGGGAGAAAGGGTTTAGGGTTGAGGATTTAGGATTTAGGGTTTGCATGGCTCGCGGCTGGTGAGCCTCCAAGAATAGCGAGCCCCGATCTTCGAGGCTCCTTGGGGACATGTTCTCTCTAAGATAGGGCTAGGCAGCAAGTTGGACCCTGTCAGAGGGGCAACTTACCGGTTCAAGATCAGCATGCAATCAGCCTGTCTCTTGAGGCCTTTACTCAATGGAAGTTGCCCTAGAAGGGGGCCTCCTAAAGCTTCCCTGAAACCGGAATTGGGCGGGGGGAGGGAGGACGACATGATTAGTTCATGGTCTACGCCCCTGTTTCGGTGAATGGCATTTTTTCGATTTGTGCCCAGAGAAGAGTTAGAGTTTTCATCACGCGTTCTGAATGGATGCTGCGAGCACAGTAAGTTCAAGTCCTGAAAGAAACCATCGGGGAATGTGGCGATAGCGACCTTACATCTGGATTGTCATGTGCAAACCTAGGTAGCTGGGTCAGGGAGAACCACGAGGCTTTCGGCGATCATGTTCAAGTTTGCCGTCTTAGTGGGCAGACGGCATGTCTTGCTGCAGATGGTTCTACCCGCATTGGTGATTTGACAAGGGCGGCTGAGGACAAGTTCCACACAACATTTCTGAAGCTGCTGCACGACTCTCGAACGCTGGATATGTCGAAGACCGTGGCAGAGGAACACTTGCCGTGCGGTGCGATGCTCACAGCTGTGGCCGTGCTGGCCTTAGCTACGCTTGTTTGCGCACCTTGCCACTACTGCCTCTAGAGACAAGTGAGAGCTAACAAGTTGCCTATGAACCGATAGGCTGTTCGTTGTGTTTGTTTCATGGCTTCGTTCTTGACCCTGTGACGTTTGTGTGACCTGACTGCCCGCTACCTTCCTGGCTCTTCTGCGCGCAGAAACCCCAAAACCGGAAACTCAAGTTTCTCCGCCATCCTGCTCGGGCCGGCCGGACGAATTCCCCCATGAGAAAATTGCGGTTCTCCATTCAAAGCCTCCACAATGAACGACAGGGGCGGGGAATCCGGGGTGGGGGATGGGTCGGGCTAGAGGGTGGAGAAACAGGGTGTTCCACGAAATCCTCTGAAACTCCTTCCCAGGGTCATGGGTATTCATATGGGTTATAAGTGCCCTGTGTAAGGAAATCATGTAGGTCACCTTCCAAATATCCCTGCTTCTTGATACCCATGAACCTTCAAGTGCAGTACCCCTCAACCCTAAACCCTACATAAACCTCAGCCTTAAACCCTAAACCTGGCTTTTTCCCCGTAGACGCATGCGACACGGGTGGGAAAACACCTGAACCCTGGTAATCCCCAAACAGTAACCCGAAACCAAACTGCCTTGAATCGCTTGGCTCCCCTGAGCCGGAGCCCGAAGCTCTTAGGGTTCTCGGGTGTGAGGGTTTAGGGAATGCAGACTTGGTGTTTTCTTTGTTGGGCTTAGTGTTTTATGGTGTTAAGGGTTTAGGGTGTTAGGGTTTAGGGTCTGAAAAGGGTTGTAGGGTTTAGCGGGAAGCCCTGCGCAGGACGGTAAAAGAAGACGCGCTTGCGGGTTTTGGGTTGACGCAGTGAGTCTAGATCTTGTTGAGGGCCCGGATGAAGCTGATTCCCCTCCACCGGCCCAAAAAAACCATGACGACCATTCCAAGGAGACAAGTATACAGGTGTCGGGCGCAGGTGGTGTGGGCAGCAGCGTCAACGGCATCTACAAGTGCACGGGTTCTTTGAACGGACGTCGCAAGTACCACCAGGCGGGAGCTGCTTCTTATGCGTTGCGGCGTCAGTGACGTGAGGCGGCGCTTGTGAGCCTCACATCCCTGTTCAAGAGGTGGGCGGATCTGCCATCATCTACTTCAACACAAACTGGAAGATCAACTACCATGATGAATCTCGTCATGTTTGTAAAATAGAGACCCTCCCCCCCTCTAAACATTAACGGACGGCAGGTGTTGTGCGACTGCAATGTAGGGGTGCAGTGCACCGTATTGCTCAGGACATTGGCGGATGGTACTACTCGCACCCGGACGCCTTGGAGACCCCGCCAAATGGCCGCTTGAAGAAGCTAGCGCAAGGGGGGACCTAAGGGGCAGACTGTGGGAATAGTAGTGTGGAACACAGACATCGTAGACGCTGGCAAGAATTATCGTCAACGCTGTCGTCTGCATGTGTGTGTAGAGGGCGCGCAACATGTCCAGGCAGATGGACAACACAGGGTTACGGCAATGGTGATGCCGACCCTTGCCCACGGGTCACCAACTGTCTGGAACATGTTCGGATTGGCATTGTCGGTGGCCGAACGGTATCTTTTCCAGCAGGTTGTTCTACACTCATTGGTGATCTCCACAAGGCGGCTGAGGAGGAGCTCGAAACACCAGGTCTGAAGCTACTGCACGGGCAACGAACCCTGGACCCATCGAAGACCTTGGCAGACGAGAACTTGCCATCTTCCACAATGCTCACAGCTGTGACCGTACCTGCCTCAGTCATGGCACTATCGCATATTGACTGCGTGGGCTCAATGCAAAAACTACGTCTTTCCAGGCAAAGCAAGCATAATGCGTCAGACAAAAACTGGGCCGGTAGGGGAATTGTGCACTACCTCACCCTGCAGTCGTGTGCGCTGCTGTGCGGGCGCGAGCTGGTCAATAAGGGCAAAAGGGGATTCGGGCAACCCTAAACCCTATATATAAACCCTACGGACGGCTGGAATTGCCAGGACGCGGGGCCCAGTATCGGCAAAGTTGACTAGGAATCCTCCCGGAGCACATTGGCATTATGCATTACATACTATTCGATTCATAGTATCATGTATTACGACTTGTTCACCATCTCTCTCTCCATATTGACGAGACCAAGACCACAATACGCAGCCACGCCGAAAATCGCTGAAAATCGCTGTACTTCGGGCTACAGGAATCACAGAGTGGCTTCGTTCTCGTGTGTGTGTGTGTGTGTGTGTGTGTGTGTGTGTGTGTGTGTGTGTGTGTGTGTGTGTGTGTGTGTGTGTGTGTGTGTGTGTGTGTGTGTGTGTGTGTGTGTGTGTGTGTGTGTGTGTGTGTGTGTGTGTGTGTGTGTGTGTGTGTGTGTGTGTGTGTGTGTGTGTGTGTGTGTGTGGTGTGGTGTGCGTGTGCCTGTGCGTGTGCGTGTGCGTGTGCGTGCGCGTGCGCGTGCGCGTGCGCGTGCGCGTGCGCGTGCCGCGTGCGCGTGCAGCGTGCGCGTGTGCGGGCGCGTGCGCGCGCGCCTCGGCCGCGCGTGCTCGCGGTGCGCGTGCGCGCGTCGCGTGCGTGTGCGTGTGGCGTGCGTGTGCTGCGTGCGTGCGTGCGCTGTGCGCGGGTGTGCGTGTGTGCGTGCGTGTGCGCGTGTGTGCGCGTGTGCGCGTGTGCGTGTGTGTGTGTGTGCGTGTGTGAGTGTGTGTGCGTGTTGTGCGTGTGTGCGCGTGGTGCGTTGGCGTGTGTGCGTGTGCGTGTGTGTGTGTGTGTGCGTGTGTGCTGTGGCGTGTGCGTGTGCGTGTGCTGTGTGCGTGTGGCGTGTGCGTGTGCGTGTGCGCGTGTGCGTGTGCGCGCGTGCGCGTGCGTGCGTGTGCGTGTGTGCGCGTGTGCGTGTGTGCGCGTGTGCGCGTGTGCTGTGCGCGTGTGCGCGTGTCGTGTGCGCGTGTGGCGCGTGTGCGCGTGTGCTTGTGTGCGCGTGTGTGCGTGTGTGCGTGTGTGCGTGTGTGGTGTGTGCGTGTGTGTGTGTGTGTGTGTGTGTGCGCCTGCGGGTGTGTGTGCGCCTGCGGGTGTGTTTTGTGTGTGTGTGTGTGTGTGTTCATGTCTCCTGGCCACTTTTCTGACAGAGCATAGGGAAACCGAGACTCAGACGTCGAGTGACCAAGATTCGAAAGCCCCGGCTTCGGAACGTCAGAAACTAGGGATCCCCGTTTCTAGTTTCGTGATTCAGAACTTTTTTCTCTGGTAGAACCAAAAAGCACAAACATTTTTACCCAAGCATGGTTTCCATATATTTGTACGACCGTAAGAAATACTTTGAGGCACATGCTGGGCATGACATCGGCGGCAGCCCTGACCACTATTGACGTGCTGACTGGGAGCGATATTTGGTCGGCTAGGGCATTGACCGTGATGCGTTCCCCGCGACCGCAAACCAAACTCCGCCCAAGACCACGTCCTGGGGCATCTTCTGAAAGCACTCCGTCCTCTTTTTCGTTTTCTGCGTGCCGCTGCCTGACCTTGTCATCCATTTACCGCCCCAACCAGGCCCAGAACTTCATAAGTCCGGGAGCAAAAACCCAGCATGTGACCAGGATGTGGCAAGCCCAAATGCAAATTCCCTTGAATAGCCATCGAAGGGCGACATGTACTTTACCTTGGACCGGCACGCGGTAACATGAGTTTGCGTGGTGTGTAGTCTGCCGAAGAGGCAGTACTTTGAGCCCCTTCAACCCTAAGCCCTAAACGATTCGGGGGAGATGCCTCGAGCCACGCGGAGAGTCAGAGGAGAGTCTTAAAAAGCTGTGTGGGTCCGAAACCAACAAATGGCCAATAGGATAGGGTTTAGCATTTTTTGTTTTGGGGGCTGTCCAGGTTTCCAGGTCCAAGAATATCCAGTAGTTTCCTGTGGTAAGTTTTGGCTGCGCGCCCGAACACCCCCAATTCCTCATTCCCCAGGCATAGTCAAAGCAAAGCTTAATATGGCTCTTCAACCAACGAGAAAAGGGTTTGAAAAGCGCCGTCCTCGGTTCCATTGCTTCATTCTTCGCGAACCAGTAGCGAAAGGTTATCGGCTATCGTTTGGAGAAATGGGGTCTGCTCGAAGGTTCATGGGCAGATACAAGTACTTATAACTACCCATGAGCCTTCACGTGGGTGGGGGGGGGGGGGGTGGGAAAGGGAGGTGACCCGGATCCGTGCGTTTTTGGATTTTTTTGGATTGCAAAGTGTCCGCAAGCGGTCGACAATCACAAGGATGGTGGTTGTCGGGGCCACCAGCCTATTGATTGTCGACACTTTTGAAGCTTCTTTCAAGCTTCGCGAACTAAACGTTCTGACAGTCACGGGGATGGCGACGTTGACGCTGGCCATCCCCGTGACTGTGAGCACTTTTGAAACTAGGTTGGGTTTGGGAATGCTGAAAGGCGAGCCAAGGACAACACCAAGTAGCGAACGCGAGAGAAGTTCGCGGAGTATGAGGTGGAAAACAGGCACGGGGAGAGGAGAGGCCAGACCACGCAACGGAGTGCCCAAGCTGGGCTACCCTAAATCGATCTAAATCGTACACACTACTGTGGCCAGCCTTTTTCGTGCCCAAATCGCCACTGGCAACTGAGGATGAAGAGGCTGTGGTACATCTTCAAGTGTCTGGTGCAGGTGGTGTGGGCAGCAGTGTCAACGGCATCTACAAGTGCAGAGGCTGGTTGAACGGACGACGCCAGTACCGCCAGGCGGGGGCTTGTTTGTCTTTATTTGTGTTAGAAAAGCCTTCGCTTATGTGCATTTCTACCGCTGGTCCCTCAACGTGCAGCTTCCATGACTAGTACCCGTGCGCCCAAGACCCCTGTTCAAGAGGTGGGCGGATCTGCCATCATCTACTTCAAGGACAAGTGGAAGATCAACAACCGCGACGAACCTAGGCCCTGAAATTTCATTTGCAGGCATGTTTCCTTCGCAAGCACTCGCTAATCACTGAAATCTTGGGGTGCAGTGCACCGTATTGCTCAGGACACGGGCGGATGGTACTACTTGCACCCGGACTCCTTGGAGACCCCGCCAAACGGCCGCTTGAAGAAGCTAGCGCAAGGGGGGGACTTGTAGTCCAGGCTGGTAGGCTGCGAGGTCCTGTGCATGCAACAAAGTAAAGGGCAGGCTGCGGGAATAGTCGTGTGGAACACAGACATCGTAGAGTCTGGCAAGAATTATCGTCAACGGCATGTGTGTGGAGGGCGCGCAACACGTCCAGGCATGTGGACAACGCAAGGCTACGCCCATGATGATGCCAATCCTTGCCCACGGGTCACCAACTGTCTGGAACATGTTCGGATTGGCATTGTCGGTGGCCGAACGGTATCTCTTCCAGCAGATTGTTCTACCCTCATTGGTGATCTCAACAAGGCGGCTGAGGAGGAGCTCGAAACACCCGGTCTGAAACTACTTCACGGCCAACGAACCCTGGACCCATCGAAGACCTTGGCGGAGGAGAACTTGCCATCTTCCACAATGCTCACAGCTGTGACCGTACCTGCCTCAGTCGTTATGCCATGGTATAGTTGTGTCTTGTATCCTGTGTGTTATGTTGTGTTGACTGCGTGGGCGAACTCCTGGCCAATCCTGACTGCACTCGGCCACGCGGCAGAGGGCAGAGGACTCGGGAATTGGAAAAAACAATTGGAGACATATTTTGGCAGGCTGATCCAAAAAACACGTGCTAGCAAGCTGCAATTGGATTCCATTTGCATGGTTTGAAGGAAGCCAATTGGGAGGCCTTAACTTAAATGGGCGCCTGTATGCCAGAACTCCTAAGGCCAAAAAGTGTCACATGCTGAGCCATCTACAGCAGTCAGAGGCCTATTCAGGGCCTTTGCAAAGATGCTTTCGTGACCCTGCGCATGCGCTGACGTATCACCTATCTGCCGCGCGCCACACCCGCACCCAAATACTGCATGCGGGGACGGGGGGGGGGGGGGGCTGCACGTACGGGCTAGTATTTCCCGGACCGAAAATGTGTGCGGGACGAGTTCCAAACTTGTCCCCTAGAATCCTAGAATCCCCAAACTCGAAACTTCTTGTTTTAGTGAACTCGGCTGGCCTGTGCTTGCAGCGCCGCAGAAGCTAATTAGGACTGGCTGGGTGCAGGTTTCAGCCCTTGAAGAGCTCTTCCTGCAAAACCCAGTGCAAACAGCCTCGCACCCAAAGACCGCGCGCCACACGTGGCTTGTGGGTCTTTGGGTGTTTCGTGTCGGGTGGGGAAGTTCCTTGCAATTTGATAGGCATTTCACCAGAGCTTCACACACGCACGCAAACAAACAAACAAACAAACAAACAAACAAACACACACACACACACACACACACACACACACCAACCACCCACCCACACACACACACACACACCAACCACACACACACACACTCACACTCACACTCCCACTCCCTCTCCCACTCCCACTCCCACCCCCACCCTCACACTCACACTCTCACACACAAACACAAACACAAACACACACACACACACACACAGACACAGACACAGACACAGACACAGACACAGACACAGACACAGACACAGACACAGACACAGACACAGACACAGACAGACACACAGAGACAGAGAGACAGAGAGACAGAGAGACAGAGAGACAGAGACACAGAGAGACAGAGAGACAGAGAGACAGAGAGACAGAGAGACAGAGAGACAGAGAGACAGAGAGACACAGAGACACAGAGACACAGAGACACAGAGACACAGAGACACAGAGACACAGAGACACAGAGACACAGAGACACAGAGACACAGAGACACAGAGACACAGAGACAGAGACACAGAGACACAGAGACACAGAGACACAGAGACACAGAGACACAGAGACACAGAGACACAGAGACACAGAGACACAGAGACACAGAGACACAGAGACACAGAGACACAGAGACACAGAGACACAGAGACACAGAGACACAGAGACACAGAGACACAGAGACACAGAGACACAGAGACACAGAGACACAGAGACACAGAGACACAGACACAGAGACACAGAGACACAGAGACACAGACACACACACACAGACACACACACAACACACACACACAGAGACACAGAGAGACACACACACACACACACACACACACACACACACACACACACACACACACACACACACACACACACACACACACACACACACACACACACACACACACACACACACACTCACACTCACACTCACACTCACACTCACGCTCACGCTCACGCTCACGCTCACGCTCACGCTCACGCTCACACACTCTCACACACTCTCACATGAAACGCTCACACTCACTCGCACTCACTCGCACTCACTCCCATACTCAGACATTCACTCACTCACTCACTCACTCACTCACACACACACACACACACACCCACACGCACACGCACACGCACACAAACACGCACACGCACGCGCACGCGCACATGCACGCGCACACGCGCGCGCACGCGCCCGCACGCGCGCACTCTCTCTCTCTCACACACACTCACTCACTCACTCACTCACTCACTCACAAACACTCAGACACACTCACACACACTCACACGCACTCACACGCATTCACACGCACTCACACTCACTCACACTCACTCACACCCTCCCACCCTCCCACTCTCCCACCCTCCCACCCTCCCACCCTCCCACCCTCCCACCCTCCCACCCTCACACTCACACCCTCGCACCCTCGCACCCTCGCACCCCCACACCCTCACACGCTCACACGCTCCCGCACTCACGCACTCACGCACCTGCACACGCACACCCGCACACCCCCACACCCCCACACACACCCGCACACCCGCGCGCCCCCGTGCACCCCCGCGCACACCGTAGCCCCCCACCCCCCCCCCCCCCCCCACACCCACCCCCCCCACCCCCCCACCCCCCCACCCCCGCCCCACACACCGACACCGACCCCCTCACACCCGACACGGACCTCTGGCTAATGGAAAGCCCGGCACATACCAGACGCGTCCTGTATACAGGGCTTCCCTAACAATCAACGAGGCGAAAGGCGTAACTTGGGTCCATTGTAGGACTTGGCAATTCAATGGCTAAAGACAGGTGAAGGAGGACGCCGAGTAGAGAAGGCGAGAGAAGTGTGAGCAGTATGAGATGGAAAGCAGGGACGAAAAGAGGAAGGGCATCAGTAGACACCCATACACCTAGGGTGCCCAGGCTTAGATACTCTATACCGGACGCCGCGCCATTGTATTGAGCCGTGGCTATGCTTTTTTGTGCCCCAAGTGCTACTGGCAACTGAGGATGAAGAGGCTGTGCTACATCTTCACGTCTCCGGTGCTGGTGGTGTGGGCAGCAGTGTCAACGGCATCTACAAGTGCAGAGGCTGGTTGAACGGACGACGCCAGTACCGCCAGGCGGGAGCTTTCTTCTTTGTGTGTAGAAAAGGTTCAGCTTCGCTAAACGATGTGTTGGCTGTGCGTTGCTACCGTTGGTCCCGCAATTTGCAGCTTGCATGACTGGCACCCGTGCGACTAAGATCCCTGTTCAAGAGGTAGGCGGATCTGCCATCATCTACTTCGAGGACACATGGAAGATGAACCGCCGGGACGAACCTAGGCTCCAGAAATTGCGTTGGCAGGCACGTTTCCTTCGCAAGCACTCGGTGAGCACTGGTTGTCCTGTGTTGCTATCAGGACACTGGCGGATGGTACTACTTGCACCCAGACGAGTCCTTGGAGACTCCACCAAACGGTAGCTTGAAGAAGCTTGCTGGTTCAGGTTGGTTTGTTGTGAGGTCCTGTGTTGGCAACAAAGTCAAGGGATCTCAAGAATGGTAGTGCGGAAAAGGCAGGCATCATACCAGAGTTTTGGCCACACTGTGGACTGTCTGATAATGTTTGCAACGCGCATCTGCTACATGTCCAGGCACCTGGACAGGGCAGAGATGTGCAGATGGCGATGCAGAGCCTTGCCCACGGGTCGCCAGCTGCCTGGACCGTGTTCAAATTTGCCTGGCCGGTAGCTGGACCATTTCTCTTCCAGCAGATTCTTCCATCCGCGTCGGTGATCTGAAGAAGGCGGCCGAGGATAAGCTCGACACGCCCGGCCTGAAGCTATTGTACGGGCAACGAACGCTGGACCCATCCAAGACCTTGGCTCAGGAGAACTTGCCATCTTCCGCGCTTCTCACAGCTGTGCCCGTACTTGCCTCAGTCGTTGCTGTATATAGTCGTGTCTTGTTGACGGGGCGGAACGAATGCCTTTGAACCTCCGGCAGGATATGGCTGAACAGGCGGCCCACAGCTGCAAACGGCTGGCCAGTGAAGCCGGAAGCAGCTCTGTGCGCGCTGGGCTTGCGGAAGCTGGGGCATTGGAGGCTACCGTGGAGAAGATGACAAGACATCCCAGCAGCGCAGAGGTGCAAGAACACGGCAGCTGGGCCCTCGCAAGAGTGTGCCTTGGCACTGATCAGGAAGGGCTGGGGAGGCAGCAGCGTGCCGCCGATGCCGGGGCCCTCAATAGGGTCGTTCTTGCCATGCAGCAGCACCATGACAGGGTGGAGGTGCAAGACAGAGGCAGCCTGGCCATCGGAAACATCTGCTTCGGCGACAAAAACGGCGATGACGCAGCCGAGAGGAAGCAGCTCGCTGTGTGCAGTGGTGCCCTCGAAGTGTTGGTGAAGGCTATGTCGGCGCACAGCAGCAACAAGCGGTTGCAAGACAATGCCAGCTACGCGGCGGGTGTGCTGTGCGCGGGCTCTGACGCCGAGAGATGCTGGCGGCAGCAGCGCGCCACGAATGCTGGGTTGCTGGAAGTGTTGGTGGCCGCGATGCAGAGCCACCCAAACAATGACAAAGTGCAGGGCAATTGCATCCGTGCCCTGCGACGCTGCTGCTGGGCAGCTGGGACCTGGCGATTGCAGCAGCTGGCCAAGCCCCTGAAGGAGATGTTGCGCCAAGTCAAGCACGCCAACCGCGACGTGCAGCAGGACGCAGAGGCTCTCCTTGCAACGCTGGCTGACGCAGGGGCCTCAGAGCCTGGCTGGGCACGTGCTCGTTCCTGGCAGCTGCTACCAGTAGCTGTTTAAGGGAATGTCCTGAGCATTCTTCAGGTTTAAGCGTAAATCGACAAGAGGCAGCCAGATGGGCCGCCAGAGAAGTGATAGGACAAGTAGGTCCGCTGGCCATGCTTTTCCCATGCTGATGTTGTTGTCCCTGGCGGACTTAGGCGGAGGAGCGTTTGCGGCATCGTCAAACGCACTTGGCCCTGGCCTTACTGGCAAGAGTTGTTGTGATGTGAATTTAATATGCGCATTATGCGCGCAGGCGTGTTAGCTCCGCGGCAGCAGCGTTTCATGGATTCCCTGGGCAGTTGTCACAGTATGCAAGCATGCTCAATGTCAGCCTCGTCACTCTACAAGATTATGCAATCTCTTTCCTCGGAACACTGGCTGGAACCCTTAGAATTGAGGTCATATTCCCTACACTACTACTATGTAATCTCGCTTAAGGTATATGGATCCACAAATCCTTCAGGGTTCTCGAGTGCTGTGCGGGAATGTGCCTCGTAGCAGAAACCGAACGGGGCCCACAACTCAGCATCACGAAGTGATCTCCGCAAATAGGTTCCATCTGGGTTGCGATCAAAAGGTCCAGCATTCTTTTTTCCTGTAAAGCGAAGCTCAAGGCATGTGCGAAAGTCATTTATAGGTTTATACATTGTTACATATATATTTGGATATACATGCATGCCTGCAAAGGTCCGAACCCCTATAATGTTGCCAAACCCCAAAATTTCGCGAAGCTTGCGCGAAAGTCCACACAAGCCAGGCAAGGTCCTGGCCCGTCCGGGGTCAAAAAAAAAATGTCTCGTCGGCTGTCAGTCAGCCCTGAGCCGAAACCATCACTCTGTTCATCTGCCCTCCACGCCTCGAAAGTTTGGTGCTCTATAGACCTCCCCGACTGTGTTGTGTTGCAGAGTCGAAATTTTAAGGGCTCTGCCGCCCTGTGTGGCCCAGGACGTGTGAGATGCGTAAGTTGCGGGGGTTGGGGACTGACTTTGAGAGGTGCGGTGGCGGCTTTGCTTTGCTTCACAACAAGCCTCCGTGAAAGTCTGCGATGGGATTGGAGAAAGTGAAGTTGAATTTGGCGAAGAGTTCGTTGTAAATATATTTTGGGGTAGCAGGAATCTTGAGCACGGCCCATTTGTACGTAGACCGGTGGGTGTCTGCAGGTTGTTCTTGCCTGTGGGGTTTACCCTCAGGTCACCCTGGACATCGGAGACATCTGCTTCGGCGATACACACGGCCATGACGCGGCCGAGAAGAAGCTGCTGAAGAAGCAGCTGGCTGTCGGCAGCAGTGCCCTCGAAGCGTTGGTGACGGCTCTGTTACCACACTTCAGCAACAAGCGGTTGCAAGACAATGCCAGCTGCGCGCCAGATGCCGAGAACAGTGAGAGCGCCAGGCGGCAGGCAGGGCCTGGCAACGTGATTGAGATGTATAGTGCTCTGAACATAGGGTGAAGAGGCTTCGGGTCTATAGGTCAAGGCTTAGAAGTTTAGGGGTGCTCCAGAAAGCGGTTTTTGGGAGCCTCTGGCTTCTCAGACCTTGCAGGTGCGATGCGTCGCGTTGGGCCCCGGACAAGTTGCGGACAAGGCCTCGGAGGGCAAGATCGCCACATTCATTCAGGGTTTAGGGTTTAGGGTTCATTGTTCAGGGTTTAGGCTTTGGGGTTAAGGGTTTAGGGACCACGTGGAGGTGAAAGATCCCGACACAGAGCTGCAGAAGTTGAGGGCAGTCTTTGAGCAGCGAGGGATGACCTGGGAAGAGGACATGAAGACCCGGAAGGAGAGGTTCATTGCAATTGCAATGCACGCAAGAAATGGCGACATCTACTCAAACGTGAAAAAGGCTCTGTACGAAGACGATGCGAAGCTGCTACAGGAGTATGCTGAATTCAAAGCCCAGCGATCGCCGAGGCACCGGGGTGGAGCCGTGCCAACAGCCGCAGTTCTCAGCAAAACTCATGGTGATTGGACCATGATGGAGTATGCTGCGCAAGTGGGCATCTCAATCCAGGCCTTAGCGAAGATCGCAGGAACTGCGATCTCATTCATCGGCATCGGATGCTCGAGCTACGAAGACTTGCGCGATGAGGTCCTCGCCGTGGAATGCTTCGTGAACGCTTTAGTGAACACGCGGACTCCATGCAGTTTTGGCCGCGGCCTTGAGCAGCACAGAAGGTTGCTTCTTGGTGCCAGGTTACAAGCTCCTGAAGGCCTAGTGGTTGATCTCTGCTGTGTAGAGCAAGCCACCGCTACTTCTAAGCCTACTGTCACTACTGTCACTGACCGCATCGGCAAGAAACCGCTCAATACTGCAAGCTGGGACAGCGTGGACCTGCTAGGCAGGCGAAGAGAGCCAATCTGCATGCTGTTTTTGATCCGGGTCCGACGCAGCCCATGTACAATGGCTGACTTACCAAGCCTAACTTAGGATGGAGCTTGCCTGGCTGCCTGCTGCATCAATTTTGCACTGCAACCGTGTACAGTGGCTTGGTGGTTGCTCGGTCAGAAGGCGGCCTCCTCCACAGTGTCTCGACACGTTGACGAGACACTTTGGAGAGGCTGGCTGTTGTTTTCGTGGTTTCTGGCATCTTTTAGAGGCAACTGCAGCCTGTGAACAGTGGCTGCGTGGTTGCCCGATCACAGGAAGGCAGCTTCCTCTCCAAACAGCGCCTCGACACGTTGACGAGCCGCTGTTGAGTGGATGGGCCGGGATACAGCTTCTTTGCTGTCTGGCATGCTTCCAGAAGCAGCTGTGCGCTGCGCACCTTGCGTGACTCTCCAAAATGTCCGCAACACATCAGAAACCACAGCACACTGCGCTGGGGATGAATGCGCGCTTGCCATAGCCACGACCAATACGGATGAGGACATCCAAGTCTCCAAGACGTACGGTGGTGTAAATATAGAGGTTACGTTTGTATGACGTATCTTGTGTGTGTTGATTATGGAATTATGAGAATAAAACGCAATACAAATTTTCAATAAAAGCATTACTTGTTGCTGGCGAAAATATTGCCAGTAAAACAGGAACTAATCCTTTTTGAAATGCTGTGCCACTCTAATATTAAGGAAAAAGAAAACCCTCATGGTCCCTATAGTTCTTATTCCATACTGTGGAGTTAATATGCAACCGCTACTCACAACCGTGAGGGTCCCCAGATTTGCATATTTGGACCCAGGGCTTGGGGTCTAATGTGCAATCGAAGGAGGAAACCTTACGAACCTGAGGGGCTCAGGTGAAATGCACGAGTTTGTGTGTGTGTGTGCGTTTTGTGTGTGTTTTGTGTTTGAGCTGGTGCCACAAGAGCTGGTGCCACAAACTGTACCAAACAAACCTTGAGAACTCGAGAGTGCAAGTTCCATGTCTTTGGCCGCAGCGTGTCGTGATGCATTGGTAAGTACTAAGCCTCGATCATTGCCCTGGTAGCTAGCGCCAGGCGTATTTTAGCAAAAGCTTGCACAAAACAATAGTCGTTCATTTTCCATGCCCAGTTCTGTGGAGTCTTCTTCCCCAATGTGATAACCTACAAGACACGGATGCCAGCACACAGTGTGTCCATGCAGCCATGGCGAAAATACCTTCTGACTTCTACTCCGTTCTCGGAATCAACAAGGAGCGCCCTCTGCCCAGATGCCGAGTCCATGGAGATGTGCGGTGCAAATCCGGCAAAGGTAAACACCCACTGTTCTAGTGAGAAGAGCTATTCGTGCAATGGACAGCAGGTCGTCACCATTTGAAAGTAGCGCTCCAACCTGCTGGATTGCTTGACCTTGCATGACTTGAGCTTCGTATTCCGAGATGCCTTCTCTGGAGCATTCTGGAGCGCATCTTTTTGAACATACTGTCGCGCGTTGGGTGAGAACTAGGTTCGCCGACTTGCGCAGCATTCGATGGAGATAAGTTTCAGTTTCCACATGTTGAGGATGCTGACTTCGAAGAGGTTCGCAAGGTGCCCTGGCCGGAACCACTTGCTGCAAGCAGCTGCAAGCACATGCCCAGGCACAATAAGATCACCAAATCGTGCAAACCCTGAACCCTAAACCCTCGAAGGCATACCTGCGAGCAGCCCTGCGATGGCACCCAGACAAGAACCCAAACGAGAAAGATCTTGCGGACCTTGACTCAGACTTTCCAGAGCTCGTCCCTTCGTGTCCCTGCAATCGGCTGACAGTTCTGCTTCATGCAGTTTCGTGATGTACCGGAGCAGGGCCACAGTTTGCAATTGAACTTTGGAATGCTTCACGCGATTCACGCGCCAAGGAGGCAATGTTCAAGAGAGTGGCTCAGGCGTACAAGGCGCGCAACTTTTCGTGTCGCCTTCGGCACAGTGCATGCTGTCGAAATACAGCAGCTTGTGGGCACTGTAGGCACTTTTGCACACCTTCAAAAACAGCCGGCCCTTGCGTGAAAGCCTCTGCAGAAGCAAGAGTCTGCTCAGGGCGAAAGTTCCGGGTCTGCAAAGTAAAGTGACCATTACTTCTATTTCATTGATTACCTAACCTGTTATTTACAATACGAGTAGGTTGAAGAAGATGCAGCTGGCAAATGAAAGTTGCTCTTGCGCAGGTGCTGAGCGATGACATTCTGCGTTCACAGTACAATGCCTCCGGCGAGAGCGGTCTCGGACGAGACTGGTGGCCAGATGATCCTGACGCAAGACACTTGCCCTTGCAATGTCGGGTGTGAAAGTAGCTAAGAGGTGTGTGTGTGTGTGTGTGTGTGGTCGACCAGGGTGCGCTCGGCCTTGTTACAACGCAGCAGCCCCTCCAGCGCGAAGGCTTAAAGGGCCAACCGCGGGCCCCTCATCCATGCGTGTTTGCATCACCCAGATCTCCACGGGCCCGCCCCCCCAAACCAGAAAGAGCAAGATACGCTCAATCCGGCAAGGGTTGGATAGAACACTTGGCAAGACAGCCCGCATCAACGATCCAAAGCTCTTCTCATGGCGATCCCTCGCCAGGATACTAAGCAAGGGATGCAAGCACGGAGACAGGGCAATCTAGTTACTCTAGGGTCCACCACACTCACGCACATCACGCACCGGCAGCACGTTAGGGGCCACCTCCACCAAATGGCACAAGAAGCCATTCCCCTCAAGCTGCACACTTCACTGACAATCAATATGCCCTTGGCGTATGGGTGAGCACCCAAAACTTTAGGTGCCCCCCTGGACAAAAGGGTGGAAAGTAGCTAAGAGATGTTTCATGTTCTTCCTGCCCATGAGGACAGCCCTAACCCTAAACCCTAAACCCTAAACCCTAAACCCTAAACCCTAAACCCTAAACCCTAAACCCTAAACCCTAAACCCTAAACCCTAAAGAGCCAGAGGCCGAGACATGGCCTACCAGTTCTTCATCCACCGTGTGCCCGGGAAAGCCCTGGCCGAGGGCTTCAGCGAGGTGCCCACAGCAGTGTTGCCATGTTTCGCCAGGCGTTGCGAGGTTTAGGGTTTAGGGTTTAGGGTTTAGGGTTAGGGTTTAGGGTTTAGGGTTTAGGGTTTAGGGTTTAGGGTTTAGGGTTTAGGGTGCAGCTATTCTTACCCTGAGCCCAAAACCCCAAAACCCAAAACCCTGCAGCCACGTACAAAGGCGAAGCTTCGAGAAATTTTCCCACATCTCTTCAGCTGCAGCCCAAGTCTTCTTGCTTCCACAGCAATGTGTGAGCTCGTGACGTTTATGCCTCAGCTTTCCTTGACTGGTACAGGACGAGGGGAAGTACTGAACGGTGTAAGAGGACATCAACGCAGTCCCCTGTGACCTGTTCCTGAACATGCCTGTTGGAGGCTTGTTGTTTTCTGCTTCTTTCTCTCACTTCCCTTATCTGAGGGCATTGCAGAACTCATCGACATGAGAAGGGGGCAACTTTCTGTGGGTGTTACTGTTGCAACCGGCAGGCGTCAATGTCGATGGGCAGAACTGCCACAAAGACATGACATGAATGTGCGAACAAAACAGAGGAAAAGTAGGGTTCACTTTGGCCCCTCATTAATTGTGCATATTTTCCTTTGTTGTATAGCATCGCTCGACGAAGCTACAAAGTAAATAAGCACAGTTCTTGAACCGTTACTATAAGTCAAGAATTGGGCCGTTGTATTGTGAAGAGATCACAGAAGACTTGGGGGGACGATGTGCCACGAATCTTGACTTGAATATTGTGTAACATAACGAAAGACAAGAATAGACATAAATAGAAACGAATAGATCTTTAGTGACAGAGATAGACCAAGACAAACAACAAAGACAATTAGACACAGACAGAAACGACCACAAACAAACATCAAGAATTTTCAAGAAACCCTCAACCTTACCGAATCCCAGGCCACCCTCACGAGCAGCTAAGAGGCCCTCAAAAAGAGAGCAATCATCCGATTGGGCTACCGCAAAGGCATGCAAAGGCAAAATGCGTCCCACAAACGTCCTAGAAAATCCATGTGCTCGCACGGTCTACGCGTCAATTGTTTCTGGCTGTATCGACGGCCGTCCTTCTTCAATCAATACCTGAAAAGAGTTTGTTTATTTGTCATAATATAGAGATACCCAGATTCTTGAGTATTAGTAGATCCCATGCCCTCAAAACCTGACCAAGCCTAGAGAAATCGACGCCGAGACCACATATCTTGAGCCCCAAAACCCTTCACCCCCCCCCCCCCCCCCAACAACCAATTCCCCAAACCTTGGAAACCCACTCAAGATCCTGATAAGACTCATCGCGTATGGCCGCGGAAAGTTGGAAGAAAATCCAGAGATGCACTTCACTTTTGGCAGGGGGGGGGGGGGGGTTATTCTAGTAGAATCTTTCTAGGGGCCCCCAAAATGACTATAAGTAGTTCTTCCGACCCCTAATATAGGGGCCTTAATAATTAGAATGGGGTTTGGGGGTCTTGACAGGTCACTCTCGCGACGACCATGCAAGGGCTGCGCGAGGCCATTGATGAGGGGAAACCGGGTCCAATTGCCCGTGTCGAATATCTCGATACTTGGTGATGAAGGGCATCCGACCTACTTGCATGGCCACATCATGGAATTTCGAAAGGTGGCAAGGAACCATCGTCTCATCGTCTCACTACGGAGTTCGATGCGCTTCGGCACACTTTGCTGTATTATAACGTCTAGGCTACCGCAAAACTATGACACGGATCGTTGCGTTTTTTTTCAGTTGCTGCGGCTGATTGCAAAAGTTTGTAGTAACAATTGATAGTAGAAAGTAATAGAGTAGTAAAGAAGCTCTCCCTACTTCTTGCTACTACAAGCTGCATGTAGCTTGCCACCCAAAAATGAGGTACTTAACTTCTTGGCTTGCTGAATTAATAATCGGCCTACCCTACGCATGCTTCAGCATTCACGTGGAGAATACGTATTAGGGTTTGGGGATTTTAGGATTTTCGGATTCAAGATGTCTAGGGTAAAAAGGATTCATTAGGGACTGGCATTTCTTGTTTCCAAGGTGTGAATGGGGCTTTTTTTTTTCGAAGGAGCGGTTTATTTTTCGTAGCCCCTTGGTCTCTGGTCTTCGATCCCTTTAGATGGGGGGGGCTTCTATTTTAAGCGGAGTTCTTTGATCTTGTGGATCATAGATCCCGAAGGAGGCAAATACAAATGATAATTCGTATGAAAAATTGAATTTTAGAATCATTGAATGACGATATCAGACAATTATGATAAGACTTCAAAAAAGAATGTATATCTTTCGATTATTGGATACGAAATCAATATTAATTGCATCCAAAAAGATCAATTATATTGAAATCTAAGTTAAGATCAATTTTAGAAGGAGATCTTCAGAATTCGGATTGATGAGGGATTTCTACTCCCATTTTGCAAATATGTTTATTCCAGAACCTCGAATAAGCCCAATACAATGAAAAGAAACAAGCACAACCGCAACAACAACAACAACAACAACAACAACAACAACAACAACAACAACAACAACAAGAAGCGCAGCCACAACCACAACCGCAATCACAACATCAGCATCATCAGAATTAACTACCAGAACAACAGCAGCAGCAAACAAACAAAATCAACAACCGCCCACCCAACCACCCACCCACCCACCCACCGACCAACCAACCAACCTTCAAAAATTCCAGCATTCCAACATTCAAACATTCCAACACTCCCGACAACGTCGATATGCACATCAGGTCAAGGGCCCCTTGGTGCGTATGACGTGTGGCCGCAGTTTTGCGATGTGTAGTTTTTCATCAACCGCAGTCCGTGCACAAAAGCAGGTTGTTCACACAAAGTCACAGTATTGACTCACATACAGGGTGGCAGACTATGCGGACTGCGATCGCTGCATTGAGTGGGACGCCAAGATTCGATGTTGCTATACACACATGCTCAAAGCTCTAAAGCAGTGAGTTGGCCGGGGTGCAGCCACTGACCACCAGTACGTGCGCCAAGTTAACAAAGCCATGTGGTCAAAGCGGAACGCAGTTTCCGAGATGTTGCATGTTTTCAACAGGAGACATTGAGTTGTTTGAGTAGTTTGTTGGGCTCAAGCTGGCTTGATTGCTGTGAGCGTGGGTAAGGCCGCCGCGACACCCGGCATGCTGTCCGTTGTGCAGGTTCTTTGCTTGCTCTTGCAGCGGGAAGCTTGGGCATCCGCTGTGCAGCTCGTGGATGGTCGGGGGATTGATGCCGCGGTGACACAGTTCTCTGCTGCAAGTGGGGAGCAAGCACTGCAACTCGCGGCCATGGTCTTGCAAGAGCGGAACCTTCTTAGTGGCGGAGAGTGCAGAACAGGCTGCAATCCCTCGCCCTCTTCCGAGGAAGCTTGCTGTGTCCAGTGGACTCAGGACGGCATGCGCGTGCTCGAAACCCCAGCCTTCGGCATGGACGGCATGGACAGCCTGTTGGTGATGCGCTTCTTCCTGAACTATGAGACCGGATTCAATGATGACTTGGCGCCTTGGCACTTTTGAATTGAGGCATGTTGCCGGTGATTTGATGGTCTTTTTATTGGCGCGCGCGCAACAGAACGCGCAGCTTGAAGATGGGAGAGTCGAACACGTTGCCACAGTCCCCTCTCCCCCGCCCCCCGCCACCATCTTTGTATGTAGGGGGTCCGCGCAGCACATCCCCGTCGTACTCACCAGGTTTCCAGAACCTAGGAAAGCAGCTGTGCCTTCGATCCTTCCAGTCCGACATTCAGCTTTCTTGTTCCCGAAAGCATCGCGAAGGGTTCTTCCGTGCGGAGCCCTCTGACCCAACAACATAGAGTGAAGTACATAGAGTGAAGTGCATTGAGTTAAGTGCATAGAGTGAAGTGCATAGAGTGAAGCGCGTAGAGTGAAGTGCATAGAGTGAAGTGCATAGTGTGAAGTGCATAGAGTCAAGTGCATAGTGTGAAGTGCATAGAGTGAAGTGCATAGAGTGAAGTGCATAGAGTGAAGTGCATAGAGTCAAGTGCATAGAGTCAAGTGCATAGAGGTGAAGTGCATAGAGTGAAGTGCATAGTGTGAAGTGCATAGAGTCAAGTGCATAGTGTGAAGTGCATAGAGTGAAGTGCATAGAGTGAAGTGCATAGAGTGAAGTGCATAGAGTGAAGTGCATAGAGTCAAGTGCATAGAGTGAAGTGCGTAGAGTCAAGTGCATAAGAGTCAATTGCATAGAGTGAAGTGCATAGAGTGAAGTGCATAGAGTGAAGTGCATAGAGTATCGCACAGAGTGAAGTGCACAGAGTGAAGCGCATAGAGCGAAGTAGAAGTTAATAGAAACTACGAGATTTACGTAGAATTTAGTAGACCTTCGTACCCAGTCCTAGATTTCTAAATTAAAATTACTCTTTCTAAGGCGGCGGGCTGGGTTGACATCGCCAATCGGGATTGCAACCCTCTGCGGGTTTCGGCGTGCTCGCGGTGCTAAAACCGTCGTTTTTTTACGTTTCTTGATTTGCGCGGACAACCCTCTGCGGGTTTCGGCGTGGTCGCGGTGCTAAAACCGTCGTTTTTTAACGTTTCTTTCTGTGCGCGGACAACCCTCTGCGGGTAATCGCCGGGTCGCGGTGCTAAAGCCGTCGTTTTTGGTACTTTTTTCCGTGGGCGCAGACAACCCTCTGCGGGTTTCGGCGTTGGCGCGGTGCCAAAACCATCGTGTTTTTGCGTTTTTTGACATACAAACGTAACCCCTCTGCGGGTTTCGGCGTTGGCGCGGACCGTCGTGTTTTTGCGTTTCTGACATACAAACGTAACCCCTCTGCGGGTTTTCGCGTGGTCGCGTTGCTAGTGTTTTTGCATTACAGACGTAGTACGCCGGGGACTTCCGTGGCTGGAAAATCGAAATGTATAGTACGCCGGGGACGCCCGGAGCTTCCGTGGCTGGAAAGTCGACTTGTAGTATAAACGTGGTACGCCGCGGACACGCGGAGCTTCCGTGGCTGGAAGTCGACTTTTGTAGTACAGACGTATAGTACGCCGGGGACACCCGGAGCTTCCGTGGCTGGAAAGTCGACTTTGGTAGTACAAACGTAGTACGCCGCGGACACGCGGAGCTTCCGTGGCTGGAAAGTCGACTTTTGTAGTACAGACGTATAGTACGCCGGGGACACCCGGAGCTTCCTACCATGGTCCCCGAGTTCGCTGTTTCCAAAACCATCGCAAGGAGCTTCCGTGGCTGGTTCCAAAAGCATCGCAAATACCATGGTCCCCGAATTCGCTGGTTCCAAAAGCATCGCAAATACCATGGTCCCCGAATTCGCTGTTTCCAAAAGCATCGCAAATACCATGGTCCCCGAGTTCGCTGTTTCCAAA